GGAGTCCATACAGCCCTTCCTTCAGCAAAGCCTTGCCAGTTCGATTCTCAGTCAGGGCATATGCCTGGGTTGCAGGCTTGATCCCTGGTAGGGGGCATGCAGGAGACAGTTGATCAATGTTACTCTCTCACATCAATGTTTCTCTCTCTCTCTCTCTCTCTCTCTCTCTCTCTCTCTCTCTCTCTCTTTCTCTCTCTCTCTCTCTCTCTCTCTCTCTCTCTCTCTCTCTCTCTCTCTCTCTCTCTCTCTCTCTCTCTCTCTCTCTCTCTCTCTCTCTCTCTCTCTCCCTCTCTCCCTCCCTCCCTCCCTCCCTCTTTCTCTTTTTCTCTCTCTAAAATAAAAAACACTTTAAAAGATTGTGGCAGAAATGTATGCTGAAGTAGTCAGCTAATCTTTACTTGTTTTCTTTATGTAAATTTGATCTCAGTATATTTCTGGAAGGGTAATGTTTCAAAGAAGCCATTGTGATGACTGGCTTCCATTGTAGGCTCTAATCCTGGGCACGTGACTACCCTATTCTGCAGCTTTATTCAGGTGCTGATTACTGTCCACATGCTACAGAGTTAATTTCACTGGATCATCCTCCCACAGTTGGTTACCTTTTAGATGGTGGCATTTGAACATCAGGATTTGACCATTAAGTTTGGAGACATATAAGCAAAAAATCATGTTTTAATTTCTTTGTTGGAAGTATAAGAGAGCACTTGATTACATGCCATATAATGACAGTTAAAAATTACCCCCTTTTCTCCAAAGTAACTATCTCCAAAGTTCCTTCACAGTATAACATCCTAAAGGAAATTTCTAGGTTTTCTCTTTCTCCAAATGTCCATTCCAGCATCATATGTTCCAATTTTCTGAAAGTAATTTCTGTCTATTTAAAAAGGGCCTCCTGCCACTGGAGCTGTTTTGACAAGAAGAGTTGATTGCTTTTCCTTCTGTCCATTTTTCTTTGGGGAACAGGATACCAGTGAAAACTGAGTTTCCACTGAATCCACCGTACATCATTTAAGAACCTGCTGTGTGCTCAAAACTCTCATAGCTGATTACATCAGTGGCAAGACATACCACATTGTTCTGTCTTGTTTGATCCTGGCTATAAGAGGCTCTAGCCTAGTGGACACTCATAATGAGTGTCTGAGAAGGTGATCACTTGGCCTTTAGACACAGCAGCTCTTCTGAATCTAGTTCTGATCAATCCAGAACATTTTTCCATTTGAATTACATGAACTGGCACTTTTAACTTTTTTCACCTAATTCATTAGAGATCTTTTCAAAAAGCCTCTTTCACTGGCATCATTTACTAGAACTATTTCTTCTACCACGTGTGTTGATGAGCAATTAATAACACTATGAATAGTTGGTAGAAGTGTGCTCAAAGCCTCATTGTAGAAAATAATTACCATACTGGTGTAGGACCATTCATGTGCTTTTCTTCACATTCAAGTGGCTTCCCTTCACATTCAAAATGAAATCCAAAATCTATACTATGGCCTTTTAGGTCTTACAAGATCTTCATCCTATTCCTCCTCTGCTTCTCTCCCACTGCCGCCCCCTTGCTCAATCCACTCTACCATATTGGCTTTCTTGCTGCTCTGTGACCATGCTAGGCACTAATCAGCTTCACAGCCTTTGCATCTTCTGTTCCTTGGGATTGCAGGCTCTTCCTCATTAGCAGAGTGGCTTGGTCCTTTATATCATGCATGTCTCTGCCCAATATCACTTGATTGCAGAGGTTTTTTGTGGCAATTATACTAGAATCAACCCCTGCCCAATCACTTTCTGTCCCCTTGCCCTGCATTAATTTTCCTCTGGGACACAGATCACAGTTACCATCCATGGCTGCCTCCCTAGTTCTAAAGAGCTGGGTGGAACCTCCTCTATTTTTTCATTGTTGTTTCCCTGTTACCTGGAACAGTATCTGGCACTTAGTAGAGAATTAATAAATGTTTTTGAATTAATGTACTTCCTCAAATGTAATATAAACATAGCAATAAGTTTCACAGAGTTATTTCTTATAACGCTCTCCCTGTAGGCCAGAGGCATTTAAGAGCAAGGGCATTTGGGGCCACTTGGTACTGCCCAGGTATGTGGCTTCAGATAAACTGCTTAATCCTGGCACAGGCTTTAGTGTATTAAGAGAAAGGATGAATGATATCATCTTTAGGAAATTTCTCCCAAATACAGTTTTTCTTGGTTGTACTTTTGAAAGGTGGTGAGAAGTAGTTGATTCAACACTGCCGGTCCAGGGTAGAAATGTTAGCAGAGCTGGAGGAGGGTGTATGAAAACTGATTGTGAAATGGAGGACATGCACTAGGACCAAGCAAAACCCAATTTTCCCTCACCCCAGGAGAAAAAACTTACGTAATATTGGTAAAAAGCTGCTTTATAGATGAGGGTGTCCATTTTACTCAAGATGCTATCAGTGTGTGTGTGTGTGTGTGTGTGTGTGTGTGTGTGTGCGCGCGCGCGCGCGCGCGTGCATGTTTTAACAGAAAATACACTAAGATACTGTACACAGTCTTTCCTTTTGGATAAACCCAACTTATACCATGAAGCTTTGGACAACTAGGTCTCTCCTGATGCCTTCTTAGTCTACCCAGATCTGCTGATACCCTCAGGAATTCTGGGTGGAAATGATTGCCCTTAATATATACCAGATGCCTGGCCATAAGGTTTTGGAATTGAGTCTACTAAACTTTCCTTTTCTTGTGGCATAGGCTATATCCATGAATGTGTAGCTAGAACCAAAATTATATCAGGGAGGACCCATTTACCAAAGCCATGAGTACTCCTTTCTATTAGATCTGCTGCTTTCCCTAAGACCGTGGTTAGCAAACTGCAGCTCGGGAGCCACATGTGGCTCTTTGGCCCACAAAATACCATGGCCTGGGCGAGTCTGTTTTGAAGAAGTGGTGTTAAAAGAAGTTTAAGTTTAAAAAATTGGCTCTCAAAAGAAATTCCAATTGTTGTACTGTTGATATTTGGCTTTGTTGACTAATGAATTTGCCGACCACTGCTCTAAAACAAAGTCAAGTCCTATGACTTGAACACCTGGGAAAAAAATCTTAGTATGTATTTTATGGCTTTTTGTGACAAGATCTGTTTGAGTAGTTTGATTTCATGTTTTTTTATAATGAGTAAGCTAAAAGTAAAATCTCTCAGAACCCAAACTACATGCTATGAACTATAATCTCTCTGTTCAATAACAGTAATCATGTAAAAAATATTATTGATACTGACTCAATTGGGTTCAAATTCTGCACCAAAATTTTCCCATTTTCTTTATATTGGTACAAAAAAATATAAACATTTCTAGGTAAAATAGAAGCCATAATGATAATATTAGACTTTTAAATTCTTATCTGAATTCACTATCATTTTTCCTCTTTATAAATACTTCCATAACTTCTTTCTTTTTGTCTCTAAAGTTAATGATATGAGTTAATTATCATCTCATTTTATTATAATAATCTTTCACAATTCATTATTCAATAAATATAAGGAATGTGAGATTTTAATACCAGAGGACTGTAAAAATATATTTTTAAATGATTGATATTTTATTTAGTATAGAATTTTTTTTTTTTTTTTTTTTTTTTTTTTTTTTTTTACCAAATTCTGTGTTCTGTACTCAGAACAAAGATATACATTTTAAAGGAATCAGCTGGGGGGAAAAAAAGAATCAACTGGCTAAGGACAGTGATATTCCCAATGTAAACTCTACAGCCAGAGTGGTTATTTTTTGTTACATCACACCTGCCATGTATTGGGGGAGTATTTGACTCTTAACATTTTCATGATTCATTTTTTTCTGTCCTCAAATTTTGGGTTACAAAATATATAGTAACCAGACTTTTCTTGAACCAACAACTCTCTATTTCTTGGTACTATTCTCCCCATCTGTAAAATCTAGTTCCTCCTGGAACTCACAGCCTGTGCTCCTGAGACTTGGCTGTTGGGTTTGGATGGCACAGACACAGACCCTGATGGGGACCAGAAAGAAGGGTAAACACAAATAGCTTTATTTTACCTAAAACTAATGGTTCTATAATAGTAAAAAGTTTTAAAGCTGCAATTTCACCTAAGTTAAAGTTTGATAATTATGTATGGATTTTAGACAATCCTCCCATGGCTATTTTGAAAGGCAGAGAATTTCTTATCTATGCAGAAAGAGGTAAAAAAGAACAGCTGTACTGTGGTGCCATTAGGCCTACTCATCTCTTACCCTACTTTGCAAATTTCCCATAAAAACAAAACAATTAAAAACGATAGCTACAAAGGCCCTAAGTATTGACTTACAAAATAAACCTAAACCATGAAATATCATATTTCTGATTTCCACCAAAATAGACAAACTCCATCAGTTAGTTTACTGATTTCCTTAGCATACCTAAATACCACTGGAAGTGTTCTTGATTCCAGAATTTCTGTGACTTGTGACCAAGTAACACTCTTTGCCTGCTCCGTATCTACAGATGCTATCCAGGACTCCAACAAAATCAGTGAATGCATTGCTTTTCAGTTTCTGTCAACTTTCCAAGGAACAAAGGCATTTCTGTGATGATTGTATCTCCCATTTTAACATAATTTTCATTTGGCTACTGAGACAATGCTTTTGAGAGACTGTGTGAAAAAGGGCTTTTCTGGGTGAGCTGATTCACAAAGCTTAAAGATTAAATACACTCCCACGATAACTGCAATATTGGTTTTCTAGTGAGACAATTTTGTACTAGCCTTTCCCCAACTACACCAAGAATATAAAAAAAATAAAGGTTTGAGTAAAAATTTGAATTTCTGTAATTTTAATTTGTCCACTGATTGGCTTTTTGTTATTTTTCAGATGCTGGCTCTATGCTCATCTGCATAGTGGATTAAATGATTGTTTAATGCTTATAGGACCCTTTTTAGCAATTAGAATAAGAAAAAGAAAAATGCTAGCACTCTATTCTCCAACCATCTGGATTCCATTTGAAACCCATCACCTGGTGGTACTTACTTTTATCCTCATCATACGACCCTCCAGAGCTATTGCTGTACCTTGACTCCAGGCGAGTATGGGCTCTGATGACATTACTAAACCTTCAAATACAAGAACAATCATCATCAAATACTGCTGTGCATGGTGTATGTGCTATTTTCATAAACACGTGCTATTATCTAGTGATTGAGTTTTTGGCAGCTAGTTCCAATGATGCTTTTCCTAAGAAATACTGCAAAAATTGTATCTCAAACATTTGTTTTTCCCTGGAGAGGTCTAGAGGTTGCTTTTGCTCATAAGCACAAGTTTAAATCTGGAAAAGATCAACATTTTAAGGTTATACTGAACTGGAGAATTATAACATTTGTTTGGAAATGAAATGGAGCAATACTGAATAATATATTGTACATCCCTTATTCACATGGTAGCCTGGCAGCTGGTAGATGGTCAGTAACTAGCTGATGCATGATTAAACAATGAAAATTGATAAGACATAAAAAAGTGGTTCATAATATATCTTGGAGTTTACTGGCTTTAAAGTTTCTCTTAAAATGATCAGAGGGTTTAAAAAATATGTTTTTTAATTGATTTGAGAGAGAAGAAGAGAGAGAGAGAGTGAGAGAGAGAGAGAAAGAGAGAGAGAGAGAGAGAGAGAGAGAGAGAGAGAGAGAGAGAGAGAGAGAGAGAGAGAGAGAAACATCACTGTGAGAGAGAAACATCAACTGGCTACCTCCTGCACACCCCTTACTGGGGATTAAGTTTGTAACCTGGGCGTGTGCCCTGACCAGGAATCACACTGGCAACCTTCTTTTAGTGCAGGGGTGAATACTCAACCAATTAAGCTATATCAGCCAGGGCGATTGGAGGGGTTTTAGAAAAAGGTAACTAGTTGGGTTGTAAAATAATCAGAGAGGCTCTTTCTGTATGGTCTCTCTGTGGATTGAGAAGTAACATCTCCCCCTCCCCCCATCAAAAAGGTAGAAATATACTAACTTCACACACATTACTCATTTACTCTCACTTATTCATCTTTGACATAAGCACTGTTTACTTTATGAATGAGGAAACAGGCCAAATGAAACAGTTTGTCCAGTGTCATGCAGAAGACAATGGCAGTGCAGAAATGATTTTGGTTCCAATGAGAGAAGGCAAGACACCGGATTTTAGCTCTATGACCTTGGCCAAGTCCTTTATCTTCAATGAGGACACCGTTTCTACACCTGCTAAAAAGTAATACTAATAATATTTCATCATTTATTTTGTTAGGGTTGTAGAAATAAAAAGAAATGATACAAGAATGTTTCCAACACTCCAAGGTACCATCAAACTTTGATGTACTAATTATTATATTTAATAATAATATAATAATTATTTCTAGATTTCTAGAATGCCCTTTCCTCTTCAGGGTACCAAAGACCTTTAAGCCAATAGCATTTGAATATCATCTGGAGATCTATAAGGCAAGGCAAGGGTATGACTGGGAGAAATGGCATGTCTATATTTATTTTATTCAAAGTACACAGAGCAGGTTTGATCTACTTAATATGTATGCAGACAAAACAAATAACTAAGGCAATCAGTAAGTATCTCAAGCCGAAGTAGGGCTATGCCCCTACATTACTGACTGGATATTCTGTACTAATTGACTGCAGGTCAGCACCCTGTTTCACACTCTAGCTGTCCTCACCTAGTGCATGGAGCAAGAGTGATGTTTCAGGGAAAAGTCCTGGATGTGCCATTATGAGCCTACCTTGTCTCAGGTGTGCATTTGTGACTGGATTTGCCAAATAAGTAAATGCACAATTTATAGTGACTCTAAAGGCTATAATGATTTTTGTCTTATTCATTTTGTAGATACTTGTAGCAGCTTTTATTTTCTCATGAAACATCTATCTTTTCCTCAATCACTCTGTATTTCAAACATTCTTCATTGTCCTATCTTTTGGGCTATTACTTTGTGAATCCATAAAACAGAAACTCAAGGACATCTGCTTAGTTTCATACTAATTGGGCCACATAATTGGCACTTAGGGAATTGAAAAAGTGACAACCTATTACCTTTAATTATATTTATTCTGATAAAGGCCAAGTCAAAAACAGTGCATGAAGAGCCAAGAAATCATTCAGCAACAGGGAAGGGATCTAGCAGCACACATGCAGAGGCATGCAGTGTTTCCCAAAGTGTGGTACGCGTACCCCCAGGGGTACGGGAAGAGTTTGGGGGGGTGGTACACGTTGCACCGTAGTTTGGTGGGGATATGCACTGCACCGTGCTTAGCTGCGCCTAATTCTATGTTCTCATGAGTACGAGGGGGACTCAGCATTACGAAAATTATAGAAGGGGTATACATATGTCAAAAGTTTGGGAAACACTGATTTAGAGGATGAGCTTGCACAACTCTAGGGCAGTCAGCCTGATGGCAGGTACTTTTCTCACTTGTAGCCCCTGCTGTGTGTCATGACTGAATCTGAGGACAGCCATGAGGTCTGCAGGGGCATTCTGGGCTGAGGTATTTTTATTATTTAATCCATTGCATTTGCTCCAATAGGAATTTATATCTCATCCTTGTTACTTCAGTGAAAGTGCTCCCCATTCCTTTTCACTAGAAAATGCTCAGCCCTAAAGTGTTTTCAATTCCATAGAATCATCCTAATTTTTTCTTAAAATATATTTTATTGATTTTTTATGGAGAGGAAGGGAGAAAGAGAGAGAGTTACAAACATTGATGAGAGAGAAACTTCAATTAGCTGGCTTCTGCACAACTTCTATTGGGGATGTGCCTGCAACCAAGGTATATGCCCTTGACTGGAATTGAACCTGGGACCTTTCAGTCCGCAGGGCTGATGCTCTATCCACTGAGCCAAACTGGTTAGGGCATCATTCTAATTTTTAATTCGAGTCCTGTTGGTCTCTTTTGGTTGTGTCTCTATTCTTCACAATCAACTAGGGAACAATGATCCAGATTTTATTTACTTCTGAGTAGGTCCTGGGCAATTAAAGGCATATGGGCAAAATAAATATTATCAAACAGCCTATAGGAAGGAGATTAACACTTATTTGAGCAGAGGAAGATAGTGTTCTTGGTAAACCAAGACGTGACAAGGTAAAGGTGAAATAAGAAATATGATGTTTCATAGAATTCACTTCAAGACTCAATTGCTAAGAAATTATTCAATACTCAGATTTGAAAATTTCACATGAAATTCCCTCTAATTCCAGATGGACTTTACAAGTAGCAGGACAGTTCATGGTTTTTGTTTGGTCCTAAGAGAAGTGAGGTTCAGCTCAGGAAGAAATTGTTGTCTTCAGGGATATACAGAGCAGAGATAGCAAGTCAATCATAGTTTCTAAGAATAAAGAAGGATTTCTATGTGTGTGAATTTCATAAAGCCTACAAACTTTTATTGATACCTCTGTTTACTCTACAGTTAAATTGGATATCTAGCCAATTTGTGAACCAACCTCTCATCAGACTCTTTCAAGATCTTGCCCTCCTCAGCATCTGGGAAACTGTCCTGGCCGGCAACCACTGTGTTGCTGCTGGAGGTGGTTCCTGTGGATTAGAAGACACTTAGAAAAAAATGCATGTGGCGGAGGTCAGAGTCAAGTCTCAATATTCCAGGAAAGAATTTCCTGTGAAATTTCATGTTTGAAGGATACCTTCTATTTTCTGTACAATCTCAGACATTCTAAACAAACTCTAAGCCCACTCCACTGAAACAGGAGAATCCCAGACATCTGTTATAGTCAAATTCCTGGACTCTCCTATAAACTGAGGTTACAACATTCTTGAAAACCTTTCTTGGGTAATGAGCTTATTTGCAATGGTTGTCCCTGCTGTTAGCTGCTTTAGCACTTCTGGGTCCAGGAGTTATTGAGCTAATGTTAGTGAAACAAGTCCAAGTTTCTAGAGTGTCTGACATCTAGGCTACTGCTTGTCTGCAGGAATGCTGCTTTGGCAGCTAGATGTGGGGAAAACAGAGGACATGAGAGACTAGTCCAGGAGAGAGATTTGAAAGTAGTCGTGATAAACCAAAACAAAGCTGTCTTCAATGAATTTGAGGAGGATTGTATATATTTCATAAAATGATGCTGAAAGGCCAATTTATGGAAAGTAGTAATATTGTTAGAGGCACCATACATAGTATTTTAGTCAATTCCGAGAGAATATTCACCAAAGGAATCCCATAAACACAAGATGGAAGGTGCAGACTGAGATTTCTAAGTGATGCTGTGTCCTACCTGGGATCAGCCTAAAGTATAAAGCTCTGGGCATGTGAATACTGGGCAACCAATTGTCAGTTATGCTTACAAAATAATTTCATTAATCTCAGCTATTCTTAAGCCATCTTTCTTTTTTTTTAAAGTTATTGTTCAGTTATTATTGACATATCATATTATATGTTTCAAGAGTACAACATTATAGTAATTAGACATTTATATACCTTATCAAGTGTTCACCTCAATAAGTCTACTACCCAGCTGACACCATACATAGTATTTGCAATACTATTGACTATATTCCCTATGCTGTTCTTTACATCCCTGTGACTGTTTGTAACTACTAATTTGTACTTACTAATCACTTCACCTTTGTTATCTAGCCCCCCACTAGCCTCTGGCAACCAAAGTATTCTCTCTGTTTTGGTTATTTGTTTATTTTGTTTTTAGATTTCACACATAAATGAGATTATATGGTATTTATCTTTGACTGGCTTGTTTCACTCAACATAATGCCGGCTAGGTCCATCCATATTGTCACAATTTAAACCACCTTTTAAGTGAAAATACATGCCAGAATCAGAAGTAGCAACACTTGTATCCTTTCAGTTTCCACACAAAGAAGCATCAGACCCAGGACAGGTTGTCCACCGGCCCTACCAGAGGCTGCTGTGGAGACCTTGCTGCTGGCAGCGAAGTGGTAGAACGGTGGGTTGTCACAGTGCTGGACGATGGGGTTCACGGGCTCCGTCTGCTGCAGCTCAAAGAGCAGCTCTTCCATGGTTTGAATGGTGTTATTACGGCACAGATATATCACCACCTTTTTAATCTAGGAAGAAAAACAGAACACAGGGACATTTCAAAGAGCCTTGTCCACAATAATGCCAGTGGGTCGGCAGCAAAGAATATAACCCACTCAATTCCATGAAGTGTTATCCTCAGGAACTACCACCGGTAGCTGATCTTCCTGCTGCCTGGAGATAATCCTAGTGTCTGGATTAAAACTCACCTTCTGCCGAAACCGGTTTGGCTCAGTGGTAGAGCGTTGGTCTGCGGACTGAAAGATCCCAGGTTCGATTCCGGTCAAGGGCATGTACATTGGTTGTGAGCACATCCCCAGTAGGGGGTGTGCAAGAGGCAGCTGGTCGGTATTTCTCTCTCATTGACGTTTCTAGCTCTCTATCTCTCTCCCTTCCTCTGTAAAAAATCAATTAAAAAAAAAAAAAACCAAAAAAAAAAAAAAATCCCCCCAAAAACAAAACAAAACAAAAAACACCTCACCTTCTCTACAGCACATCTGATGTGAATATGTGTCAAATGTCTTACCCTTCCTAATGGCTGAATTTACAAAAGTTACTTTTGGGGCTTCTGAAATCTAACCAAAAGCAAAAAACATGCCATCTAAAGTTTTATCTTGAGAAAGGATTTAATTTATATGAAACCATGGGGAAAAACTGAGAGCTATTTTTTTTTGTTTAAAAAGGAATCTGGCCAAAACTGATTTGGCTCAGTGGTGGAGCGTCGGTCTGCGCACTGAAAGGTCCCAGGTTCGATTCCGGTCAAGGACAGGTACCTGAGTTGCGGGCACATCCCCAGTAGGGGGTATGCAAGAGGCAGCTGGTCGGTGTTTCTCTCTCATCGACATTTCTAGCTCTCTATATCTCTTCCTTTCTCTCTGTAAAAAAATCAATAAAATATATTAAGAAAGAAATAAAAAGGAATCTGGTCTTCTGCTATTCTCTTCTCCCCTAGAAACAAGTGAATTTTAGCAGGATGATTTTACATTTTAAAAATAACTGATAACCCTGGAATAAAGCTCTGTGCTATTGGAGTCCTCAGAGTCAAACCTGAGGTATGGAAGCTGCAATGAGGCTGATGGAGCTTAAAACAGCAGGTGGGCCAAGGATCTCTCAGGAAACAGCCATACACATATGCCAAGTGAGTTAAGGCTTAAAAATGCTGTCTTTGATGATCATGTCACTTTTCACTACAAACACTATATACTGGGCATCTCAGAAAGATTTCTCTCTGCGTAGATTTATCTTCTACCAACTAAATTTGAAGACAAAAATCTGGGTATTCTGCATTTTTATTCTGTCTGAAGAGCATCAAAATGTAAACGTGAAATACTTTTGTTAGCAATAATATGCTTTACTTAGTTTCTCTTACATAATGGGTCCAATGTTTATAGAAGGCAGCCTCAGTAACTGATAAAAGAACATCTCTATTTTACTTGGAGCAAAGGGCACATTCTGATCTGCACTTGCTGATGGAGCCACCAACAAGATAATGCCTGAGGAGAGCCCAGGGAAACTTACATAGGGCAAGAGAAGTGTGTCACTGCTAACCCCACACAGGCTGATCAGGAATTGCAGGGTGACCCTCAAGTTGTTACTCCACTTCTCATTGTTGGCTAGAGCATTCCAAACATTTTCCATTTCCAGTCCAGGAACTTCATCTCCATACTGTAACACACAAAAGAAATACTGACCCAGGAGATACGGGGAAAACAAGGGGGGCAAAATGTTTGATTAAAAGTTCTTTTAAGGGTCAAGGCTATCTCAAAACCATAGAAGGGGACACATGGCCAGCCATCCAAAAGATGCCACTTTCAGCAATTTATAACGCACAAATTAGTAATGTGCAATGCTTATTCATGTGATTAAAAACGTTAGACTTATTTTATAATTTTTAAAACTATGGTAAGATATATGTAACATAAAGTTTAACATCTTAAACATTTAAAAAATATATATTTTTATTTATTTCAGAGAGAGAGGGAGAGGGAGAGTGAGACAGAAATATCAATGATGAGAGAGAATCACTGATCAGCTGCCTCCTGCACAGTCCTCACTCAGGCTCAAGCCTGTAACTGGGCATGTGCCCTTGATTGGAATCAAACCCGGGACCCTTCAGTCCACAGGCCAACATTCTATCCACTGAGCAAACCTGGCTAGGGCTTAACCATTTTTCAGTGTACAGTTGGATGGCATTAAGTACAATCACACTGTGGTGCAGCCATCACCATCACCCTGTTCACATAGTTTTTAATGAAAATGCCACTCCCTAGGTTTGCAGCATAGGGTTTGATGAGCCCAGATTTTCTGGAATGATGGAGCCATGTTATGGGGGCACGATACCTTGGCCGTCATGTACATGAGGTTATTCAGGACTAGAGACGTAGCTTCTGGGGAGCCCCAGCCGTTCCCTTTCAGCCCACGAGAAGTGGTCACTTCTCCTTGCTGGTTCTTGCTGTCATCCTCTGGACTACTGGGGCTTGACCCCGGGAGGAGGAGTTTGCTGTCCACCAGCTCGATGTTGTGCAGCCAGGGTAGCAGGTAGGTGAGCATAATCTGACGCCCGTTTGGGTGCGTTGTGGGGAACCTCTGGCTTACCTCTAAAGAGAAGGGTGGTAATGGAGAACCATGTGTTATGGCATTAAAATAAACTAAAATATTAACACTACTGACAGATAACACAGGGCACTTGCATACACAACAGCTCCCCAAGGCCATGAAATCTTAAAACTGATGCTTGTCCTCTAGCCTTTCCCTTCAGATCTGGTGCCTTGTGCGGGAAAGAGAGAGCACAGGGGGAAGAGTATGGCTTGGTGAGAGTGGAGTGAGGGGGAAGACCCCTGAGTTCAATCCATTGCTGATAGAAGAGGTACATTAGAATGGACAGAACAAGGGACTTGAGACCAAAAGGACATGTGATTAGATCCAGTGCCTCCACACACTAGCTGCACAAGACTCTGGGTTAGTTACTTAACTTCTCTGTTCCTCCGTTTCCTCATCTGTCAAATGAGGCCACTGGATTCCACATTGGGCTATTGTGAGGATTAAATATATCAATAGAATCATAATGTTATGTAATATGCTCAGAATGGTGCTTGTTATTTTGTAGGCTCTAAATAAACAGTGGTAAGGACTATTAGAACAGTGGCTGCCTTTCCACTGCACCAATATCAAACCAATAGAGCATCTTCTATGTACTATTAATATTAGCTGTTAAAAAGTGGGATGGGAGTCTCCAGGAAAAATCCACCCAGTGTGCAAGCTCCTGTCCATGAAGTCCACTTAAAAACTTCCAGCTATGTGGGAAGCTGCATGCTCAATGTTCTGTTTCATGACATAAATGAATCAAAGGTTGAAACTATGTGTGCAGCCCTGTCATTTTACTAAAACTTTCTCTGATAGCATGTTGTATGTGTTCACAGCCACAAACAGTTTAATTTCATAACCTGAATAAGCTTTTTATAGAAATAAAAGGACAGCTTTATGCATCTACTGCAAGATCTAAGATAACCTCTGATTTCTACCTTCTAGAAAAGAAACCTTTTCTTCCTAAGGAAACTAAGAAAGCTAATTTAATGCACTTACTACCTGGCATGGGAGGGGACCTCATTTAGAGCGCTCATGGCTGTGAAGAAATAGAACAGCACAGATGACAAGAATTACACCAAGAAAACCCACTGGATTCCTGATACTATAGCTTTAATTTTGCCCTTTTCCTAAAATTACAATTACAATTTTTTACTTTGAAGATTAAGAGTATACATATTTAATGCTGTGCCACAAGAATCAGACAGTGTTAAGTTGTTATCTTTTACATGAGTCAAAATTTCAAAATTTACTAAATTTTTAAATTTTATGGATGTGATGACTAATGTTATGGACTTCTATGATACATGTTCAGATCCTTGTAAAATCAGAACAGCCTTTCATTCCAACACACTGGGCCTTTTCTAAGTGCAAGGCCATGTGCTGGGTGGAGAGAGGAGACTGAAACCTCAGTTCCAGCCCTGAGCAGGAGGCTCTGTCATGTTATGTTCATGGATAATTCTGGGGTAAGGTAGAAAGTGACAAGTGACACACAGAGGCTCAAACAGTGTGCTTTGGGAGTTCAGCGAAGGAAAAGGATTTCTAGTTATAAAGAGTCAGAGCCCTTTCATGGCAAATGAATGACTTAAACTCTGCTGGAAAGGACTGAGATGTTGGAAGGTGTAAACTTTTCAATCACAAGGACAACCACTATTAGGAGACATATGTAAAACTTTAGATAAAAAAAAAAATAAAAAAAGAAAAAAAGAAGAAAAAAAAGAATATCTGTCATCTTTAACAGTGGTATGAAAGCCTACATTTTTTGGGGAGGGAGAGAGAGATAAATGTCACTGAATGAGAGGAACATTGATTGGTATCTCCTCTATGCACCCCCACTAGGGACTGACCCACAATCTGGATATGTGCCCTGGCCAGGAATTGAACGGGCTACTTTTCTGTGCATGGGAAGATGTTCCAACCAACTGAGCCATGCCAGCCAGGGTGGTCTACAGACATTTTGTAGATACAATCACCTTCTAACATATCACAAAATCCACTCTTTTATTTATGATGTTAATGCTTCTTGTCTGTTAGATAATCAGAGCAGAGAGGATGGGATTTGGTCTGAGGTACCCCAGGCACTTCTACCAGGGCCTGGATTGTAGAGGAGTTTTTGAAGGAAATAGAAGGGGGGAAAAAAGCCATATATATGCAAAGAATTCCCCCAATTCACCTCTCCAGAAACAAATGAAATAAAATGTGAGATGATGTCAGTGAACTGCTATATACATATTCCAGCTCCTTTGGGAAGGACCCAAATAACTTGGCTGGCTACTGACAAGGAATTAAGTCATTTGAAAATATCCTATTTAATAAAAGAGTAATATGCAAATTGACTGTTACACCAAGACACAAGATGGCCGTCCCCATGTGGTCAAAGATGGCTGCCCCATGTGGACACAAGATGGCTGCCGCAGGGGATGGCAGTTATGGGAATTTAGGGGTGACCAGGCCAACAGAGGAAGGCAGTTAGGGGTAACCAGGATAGCATAGGAAGGCAATTGGGGGAGACCAGGCCTGCAGGGGAGGGCAGTTGGGGGTACCAGGCCTGCAGGGGAGAGTAGTTGAGGGGGGGAGGCCTACAGGGGAGGACTTTTGCGGGGGAACCCAGGCCTGCAGGGGAGGGCAGTTGTCAGCAATCAGGCCAGCAGGGAGGGCAGTTAGGGGTTATCGGCCTAGCAGAAGAGGGCAGTTGGGGGAGACCAGGCCTGTAGGGGAGGGCAGCTGGGGGGGAAGCAGAACTACAGGGGAAGGCAGTTGTGTGTGTGTGTGGGGGGGGCAGGCCTGCAGGGGAGGGCAGTTGAGAGTTAGCAGTCCTGGGTTGTGTGAGGGATGTCCGACTGCCTGTTTAGGCCCGATCCCACTGGGATCAAACATAAATAAGTGGTTGGACATCCCTCAAGGGGTTCCAGATTGGAGAGGGTGTAGGCTGGGCTGAGGGACCCCTCTCCTCCATGCATGAATTTCATGCACCAGGTCTCTAGAGGGTAATAAAAATCTCACCACAGGGTTTTAAATAGTAAATACAGAAAAAAAAAAAGAGCTATTATAACCACCTTTAAAAAAAAACACACCACATTATTTCTAAAATGTTATTCATCATAAACCAAAATTTTCAAAAGTCAATTCTTGAAGAAAACCTGCTTGCAACTCATCATATGAGTTTCCTTTCTTGTTAAACTTGCCATACTACTTATTTCCTCTATCCTCAAGTTCAGACTCTCTCCTCTACTAGTTTCTCCCACTCAGTAATAAACTTGCTAAAATAAAACTTGTTCATTCTCTTACTCTGCATCCCCCATAGCAGCACCCTCCCTCTTTCTTTCTTTCTCAGCCACACAGGTGAGATCTGGCTCCTGCTTCTGTTTCCAAGGAAACTACTGACAGTAATTAATGAATTGAGAAATCCAGAGAATAATTTTAGATCTTATCTTTTGGGATCTCTCTATTTCATTCAAGGCTGTGGACTGTTCACTCCCTCTTCATAAATCTTCCTTCTCCAGGTTTCCACTAAAAAACTTAGACAGTGTGCCTAGGTATTCTCTCTCAATGCGCCTCCATGCCCTCCCTCACCCTTCCTTCCTTGACCCAGTGCTTGGAAATTGGGTGTCCAGGTTCTTTCTCTCACTCTGGGCTCTGTCCAAACACAATCTCATCTGCTCCCTTGGTTCCAAATCCTTCTATTCCTCCACGAGGTGCTATGCTGGCCTCCCCTTGACACTGGTCTGTCTATACAGAGACCTACACTCAGTATCCCAAGTTGAGCTTATGTTCCCCACTTCACCTTAAACCTTCTGTCCTCCCTGAATGGCTCTCAGGATGGGGTCATCACCACTGGCCCCCAGATTCACACAGGCACTCTCTTTTGTGTGCTCCACCCAGGGTTCATCATCCTGGTCTCTCCTCTCCACTTGCTCTGGGCTGTCTTAGTTCCATCTTTCATAACTTCCTCCTTGGATGACTGTCATAGTTTCTCAACTGGTATCTCTCTAGACTGCATGTCCTCTACTGTTCCCTCCACACTGTAGCTTGTCTTTCTAAAATGCATTCTTGTTTGAAACTGTTCAGTGGCTTTCAAAACCCAAGCACCTTGCCTGGATGCTCTCCCTGATGTACACAGGGCTCTGAGGGGTTTCAAGAAGGACATGGAGATCACTGGCCCAAACAGTCCTTAGGGAGCAATACAAGGCCTTCCAAGATTTGACTCCTGCTTCTCTCTGTCCATAAGTTTCCCCTGTCCCTGTATATATTATGTTAGCCAATTGACCACTATTGAGTCTCTCAAATACAACCTGCTATTTGACACCTCTGAGTTCAAGCGTACATTTCATTGGTCTGTAATGGCTACCTGCTTACCCACATAATGTCAACTATTTGACTGCTTTGAAAATTTATACTTCTTTTGAACTGCAGCTCAGACATCACATTCTCTGCGAAGTCTTTCCTGATGTTCCTGGCCCAATAACTGACCACGTCTTCATTTCCCAGCAGAATGTGCTTTATTTATTGCAGTTTCTGCACTGTACCATAGCCATATAATTGTAAGCCTTATTTTATTACTAGATTATGATGAACCTTTGATAGGAGAGACTGCTTTATTTACCACTGTATTCTGAAGACCCATGAACAGTACCTGTTGGCTGAAGTAAATAAAAATAAAATTTACTTTTTGAAGGAGAGAATTAATTTATTGAAAAAGATTTTCTTGGGTGAAGAGATTAATCAAATAGCATATATGCATAGCCTGTGGATACAGACAACAGTGTGGTGATGGGCAGAGGGAGGGGGTGGAGGCTGTGTGAAGGTAGGCAAAGGAGGGGAAAATGGGGACATTTGTAAGAGAGTCAATGATAAAAAAGGCTTTTCTTGAGTCTCTCCCACGCGCCCCCCCTTTCGTGCCCCCCCCCCCCCACTGTTTTAGGCCCGCTGAGAGGATGTCGCTCACTCTGTCTCAGGTAGATAGAGAGGTTTTGCAAAGTAGTAGATTTTAAATAGATCTTAAGGATGATTGTGAATTAGGGAGAGGGCCATTTCCAGCATGAACAGAAGCAAGGATTAACTGAGAATGAAATAAAGGTTTACTGGGTAAAAGACAGAAAGCAAGTTTGGAACAGAAGTCTTATAGGTGAAGGTGTTCCAATTTTATAGCACTGGCTTTGGGGAAAAATGTCTCAATTTAATTCCGACTTGTCTGCTTCCTTCATTATATGGTTTTGAGCAAATTACTGAACATCTCTAAGCATTAGCTTCTCATCTGTAAAACAGAAATGATGATTCCAATGGTAGTGGTGATGTGACAATCCCATGTCAGGACTGGACTAATATCTTGATTATTACTAGCTCATTACCTCATAAAAATTACCTGTGAGGTAATTTTTCTTGCAGACAAAGAAACCAAGTTTAGAGGCTCTGTGACTTGCCTGTGGTCCAGCAGCTAGTGCATGGCCGGGCCAGTGATTAACCCAGGCTGCCTGACTCAACAGCTTCCCTTCTAAACTCTACTCCTGGGGTGTAAGATTAAATTATAAGTGAAATGTATATAAAGTGCCTAGCACAGACCCTGGCACTTTATATACATTTATAACCACTCAATAGATAGAAGCTGTTATTAGCAATATTTAGGACAACTGGGCAGACACATTTGAGTTAGGAAGTGCTGTATGGATTTAGTTTTGCTTTGCAGGTGGGTGGCAGTCAGGGGTGTTACAGCTGGGGCAGGACTCATGAGGGTTTGGACTAAGGCAGTGGAGAGGGAGACAAAGGAGATGAATTCAAGATACCAAAGTCAGCCTCCCCTCAAGGTACTCTGTGTGCTCAGGCAAAACTTAATTGACCAATACAATTTTTAAATATAGGTTTATAAAAAATTTATTCATAAAGATTACTTGCAAAGATGTGCCAAGTATAAAACTCTCAACAATTCATATATGTAGCAACATACAAGGTACAAATCAACTTTACTGTTGCCACCAGCAAACATTTTGCAGCAATTATATATATTAGAAGTTATACCACCCATATTTCGTTTCTTTAGAAAATTTTACATAGACAATCTTGTTTGTAAAAACATGATTAATCTAAGCATCTTTACATTTGTCCCATGTTTATTTATACCTACACTGTTTTAGATAAACAGATACTTTTACATTTAAAGACATTCTAAAATTTACTTTTGTATGTAATTGGACTTAATCCATAATAATTTTGATCTATAAATTTAGCACCAATAAATATGACTCTAAATTGGCATTAAAATTTAAAAAGCAAGATTAATTAGAGCAGAAAAGATCACGTGTCATCACTGATTATTTCTGGTACCTGAGAAGAGCGGGAGAGTGAGCTCGGGGTACATCCTGGCCAGTTCGCATGACAAGAGGGCTAGTGACATGCTGTAGAGGGGTGGCAATGGGCCATGGGTTCCATAGAGAATACTGCCAGGTCTTTGTTCGGCTACTTTCTTTGAGTAAACAAAAAGCTTTGCTTCAAGGATCTATAAAGAGGTAAGAAAGTAAGAAACAATACAGAAAAATATTGGCTATTTAATAAAGGTACAAAGTAAACTAATAAATATAATAGTATTCAATATAGTAGTATTTAATATAGTTATATTTAGTGGATAGCATGAATTAATTCCTATTTATAGTGAAATGCACACGTGACATAAATAAATGCATATCAAGAAGTAGCAACCCAGGGATCAACCCCCATTTCTATTTTCTGTGCCCAAGCGTGGATGTTTCTATGTCAGTAAATGGTACATGCCTGCATGAGCTGCATGGAGATTTCGTAGGTCTCTCTGTTGGTGTCAGAGGCCTTAAACAGAACAAGGTTTAGCAATATCACTATGTCGAAGGGATAGTTCCTAAAAAACACACAAAAACACACACACCAAAAAGCACAGTTAATAAAACTGCCTGACTAGTAATCTTAATAAGCCAATTACCTCTCAAATCCTAGAAGGCACATTGACCTCAGTCACACTTATTAATGACATCCCATGCCCATTTGGCAATTGTTTTGCCTCCTTTTTTTTTAAAATATATTTTATTTATTTTATACAGAGAGGAAGGGAGAGAGATAGAGAGTTAGAAACATCGATGAGAGAGAGTCATCGATCAGCTGCCTCTTGCACACCCCCTACTGGGGATATGCCCGCAACCAAGGTATATGCCCTTGACTGGAATCGAACCCAGGACCTTTCAATCCCCAAGCCGACACTCTATCCCTTGAGCCAAACCAGTTTCGGCGAAGTTTATTCTTAATAGATAGAAATGACGAAAAACAAAATACATTCTGGAGAAATATAATTTTTCAAAAAAATGTTATTTTGGTAATATTCCATAGATCCAAGTATTCTTTTGTAATGTTAACATAAAAAAATAAAATGATGAAAAAATCAGTTTATATTCAATTGCTAAAATTTTATGGAGATTAAAATATATAATAAAAATACTGCTAAGATTATGGAAAATGCAAGTTTTAGACATGAAATGTTATCTACTATCTTTAAAAGAAAAATAAAAATTTTGAAGAGAAACTTATATCTAAAAAGCAGGGTTATTTTACATTTACTGAAAGTAGCTGTCTTTTAAAATTCTGTTCTTATTAATTTAGAACAAAATAGGTTGGAGTTTAAAACTAGCTCACTTTTATTTTATGTGTAATAAGTTGAAATTTATAATAAATTCACTTTTATTCCCTTCTTTGGATACCTGAAGACAGACATTTAATTAATTAATTAATTAAAAAAATTATTAATTGAGAGAGAGAGAGAGAGGGAGAGAGAGAGAGAGATATTTGTTGTTCCACTTATTTATGCATTCATTTGTTGATTGTTCCCTGACTGGGAATCAAACTCATAACCTTTAAATCTGCCTGCAACTGTGGCATATCTGGATGACATTCAAACCAACTGACCTACCTGGACAGAGAATCAATATAGCCATTCAAAATGCAACAATTTATTGAACAGGAAAATAGGCAATCTATATGAGTCTTTTCAAAAATATACTTCAGCTGCCTTCTTTCAAGTTCTTACATATGAGCTTTTCTTTTTGGAAAAAGCTCATGCAATTTGGTTATCTTTATTAACCCTTGTATCATAGTTATGAAATTTAAAATACTATAGTTCTGAATGTTTTTGCCGAATGACTAATTTATATAACAAGGACAGTGGTTTTAAAAGTGTGGTCTGTGGAACCTGGGTGCCACATTTCTTTCCTTTTCTTCCCTTCTGAAGTTTTGAACAAGGTGGATTTAACTTTTTGAAGGGTGCTTTTTGGGTTTAGTTTGGTCTAAAGATGGCTGAAAGGCTTACTGCTCATATCTCTCACAAGCAGTTCTAGAAACTCCTTTAATATATACATTAAGTTTATATATATATATATATATATATATTCCTTTAATATATATATTTGATGGCCTCCACCAATTCTTTTACTTATTTTTAAAAATTAATTTCTTTATTGATTAAGGTATCACATATTTGTCGTCAACTCCCATTCCAATCCTCCCCCCCACTCATGCCCCCTCCCCCCAGTGTCCTTGACCACCGGTTAGGTTCATATGTGTGCACATAAGTCCTTTGGTTGATCTCTTCCTTTTATCCCCACCCTCCCTTTGAGGTCCAACAGTCTGGCCCCTTATCTCTGGGTCCGTTCTTATACATTAGTCTATGTTGTTCACCATTTCCCCTAGATGAGTGAGATCAGGTCCTACTGGAAATATTCTTGATCATTTTCAAATGTTGTTCTAATGTTTCACTATGAATTTCACTATGAATTAAAAGAAGGGGGCTATAATGACAAACCACTCTCCTGGGAGAATACAAAAAATCAATGTAGCTGTACATTGGGTGTGGTTTTTCTGGCATTTTGTATTCCCATAGCATTTACTATGCTTGATTAATTGTAAAAGCTGTAAACTCTCAGTTATTCATATCATGAAGAACAACCCTAATTGAATTTTCCACTGACCAGTAACCCCTGCTTACGAGAATCCATACCTGCTTCCACATACAGTTGCTATGGCTTTGAAGCAGCCAGATGCAAGTTGGTAGGAACCTGTGTAGCATCGGTCAATTGCCCAATTAAAAAGATTTATTTGGTCAGGATTAAGTTCCAAGAGTAAGACGACAACTTCACAGCCAAGTTGATGAACCTGAATACACAGAAGAAAGCAATTATTCATGTTTAATGAAAGGTTATTCCAGGGAAAGACACAAAATCAAGCTTAGTCAATATCGAATGGGGTAAAATAAAGTGGAGACTAAGCATTCATCTTGATTAATTTTTATTTCAAATTTTTCCTCTTTAAGAGGGAGTGATTGAAATTGAATACTGAAATAAATGCTTTTCTGCATCTATTGAGATGACCATATAATATTTCTTTCTTGAGACACTAAATATTAATGCAATTAACATACTAATGAATTGATGGACATTAAACTAATCAAGTAGGTCTTAAATAATCACAACTTGGTTACGATGAATCATCTTTTTTTAATATATCACTGAATTCAGTTTTCTTATAATTTGTTTAAAGTTTTTATTCCTATGCTCATGAATGAAATTGCCTTTTAATATTATTTCTTGTTAAATCCTTGCCAGGTTTTAGTATTAAGGTCACGCTGGTCTGCTAAAACATGTTGGAATGTATTTTCTCTTGAGCTGTTTTCTCTTTAAGGATTTATATCAAATCAATACAATTTGTTCCTTAAATGTTGACTTCATCAGTAAAGCCATCTGTTCTTAAAGTTTTGTGGTTTTTGTTTTTGTTTTTTGTGGAAAGTCCAATTGCAGATTAAATTTCTTTATTACTTATATAACAGATTTTCTTTTCTTCTGGTATTGTGTTTTTCTAGGAATTTGGCTCTTTTATCTAAATTTTCAAGTTTACTGGCACAAAGGTGTTCATATGTTCTCATTTATTTTAAATATTTTAACTATTGTAGTGATGGTCCTTTACATTTATGATGCTAATGACATGTGCATTCTTTCTCTTTCTTGATAAGACTTGTCATTGATTTATTAATTAAAAAGTATATTTTTATTGATTTTTTTACACAGAGGAAGGGAAAGGACAGAGAGTTAAAAACATCAATGTGTAAGAAACATCAATCAGCAGCCTCCTGCACACCCCCTACTGGGGATGTGCCTGCAACCGAGGTACATGCCCTTGACCGGAATCAAACCTGGGACCCTTCAGTACAAAGGTCGATGCTCTATCCTCTGAACCAAACAGTTAGGGTTTGGATTTATTAATTTTATTAGTTTTTTAAAACAAATTCAACTTTTGGTTTAAATTAATTATTTCTCTTTGATTAATTTCTGCTCTTATTCTTAGTCCTTCATTTTGCTCGATTGAGTTTGAAGTTATTATTTTTCCAACACCTTGAGATGGATGCTTAGGTCATTATCAGCCTTTTTTTCTATTATATGCACTTAAAACTAGAAATTTCTGTCTAAGCAAGACTTTATTTATAATCCACAAGTTTAGTATGTAGTGCTTTCATTATTCTTCAGTTAAAAATATTTTCCATTCTCTCATTTATTCTTTCACTCACTGGTTATTTAGAACAGTGTGCCTTAATTATGTATTTACTAGAGGCCTGGTGCATGAAATTTGTGCACTCCTGGGGGTCCCTCAACCTGGCCTGTGCCCTCTTGCAGTCCGGGCACTCTTGGGGGATGTCCAACTACTGGCAGTCAGACATCCTTAGTGATGCTGCAGTAAGACATCCTTAGTGCTGCTGTAGAGGTAGGAGAGGCTCCCACCACTGCTGCTGTGCTTGCCAACTGTGAGCCCAGTTCAGGGCTTCTGGCTGAGCCACTAACCACAAGGGGGGCAGCTCCTGCATTGAGCATCTGCCCCCTGGTGGTCAGTGTGTGTCATAGCAACTGGTTGTCCCACCATTTGGTCAATTTGCATATTAGCCTTTTATTATATAGGATGGGAAAGACTAACAGAGGTTAGAGGGGAGGGTGATTAACATAGACAAAAGTATGGTGATGGCCAGAGGTTGGGGGCTGGATGGAGGAGAGTAAAGGAGGGAAAAATTGAAGACATCTATAATAGTGTCAACAATAGAATAAAAACAACAATGGTATACCACTACACTACACACCTATTAGGAAAACAAAAGATACATTATGAACTATGTATTTATTACTTTGATAAAATTAAAAAATTTAAAAAGAAAGGATTTTGTCCAGAAAGGAGTGTTGTTGAAATGTTTTTATTTTTATAGTAAAGCTAAGGAAGCTTCAGAGCCCTTGTGAGGGCTGAATTTGTTCTGGGGGAGAGAGCAAGCAAGTTGCAACCAGTAGCATTTTGGATAACTTGCCTGAAACAATTTAAAAGAGAAGGGTACAGATTCCCCAAGCCTACAGTTATTTGTAATTTATTTTCTTATTCTATTGTAAATAAAGTCATTTTTGAACCTTATTAAAAAAAATCCTGCCTGCCATGCCCTCCCCCCCTCAAATTAGTCTTTATGGTTCAGTAAACTTTAGGCCTCACAAAACCTCTGTTAGTCCCTGAGGGTTAGGTTACCTAAAGGAGTTTGGATTCATTCATTATATTTATTTGCTCCTTTTAATTCTTGTTCTAGGAAGAGTGAGGACAGTTTTTTATTCAGTAATTTTTATAATAAGAATTGTATTGGAACCTGCTCCTTCTTTGGCTGTTTACAGGTTTACCTTACCGGGAACTCACAGAAACTTAAGCCCTTTGAGGATAGGGACAGAGCTGTATTGAGATTCTATAATACAGGCACAAAGTTAATACAACCTTTATGAATATTTGTTGAAGAAACAGATACATTTCAGTGCCATGAGGCATTACATTTCTTTCTGCTCCATCTCTTTATTGAGACTTTTGTGCAAAGCATAAGGCTGAGGGGATGAGCAGGTAGAGTGGAGTAAGGTTGCTTTATCCAAACCCTAGATATCATACTTTAATTTTACATAGTAGATGCATTTCTGAATGACATTTTGAATTGGGTATATTAGATTTTGCTAATATCAACTCCCTTTACTCATAGAGATTGTTTTTTAATGATGTTTAAATATTTCGTACTATAAGGTGCAAAATATTTTGCTTATTTCAAGAATCTTTGTGTATTCTTTCTGTAGTAAAGTGAATTATCAACATGGTAAGTCTATTTGGGGGGTCTGCTTAAAATGGGGCACACCAGTACTAAATTTGGTTCTAACAATAACTAATTCTCACACCATGTGTGCAGTTAGATGGCCGTTGGACATAACCATTTCATTTGGTCCCTTTGCTCCCACAGCACCTGCTTCAACCAGAGGCAGTGTCTTGACCTCCATGACCGCTCTGTCATGGCGACCGCGGGGTGTCTACTGCCTGAAGCCTTGGTAGTCAGCCGGGCACTGACCCTCCCAAGATGGCAGCAACCCGGAGGAATGTGTGTCAGGGGCGGGGTCCTGTGGGCAGAGGTGGGACAGGAGACACAGGGAAGCTGCCAGTGCGAGTCCACCAGGTTCAGCTGGCCTGCAGGAAAGCTCTCCCTCCCCATCTCCTCTTCTCCCAGGCTGGCAGCTGGATGGCTGAGGGGAGTGCAGCCACTGGTGAGGCTAGGAGTGGGCTCGCAAGGGTGGGGATCCTGATGCAGTGGTCTTGGCCAGGTGGGCACTTCTTCCCTGGCTTTTGCAGGGTGTTGGGGGCAGGGCCTGGAAAGGAGGGAGGCTTCTCCCTCCCTCACTGTTGGGTGGGACATTGCAGGGGAGGGGCTGTGGATCCTTAGCTCAGACCCACCCTCCTAGGACTGGGTCATGGGATTAGGAGCTGCTGAGGTTGCCAGACCCTTGCGGGTGGGAAGGAGCATCTGGGCCTGCCCCGCAGTGAGTCCTTGGCTTGGGTGTCTGAGCAATGGGCAGTGGTGAGGCCGCAGAGTTGTGGAAGATAACAAAGCGCTGGCATCCGTGGCCTTGATGCTGGCGTGTAGGGATCTGAGAACCTGGCCGGGTGCTGGACATACCTCCCTGCCTGTGCCTGGCATGGGCTCCTCTGAGCCATCGGGGGCGGGGGGGGGGAGTATAAGGGGTGGCCCAGTGGATGATCTGTCACATGAGACCCCAGACCTGCCACACAAGGCAGGACCCCAGACCCTCCAAGCCAATGCGGGGGCAGGACCCCAGCATCCACCACACTGCCGCAGGGGCGGGATCCCAGGCCCTAGACTCACTGCACTGGCGAGACCCATCAATGCACATCCTAGTGACCAGTTGTTTGGTCACTAAGGCATTATGGCCACGTGCTTTTTATATATATAGATTATTGATCACTAGCATAATTCCACTGCGATTAGAGAACACAGTCCATATAACTTGAATAGAGTAAACTTTATGGAGACTTGCTTTATGGGATAGTTTATTGTCAACCTTGGTAAATGCGATATTTATCTGGATGCATCATAGTGTATTGTGACAACACTTAAACCTAATTCTGTGGTTGATGTTGGAAGATACTGTGAACAATGCTGAGACACTCAGTAACCTAGCTGAGGCAGATTACCCTATACATTGAGCGAGTAAGGATCTTTAGCTAATACTTACTCGTAAATCTTGACAAGCCAGAATGTTGTCAAGCCACTTATATAGGTAGCCATCTGGGGAAAGGCCCACGTTGTCAAACACAGGGCCGCAGCACAACACTGCTGACATTGCCTGATAACAAAACACAAAACACCTGGGAATGAAAACTGGAATGGTCTAATGGTATGCAACAGACTTTATAAAACATAACTACCAGAATTATAAATGATAAAGATCTTTTAAAGCAGTTATTTCCACAGATTTTTAAGTATTCCTTAGTAAAGTCAATAAAAAGTACCAGATTCCCAACTGGCTCATTTTAGAAGAGCTAAACTCATAAATTTAACTTCATGAAAAATATTTTATGATCATAACAAGCCTCTATCATGAAACAGTAAAACATTCAAAGCAAAATTCCATGTCACAGTTTTGAAAACAAACTCACCTTAAGTGAATTCAATTGAATTAATTCTGTTTAGAAGATAGAGCTTTTAAACTTTTGCTTTGACTATGGACTGAATCGAGAAACTTGACAAATATTTGACTAATGTACTAAATTGATAAACTATGAAAAACATGGAATAATTGTGTTTTTTTAATCAAAGATAAAAAAAATGAAAAATATAAACTTCAGTTCCTTTGAAGCTGAGGGGAGGAAGCAAGGGAAGGTGAGATCTTTATTAATTCTTTAATTAGCAAGTCCAGGTGACTATCAGAGCCATGATTTAAATGAGCTCCATTGAGACAATTGTCAACCTGAAAGTCAGCATGATAGTTTAAATTAGACTGGGAATGATGTTTCCGAAATTTTTGAACAGTCCTAGTAGTGTGAAAATTTATTGATTTCTGGGAATCTTCTAGTATAAGAAGATAAAAATGGAAATGGCAGATTTTGAACTTGAGGATATATATATATTAAATATCTATCTATCTATCTATCTATCTATCTATCTATCTATCTATCTATCTATCATCTATATAATAGAGAAATATGCTAATTAATTGGGACACCATAACGGGTCAACCAGACAGGAGGAGGTTGAGTGTGCAGCGTTGGGGGTGGGGCATCAGGGTCCTCTGCGTGCCTGTGCTGGGGAGGGCCTGATCAGCAGTGGCCGTGGCTGCTTCAAGGGCCAGAGAAGGAGGCAGGGCCAGACTGGTGACTCGAAGGTGGGTGGTGCTGCACGATTTCAAATTGCATGCTGGGTTCCTAATACACACACAAACAAACACACACACACACACACACACACACACACACGATGCCCCCCAAAATCAATGCACACTTTAACATCTGATAGCTCAATTTTTTTAGGGGTAACACCATACACACACACACACACACACACACACACACACACACAGACACACACACCTCATTATAATCTTGCTTTATGGGATAGTTTTTTATGGGACTTTTTTTTAGGTTGAAAGTTTATTAACAAGGAAGCTATTTTAAGGGTTTATCCCTTACGAAAATTATGTGGTTCTATGGGAGAAAAAAGAGAACCTAGGAAATACTTTCAACATAAAGATTAAATAAAATTATTAAAAACTAAAACAAACAAAACAAAAAGAATGTGGTTCTTATATAGAAGACACAATGATTAAAGTGGAAGCTTGGATAAGTTTTGCACCTAGAAATTATGAGGCCAATTGGAATAATTGCATTTCTATACACAACTATCAATCTTTTATGTGTGTTCATTTTGGAATTTTTAAGGTCAGCTCATGTATTTATTTGATTTTTTTGCAAGTATACTTAGATTCTGCCATATCATATGAAATAATATTATTTATTTCAACCTAATTTAAGGCAAGTTACCAGTTTAAGGATCTCACCATGGATCTCACAAGAATCATCATGAGGCAAAGGTGACCTACCTTTAAGGCACAATACTGGTATCTTGTGATCTGATGGTTCCTGTCACTATAGCGATCCAGAGGCGTGAACATAATGCTGAAGGGCCCTGCCCACTGGCTGAACAAGATGAAAAGATGGTGCCTCAGGCTTTGCTGGGGGAAGAGAAATCTCCTGTGGTGAACTAGAGAGAAAAATGCAGTTAACAGTTTCCGAGAATAAAAAATATAGTGAATACAATTTATGTCACTATAAGTGACATAAGTTTTGGAGAAATGTTTAATTTCTTAACTCCAGGTTCCTTTTTCAAAGTGTTGAAAAAGTTAAGCAGAATTTTCTTTCTAAGTGTGCATCCTTTCTCACTAGCATGTTGTCAGAGCAGGAAGCAGAGACAAAAGATGACTCACACACTGTTTTCTATTCAATATCTAGAGAACTTTCCAACACATTCCAATCAGCTGCTTACATAGACAATGTTCCCTTGACTGCTGCCAGTCTTTAGGAAAAATTATGAAGTATATTGTATAAACAATTTTAAACAAATATACTTTAGCTGAAGAGATCAGCTCACATCTTACTTTAAAGTCATCAAAATGAGGAAGATTGGTTATACAACATATAAGTTATGAAAAAGTAGAAATAGTTGAGGGGAGTTTTTTGTAATTATGTCACGTGCTTTTAATGACAGTCAGCCATTCATTTTTACCCTGAACTGGCCTTGTAGTAAAGTTTAGATATCAGCATGATTTCTTCAACTTTGTTCTTCTTCCTCAAGATTGCTGTGGCTATACAGGCTCTTTTGTGGTTCTATATAAATTTTTGGAATATTGGTTCCAATTCTGTAGAATATTCCATTAGTAACTTGATTGGAATTGTGTGGAGTCTATAGCTTGCTTTGGGTAGTATCAACATTTTAATGATATTACTTCTTCCTATCCATCAGCATGGCATACAGTTCCACTTATTTATGTCTTCTTCACTTTCATTCTTTAGTGTCTTATAACTTTTGGAGTACAGGTCTTTTACACTCTTGGTTAAATTTATTCCTAGATTATTGTTTTTTTAATGCAATTGTAAATGGGATTGTTTGATTAGTTTCCATTTCTGATACTTCATAATTGGTGTATAGAAATGCAACTGATTTCTGGATGTTTATTTTGTATCCTGCTACTTTACTAAACTAATTTATCAGATCTATTAGTTTTTTGGTGCAATATTAGGTTCTTTATGTACAGTTTCATGTCATATGCAAATAATGACAGTTTTACGTCTTCTTCTCCAACTTGGATGCCTTTATTTCTTTTTTTTTTTTAAACATTTTTTAAAATATATTTTATTGAGATTTTACAGAGAGGAGGAAGAGAGAGAGATAGAGAGCTAGAAATGTCGATGAGAGAGAAACATCGACCAGCTGCTTATTGCACACCCCCTACCGGGGATGTGCCCACAATCAATGTACATGCCCCTGACCAGAATCGAACCTGGGACCTTTCAGTCCGAAGACCGATGCTCTACCACTGAGCCAAACCGGTTTCGGCTGGATGCCTTTTATTTCTTCCTCTTGTCTGACTAATTGCTGTGGCTAGGAATTCCAGTACTATGTTGACTAAGAGTGGTGAGAGTGGACATTTCTATCTTGTACTCAGTCTTAAGGGAAAAGTTTTTTGTTTTTCTCATTGAATTTTATATTGGCTGTAGGTTTGTCCTATATATCTTTTATTATATTGAAGTATGTTCCCTGTATTTCCATGTTGCTGAGAATTTTTATTGCAAACTAGAGACCTGGTGCATGAAAGTTTGTGTGCTGGTGGGGGGTGGGAGGGCTCCCTTAGCTTGGGTTGAGCCCTCTTGTAGTCTGGGACTCTGGGGGGTTTGTCCACTGCTGGCTTAGGCCTGCTCTCCAGGGGACTGGGCCTCAGCTGGCAGTCAAACATCCCTCTGGCAGCCTGGAAGCCCTCGGGGGATGTCCAACTAACAGCTTAGGCTGTGGGGAGCAGGCCTAAGCTGTTAGTCGGGCATCCTTAGTGTTGCCACAGAGGCAGAAGAGGCTCCCGCTACCACTACTGTGCTGGACAGCCATGAGCCGGCTTCTGGCTGAGTGGTGCTCCCCCTATGGAAGTGCACTGACCACCAGGGGGCAGCTCCTGCATTGAGCATCTTTCCCCTGGTGGCCAATGCACATCATAGCAGTCGGTTGTTCCGCCATTAGGGTCAATTTGCAATTACCATTTTATTATATAGGATTTTATTAAATGCTTTATTCTACATCTAGTGATACAATCATGTATCCTTCATTTTGTTTATGTGGTATATTACATTTATTGATTTGTAGATATTGTTACCAACCATGCATCCTAGGAATAAATTCCACTTGATCATGGTGTATGATGTTTTCAAAGTATTGATGGATCCAGTTTGCTAATATTTTGTTGAGGATTTTAGCATCTGTGATATTGACCTATAATTTTATTTCTTTTTAGTGTCTTTATCTAGTTTTGGAATTAGGATAATGCTGGCCTCATAAAATAAGTGAGGGAGTCTTTCCTCTCTTGAATTTCTTAGAATATTTTAAAAAGGATAACTTTTAGTTCTTCTTTGAATGTTTGATAAAATTCTCCTATGAAGCCATCTGGTCCATGTCTTGTTTGTTGGGAGTTTTTTTTGACTACTGCTTTAATTCTACTAATTATAATCTGTCTATTCAGATTCTCTAGTCTTCCTGATTCAGTTTAGGAAAATTGTATATCTCTAGGAATTTATCCATTTTGTCCCAATTGTCCAATTTGTTAGCATACAGTTTTTCATAACATTTTCTTACAATACTTTCTATTTCTGTAGAGTCACTTGTTACTTCTCCCCTTTCATGTCTGATTTTATTTATTAGGATCCTCTCTCTTTTCTTCTTCATGAGTATGGTTAAAGGTTTATCAACCTTGTTTACCTTTTCAAAGACCCAGCTCTTGGCTTCATTGATCTTTTGTATTTTTTAAAGACTTTGCATTTATTTCTGTTCGGATCTTTATTATTTCTGTTCTTCTACTCACTTTGGAGTTTGCTAGCTTTCCTTTTCTAGTTCCTTTAAGTGTAAAGTTAAATTATTGTGTTGATATTTTTCTTGTTTCTTAAGGTAGGCCTGTAATGCTATGAATTTACCTCTTAGAACTGCTTTTGCTGTATACAATAGATTTTGGGCTCTTGTGTTCTCATTTTCATTTGTTTTAAGGTATCTTTTTTTAATTTTATTTCTTCTTTAATTTCATTCATTGTTTTGAAACATGTTATTTAGCTCCATGTGTTTGTGTGTTTTTCAGTTGTTTTCTTGTGATTGATTTCTGGTTTTATAGCATTATGGCCAGAGAAGATTCTTAATATGGTTTCAACTTCTTAAATTTACTGCGACTTATTTTTGTCTAATGTATAGTCTATCCTAGAAAATGTGCCATGTACACTTGAAACAAATGTATATTCTGCTGCCTTGGGGTGAAATGCTCCGAGGATATCAATGAAATCCATCTGATCTAGTGTGTCATTTAAGGCCACTGTTTCCTTGTTGATTTTTTTTTCTGTCTGGGAGATCTACCCATTGGTGTTACTGTGGTATTAAAGCCCCCTACTATGATTATATTATTATCTATCTCTCCCTTTAGGTCTATCAAGATTTGTTTTATATATTTAGATGTTCCTATCTTGGGTGCATAAATATTTACAAGGGTTATATCATCTTGTTGGATTGTTCTCTTTATCATTACATATTGTCCTTTTTGTGCTCTTATTATAGCCTTTGTTTTAAAGTTTAGTTTGTCATATATAAGTCTTGCTACTCCAGTTCATTGTTCATTTCCATTTGCATGAAATATATTTTTCTATTCTTTCATTTTTACTCGGTATATCTTTCATTCTGTGATGGATCTCTTGCAGAGTCCAAATATATAGATTTTTTTTTTGTAATCCATTTAGCTACCCTATGTCTTTTGATTGAAGCATTAAAGCCATTTACATTTATAGTGATTATTAATAGGTACATATTTAATGCTCTGCAGTAAAGTGAGGGAGCACAAATGTTTAATGAAATAAATATTTGAAATATATAATTAAAAAATAGAATTACTTAAATGGACTAAATGCTCCAATAAAAATACATAGGGTAGCAGAAAGGGGAAGAAAATAAGATCCATATATACTAGTATGCTGCCTACAAGAAAACCATTCAGATAGAAAGACATACAGATTAGAAGTAAAGGGATGAAAAAAGGTATTTCATGCAAAGGAAAACAAATAAAAGAAAGCTGGTGTATATTTCTACCAGGCAAATCAGACTTTAAAACATGTTCACAGATTAGCACAAGGATGAACAAAAATAAAGCACCTGTGAATTTATTCCCTCTGAATTTCTTCCCTGTTATGGAAGTCACTTAGGTTCATTTTCACATGGAAACCAAAATAAAGAATAGAAATAATGACAAATATAAAGCAAAGCTTAATTCCTATTGTTCCCTTTCCAACTCTGTGCTGAATTAACACAATCTATCCTCATGGTATATTTCCAAGTATTTCAAGACAAATAGCAACCCAACCCTGCATACAAGCCAGGAGGATTAGAGGGAAGCACTGTCCTGAGGAACAAAAGTTTTTCAAACATAAAGTATAAGTAACATACCTGGAACACATTGAATCAAGTTGGCGACCATGGCACTAAAATGTGCCCGGATATCTTTAAGAATTTCAACTTCTTTATCATTTTCAGCTTCTAGCAGCATGCGGGTCAGGTCTACATACTCTAGGAACAAAGCTCCAAGGGCTAAAGTATCCCGTTCTAAGGCTCCATTTGTGCTGGAATAAAGGAAAATAGAACTTTTAGATGCTTAGTTTTTATTTCAAAGTGGTACCTGCTTCATGGAAAATAAGATCCACTGTCATAGTGGACACACTACATTTGTTCTTGACCTATATGCAGCGTAAATAGATTAAGAACCCCCACAAGATTTTTGGACTTTTTCTGAGTAAAAAGTTAAAGGTAATATATTTTTAAAAAGAAAGGAAATAAAAAGAGATAAAAGTAGACCAGTGTGATAAGCAGAGATCAATTAGGAGAATTTTTACCTTACCTGTCACTTATTACACCAGCATCAGCCAGAAGTTCAAAAATTCGAAGTAACTGTAGTCTTAACAAGTCCCGCCGTTCTCGGCGCTTTTTGTTCTGTACAGAAAGAGGTGATACCACTTACAGACAGGAACGAGGCAATATGAGCTTTGCTTTAGGAAACTAGGTTAAAGAAAGGCCTAACCTAGTACTTTTCAATTTTCTAAACATAAAAGACAAAATGTATTTTTATTTTTTCCTAATCCTTCGAGACAATGTTTGCTATTACAGGTTGTAAGGGAAAGATCATTGAGGGGTGGGTAAGTATCTATATGGGGGAAATGTTCAGAGCAAGCCTCAGTTCCTAGATACCACAAGCACGTGTGGAAAGACCGGAGCATCTTAAGTCAAGTAGAAAAGAAGAGTGGACACTAATACTCCCACCAATCTGACCACGGAGCTCGTGTGTTCTTACTCAAACTGCTCAATTTTTGTTACTTCTTGCTTGATTCTTACTCCTATATGGGAAGCTCATTTTAGTCTTCTTTTATTTTTTATCCTGCTACATTATAAGTTAATCCATTTCAGAGTTCACTTTGGGGAAGATAATGTTGGGGAAAATGCTTTATATGCCAGACAAAACAAATAATATTTGTAACCATTCAACTCCCTGTAAAAAACAAGCAAACAAACTAAAAACCAAAATTCAATCAACTCAAACCTTCTTCAAATAAATGTGATAACTTAACATATATATGACTACTTAGGTTTTTTGTTTTCATAAATATAGGACATAAAATCTTTTAAAGTAGGAGCTATATTATACTAAGTATTCAAATACTGAAGAAATGAAAATAATAAAAGCTAAAATGTTAAGATTCAATATAAAAAGCATGCTGGGGAAACAATTTGATATGATTTAAATTCACACCACTGTCCAAATACACCAAATATCTTAATGATTTAGTTTCAAAATCTTACCTCGGGTCTTCGTTCCAGAGCTTCTTTCATTAATGGGTGAAGTTCTTCTACCAATTCCCTACAGAGGAAAAAGGTTAGCATTTTAAATATATTATTATTGACACCAAATTTGTCACCAAACATATCCATTCAATCCTAAATCACTTGGTTTTTACACTTTGCTTCTGACATCAAAATCTTTCCTGGCCTTCCCATTTCCCAGTCACATTGTGAACTATAGTTAGGTACTGGCCTATACTTTGTATTATTGGTATTAATCCCAGTTCTGTGAATATAATTTTGGCTCAATACATGTATTGACTTGGTTTTGATTTAACGTCTGAACAATTAAAAATATTTTGCAAGTACTTCAAGGCTATGGACTCGAAGATAAGTGAAACTGAGTTTCTACACAGAAATTTTCAGTCTAATTAGAGCATATGAGAAGGTGCAATACTATAGCACTGTCTTTGGGATCTGTGCTCAGGGAAATGACTGATAGTTGACTCTGACATGAAGTTTTTTTTGTAATTTCAGAGATAAATTCCTTAATTTAAACTATAAGACAAATATAAATATGGCAAGTACTATAGTAGTGAGGTTCTCATAAAAACCTTACCTCTTACATTGTAAAAATAAAAGTTTGATCATGTTAATATATATCTCATATTACATGTATATACTCCACCTGTCCCCATTATTTAGCCTGTTGGTGAGTATTTTGTTTATAACCTGATCCATATCTAAAAACCTTGTATTTTTCTGGTAGAATATTTTGTGCTAATAGAAATTGCTTTCCAGGGAAATCCAGGTAAACTCTATTGGATTCTGCACTGAGACATAGAAAGCCTGTGTTTTATTCCTGATTTTTTCAATATAAATGCTAGAATTTTTTACACCACAGACATGGAAATAATATTAATAGTCTCTTCCATCTAATAGCAGACATTAACCAAATATTTACTATGTGCATTTTTATATTTAACTCTCTTATTAAATCTGAGTCAGATCCTATAATTATACCAATTTTTATTTTTATTTTTTATTAGAGAGACACACTTTATTTTTACTGATTATAAAAATTTTACAGGGGAGGAAACGGAGGCCCAGATCTATATGGTTAGTAAGTTGCATAAGTTACTTCCCCTGAGGAACACTAAGATGAGATATGCAAAAGAGAGCCTCAGGTTCTTGGGGGAAAATGTTCAGAAATTTCAGGAATTGTTCTTATTATCTTCTTATAGTATTTTTATATGATGCTTTTTTAGTTTTAATAAATAAGTAATAAAACTCTAAGTGGCATTCAAGTAGTCAAAACTCACAATTACTTTTTAAATTCTTTTTTAAAAAATTCTTTATTGTTTAAAGTATTATATATATGTCTCTTTTACCCCCCATTGACCTTTCCCTAGCCACCCCCACCTCCAGCACATGCCTTCATCCCACTAGTATCTGTGTCCATTGGTTATGCTTACATGCATGGCTACAAGTCCTTTGATTGATCTCTTATCCCTCCACCCAAACCCTCTCGTGCTTTCCATCTGAAGTTTGATGGTCGTTTTTGATTCTGTCTCTAGATCTATTTTTATTCATCAGTTTTTGTTGTTCATTATATTACACTCACAATTTTTCTAAAGATAAACTCTGACTCTCTACATGAATAATGTAACTGATCTTTTTCAGTTGCCTCTAAGATGTCTCATTAATCTTTACTTTACAAATAGGGTTTTTCAGATGCTTGAAGTGTTCCCTTTTGTATCTGTGTGAAACCTATACAATTTAATTTGTCCTCGTAGGCTTTCCTACTTAGCTAAAGTCATCAGAGGCAGCCCGAATATGACATTTTATGATGACTCTTTCAAAGGTTAACTACTGCCTCAGATGGAATGATTATTTAATTAAAGCTGTGAAATGACTAAGAAATCTAGAAAGTGAGATATGATGATTCCACAAAGGCAGATAAAGTACCTTACAGAAATGTCCACTAGTGTAACAGGTCATCCCTAAGAAAGTTCTACCAATGCTTAATCTTTGAGAGTGTTGCATTATTGGCAGACACTCCTTATTGTGACATTAAAGCCTCTGGACAGTCTGCTTAACTGGACATTGACAAGGAAATTGTTTTTACAGTTATCTAAAACAAAGCTTGCAAGTGAGATAAAATCTGAGAGGTAAAATGAAAGTTGCAATGACAAAAAGCTAAACAAGAGGTAGCTGCAAGCAAAGTTTGTTTCATGCACATCAGTCAGGACACAGGAAACAGCGCCATGCCAGAAACTGCAGGTACTTGCCCATAGCAAACTCAGACTTGTGTTACAAACAGGAACTACGACAGCAGCAGCATGTATGAATTTACAACTTATTAAGACTAATGTACCTGAAAACAAGGGAATTTGTTCTTCCAAATCCTAAAACTAAGGACTCTGTGATCTCAATGCCCTCTAGTCTCATCAAAGGCACCAACTGCTTTAACAGAACTCCCACCGATGGGGTGCCCATGGCCTGAAACAAGTTAATTAAAAGAGAAAAAGAGGTCACATGGGAACAGATGCTTCCTTTAGTCAAACGGTGACTCCATTATAACAGTTTCAAAGTGTGAACCACTTCCCAAGGCACTGCCATCATTTCAGGAAAAATAAAACAACCCATATATTTGATACAGCACAATGAATGCATTTTTTATCTGAGACACAAATTAAAGAACTTTTAAATTATAATAGTCTTCTTACAAAAACAAATTAAATCTACAAAACTTATCATTAACAAGATAATTTAATCAAGGCACGGTTTTAAGGTAAAGACTTTTTGTGGAGTGACAGACATGCAGTGTGTAGGACATGAGTCAAACCTCAGGGCACTAATAAATACAAGTCCCAATGTTTTAAGAAAGTTTGCTCACCTCTCTTTATCTTCTTCTGTCCATTTGTCAGGCAGAAATTATAAATTATGCACATAAAAACTCAGTGGAATTTAGAAATGTTCAGGGTGAAAATCTGATTCTGTATACTCCAGATGGCAGGCACAGTACAATTTGCACTGTGAACTCTAGACAAACAAGCTAAAAAAAACCCTTACAGAATAATTCTTCTGAAGCATGTCATGTCACCTTGTTATCGTAGCTCACTGTACCATCAGGCGTGGTCGCCATTATTTCTGGAGTCGAAGCTCTTAAGTGTCCTGGGCTCATGATACTGGGTTTTGCAACTCCAAAGCAAAGAATGAGGTAGTTTCTCCACAAGGTCACATAGTTGTCTCCACTGCCGGCAGTGCTGGTTTTCTTGGCATTAATTGGGCTACTAGGAATATAGAGAAGTGAGCACTAGGTCAGGATTTTAAATATTATTCATTGAATAATGATCCTACAAAGTGCTCAAAGAGAGTTGAACAGCTATCTGTCAACTATTGTCTGGACAGGGAAGGTCACTACTGGATAGGAAGTTTTATGAACTATCATAACATTTTCACCAGTAAGGTCTGAGATTCTGTACTTAGACATTCATATTGATTATTATGAAAAGCAACAACAACAATAACAACAAAACTAGTTCTAAATGAGAGCTTTGAACCAGATTTTTATTCAATGTTAAGAATTCTATATTAGGAAGTTCAGAATCTAGAGAAGATTATAATTATCTCAATCTCTGATATGAAATGAAAATGTAAGAGGGAAAATGGTGACGAGCAAAACAGAGGAAAGCACATAGATCCCTTACTTGGGGTCCACTAGAGGCATGACTGACTGGAGCCGAGTGAAGGCATATGGCCAGGCATAGCTGAGGGCTGTGGGACAATGCTTGGGCAAGTTCTCCTGTCGCAGGAAACTGAACAGGCAGAGGATCCAGGGGTCTTTGACAGACTGAGCGAATATCCAGACGTGGGATGGACTCTTCACATCATAATGGCTGTTGACCAGGACCGCATTCCATTCCACCAACCACTGAAGATCCACACTGTGGGTCAGTGGTAAGGTGGCCTGCAAGTGCAAGAGGGCAAGGAATCAACACAATACTGTAAACTCCACATCCTCCTCATAGCTTTTCCTGACCACCTCTGTAACCGGTCATGCAGTAACTCTGAAACCTCCTCCTACCACTACCATAGTAGTCATCACTGTTTCCTAGACTGGATGACAAGCAACCAAAGTACAGAGGTTAAGGACAAGGGTTGTACTTAGTATAGTTTTAATGTCATATAACACTGTGCATTGGTAAGCAGATGCTGCTCACTAAATATTTGTTGAACAAAGACATGACATTATTTAATTCAAACTAGACCAAAGATTTTCCATTTTAAAATTCTGAAAACTTATTAATCTCTAAGATTCATAAACGTGTTATATATATATATATATCCTAATTATAGGTATTAATAAATAATTTATTTATTACCTATTAATAAATATATTTATTAATAGGTAATAAATAAATAAATAAATAAATAAATTTAAAGCAATAATAATTACTTAGGGAGATGGCTGAGTTTAATTCCTTTTATGAAAGGCATTTTATTGATGACTTTTAAGGTAAGATATCTATATATACTTGTCCTATGTTATCAAGCCAAACATACATTCTAGAACCTTTTGAAAGATATCAAATCATGTAAGTTCTTATTCATTTTCTTTTAAGACCAGAAATCAAAATTTACAGAAGACCAAATTTCAAATAATACAGCTGCAGTACCAGGAAAGAAAATTGCCTTTATCTTTGTTAGGCATTTAACCCAATCCATTTTCTCAGCTGGGTCTAGGAGTTCCCGTGGGTCAGAGCACCCACTAGTGGCCTCGTTGGTTAATACACCATTGAGAAGAGATTCCAGCCCAGATTCTTCCCAAAGCCTATGACCAGAAAACCCCCAGACATCCCAAAGTGCTTCATTTATGACTTGGGGATTACAATGCTGCTCTCACTCCATCTTTATGTGAATGGGAGGTAAGAACACCTGGCACAAAGCAGCTACTGCCTGCCCTATCTCCCCTCCTGTGCATCTTCGTAACTGCAGAGTTGCTGCCCTAATTACCTTGGTTCAAGGTTTTGACTGAACAAAATCACATGAGCAAAATATAGCTTGCATGGAAATAAGATCTGTGTATAAAATAATAAAACTTGACTCTTCCATTTCAAGTTCAAACAATTTGAATTTCTAAAAGATGCAGTAGATGTGCACTGCATGGCTAACAGTTTTAGTATTATTATTATTGTCACAACCATAGCAAGAGCAAAGCTACTAAAAGATATAGATCTGGCCGAAACTGGTTTGGCTCAGCGGTAGAGCATCAGTCTGTGGACTGAAAGGTCCCAGGTTCGATTCCGGTCAAGGGCATGTACATTAGTTGCAGGCACATCCCAGGTAGGGGGTGTACAAGAGGCAGCTGGTCGATGTTTCTCTCTCATTGATGTTTCTAGCTCTCTATCTCTCTCCCTTTCTCTCTGTAAGAAAATCAATAAGATATATTAAAAAAAAAAGATATAGATCTGTTGAATTTCAGTTGGAAAAAGTCACATAAATTGTTAGATTTTCTAGTCACTCATAGCTATTTGTCAACTATGTTTGTATTAATTTATAGTTATTTGACAAGAATATGTGAGGGACATTGGCAGTGTGGATTCTGCATGCATTCAGGATGTGTCCTGTTCTCTTCAGCTTTGGAGCTGAAATTAGTCTAGGTTCCATGAATGCATTGTATAATTTGTAAAAAAAAAAAAACAAAAAAAAAAACAACACACCAGATAATTAAAATCAATTTCCATCTCTTTTCTACTTATTCATGAAAACTGAAGCTGCGGGAAAACCAAGATGGCAGCATAAGGCAAACACCTATACTGCTGCCTTGCACAACAATTTTAAAACTGCAACTGGAAAATAGAGTGGACATAGTCCAGAACCACCAGAAAGCTGGCTGAGTGGAAATTCTACAACTAGAAGGAAAGAGAAAAGGACACTGAAACTCAAAGGAGCTGTGGAGGTGTGGGAACTCATGTGCACGGAAAGTGCAGGCAGCTGAATATGCCCTGGCTTACTTGCAGTGCACGGAGAGGGCAGGCAGCAAACATGTGGCTAGCTTTCTCGTTCTGGAGGAAAACAAAACCTCCTGACTGCACTAAAATCCAGCTCCATGTGAGACTTTGGGTATCAGACTCATTCAGGGAGAAACTGGACTGTCTGGCAGTGGGCAAAACTTGAGAGCAGCCTTCTCTCAGAGGTGCATGCAGCCATGGCAGTGGGATACAGAGACACCGGGCCCTTGTAGGGTGTAGATGATGGGGGAAATCAAGGTTGTCTGCTCCACCCTGAGACTTTGCCCCATCCAAGCCGAGCACAGAAGCCCTCCCAGTGGGTAGCTTTCTTGTTCTGGTGGAAAACAAAACCTCCCGACTGCACTGAAATCCAGCTCCGGGTGAGACTTTGGGTACCAGACACATTCAGGGAGAAACTGGATTGTCTGGCAGCAGGCGAAACTCAAGAGCAGCCTTCTCTCAGAGGTGCATGCAGCCATTGCCATAGGACACTGAGACAAGGGCCCTTGTAGGGTGGGGTTGATGGGGAACCAAGGCTGTCTGCTCCACCCTGAGACTCCGCCCCATCCAAGCTGAGCATAAAATCCCTCCCAGCAGAGACACTGCTGATCCTCACAGCCAATTTGTCTGGAGGTAAACTCCCCCCAGTTTAACTCCAGTAAACAATCAAGGCTTAACTACAACAAAACTGCACACACAGCCCACAAAGGGTTGCATCAAGAGTGTCCACCTCAGGTAACTGGGGAGGCTGAGCTACTGGGCTCTGCTAAGATGCCTAGCACACAAAGCAACTCCATCAACTTAGGAAGCAGATAAATGCAGAGACAAAGAGGTAGGCCACAAATGAAGAAAATGAAGGAAAACAAAAGACTGGATATAGAGTTCAAACACCATGGTTATAAGGTTTTTCAAGAATTTCCTAGAAAAGGCAGATAAATTTAATGAGACTCTCAAGGATATAAAAAAGGATCAACTAGAAATTAAGCATACACTGACTGAAATAAAGAATAATATAAGGAAATCCAACAGTAGACTAGAGGATCCCAAGAATCAAGTCAAAGATTTGGATTACCAAGAAGCAAAAAACAGTCCTTTAGAAAAGCAAAAAGAAAAAAGAATCCAAAAAGTTGAAGATAGTGTAAGAAGCCTCTGTGACAACTTCAAGTGTACCAACATCAGAATTATGAGGGTCCCAGAAGAAGAGAGACAGCAAGATACTGAAAACCTATTTGAATAAATAGTGACAGAAAACTTCCCCTACCTGGTGAAAGAAATAGACTTACAAGTCCAGGCAGCACACAGAACCCCAAACAAAAGGAATCCAAAGAGGACCACACCAAGACACATCATAATTAAAATGCCAAGAGCAAAAAGACAAAGAGAGAATATTATAAGCAGCAAGAGAAAAACAGTTAGTTACCTACAAGGGAGCATCCATATGATTGTCAACTGATTTCTCAACAGAAACTATGCAGGCCAGATGGGAATGACAAGAAAAATTCAAAATGATGAATAGTAAGAAACTACAACCAAGATTACTCTACCCAGCAAAGCTATCATTTAGAATTGAAAGGCAGATAAAGAGCTTCACAGTTAGGAAAAAGCTAAAGGAGTTCATCACCACCAGATCAGAATTATATGAAATGCTGAAGTGTATTCTTTAAGAAGAGGAAGAATAAGAAAAACATAAAGATAAAAATTATGAGCAACAAATACGTATCTATCAATAAGTAAATCTAAAAGCCAAGGGAATAACAAATCTGATGAACAGTATTAACTGGTGAATATATTAGAATCAGGGGTATAGAAAGGGAGTGGACTGACAATTCTCGGGAGAAAAGGGGAGCAGGGTGTGGGAAGAGACTGGATAAAAATTGTACACCTATGGATGAGGACTGGGGGAGGTAAGGGCAGAGGGTGGGGTAGGAACCTGGTGGAGGGGAGTTATGGGGAGAAAAAGAGGAACAATTGTAATAATCTAAACAATAAAGATTTATTAAATTAAAAAAAAACTGAAGCTGCTAATATGAACTTTATAAGGGAGAATATGTTTGTGAGACAAATAAAGCTGTACTAGTCAGAGTTCAATTAGGGTCAAATCTGGGCCCTATCACTTCCTTCTGTGTGACTATGACCCTGCTTCCTTTAATGTTTTTGAGTTTTGATACCTAACAGAGTCAAAATGATACTAAACGTGAAAGCACCTTATAAACTGTAAAGCACCCTTAAATATAAGTACAATAAATAATGTGAATTAGTTTTCTTAAAAAAGCCTGAGCAATTCTTCTTGAAATTGTAGTTTTCAAAATATTATTTATATACATAAGGCTCAATTTTCATTTGAAACTAGAGCCCTGGTGCACAAAATTTGTGAAAGGGGGGAGGTTTCCCTCAACCCAGCCTGCACCCTCTCCAATCCCTCAGAGGACGTCCGACTGCTGGTTTAGCCCTGATTCCCAGGACTGGGCCTAAACTGGCAGTCAGACATCCTTCTCACTATCCAGGACCGCTGGCTCCTAACTACTCTGCGTTATAACCTCTAATTGCTCCCCCTACTGCCTGATCATCCCTAACTGCCTCTGCCTGCTAGCCTGGTCACTCCCAACTCCCACCCCCTGCTGGCCTGGTTGCCCCCAATTAACTCCCCTGCTGGCCTGGTTGCCCCCAATTAATCTCACCTGCTGGCCTGGTCACCCCTCACTGCCCCCTCTGCCTGCCTGGTTGCCCCTCACAGCCTGCTTGTTCAGCCGTTTGTTTGTCCCTCAATAACCCCCCTGCCGGCCTGGTCGCTGCACACAGCCTGCTATTCAGTCATTTGGTTGTCACTCACTAACCCTCCTGCCAGCCTGCTGTTTGGTTGTTACTGTGAGGGTATCCTGACCAGTTTGGATATTGCCCTTTTATGAAGAAGGGTATAGATTATCTGACTGTCTCCTAAGCCAGTATTTGAAAATCCTGCCTTGTTTCCCTAAGTACTTTATTCTTGTTTTGTTAATTCTTACCCGAGGATATTTCCTCCACTGATTTTTAGAGAGTGGAAGGGAAGGAGGGGGAGAAAGAGAGAAACATCGATTTAAGAGAGACACATCATCAATCAGTTGCCTCCTACACATACCCAGACTGGGCTAGGGATCGAACCTGTAAACCAGCTATGTGCCATGGACCAGGTAGCACACCTGCTACCCTTCAGTGCACAGGCTGATCCTCTAATCACTGACCTATACTGGCCAGAGTTTCCTAAGAACTTTTGAATCAGTTTATTAACCTGACATAAACCCCCTGAATTCTTCCATAACATTTTTATTTGTGTCTCTTTTGTTGGACATATCCAGATCTTATACTTACAATGATTAGCAATAATAGTCAAATATGTACTTACTGAGTCTGAAACTGCTACATGAATAAAACTTTCAAGAATGGAAGAACTTAGCTGATCCATGACATCAATCATAGGCCTGTCGTCATCCTATACAAAGGAAAGGTGGTTACTCTCCATGGAAAAATGGATCCTTCCTATCCAGCCCACTCCCTTTGTCTAGAACATGAAAGCAGAACAGTGTGCAAGACAGTGATAAGGGTTTTCTCACAGAAAACCGAGTGTCAAGATAGTTAATGGCAGTGGATAAAACTCCCTATGTTTCTGAGTTGAGTCTTTCAAGTTTCAGTTGAAGATAATTAGAACTCCCATTTCACACTGCACTGAAAAGACATGCACCTGAATTTCAAAAATTCATACATGTGCACAAGAATTTAAATACTGTAACAGACATTATTCACTGAAGCATTGGTGTTGTCATTAATTTTAAGGACTGGAAACCTCACAAAAATGTTTTGCCTGATCTCTAAAATGCTACTTACTGAAGTCATTGATCTGCTAAAATAACAAATGGTTGACAGTGACTGAATTTAGTCCTAAAGAAAGTGCACTGGAGACTAACCACATACTCTCTTTGGTAACTATGTAGTGTATAGCTATTTGGTAAAAGAAGCATATTGGAATAGGCATAAGAAAAAAGTATCCCAATTGTATATTTTACAATGTGGTCCCCTGACATTTCAAGTTCCCACCTGGTACCATACTTAGTTATTCTACCTAATAAAAGAGAAACATACAAATTGACCACACCTTTGCTATGCCCACAAGCCCCGCTTACCAGCCAATTAGGGCAAGTATGCAAATTAAGCCAAGCAAGATGGCAATTAATTTGCATATCCAGGCCACAGCGAAGACTAAAGATGCATAGAAAGAAGCCAAGCGCTGCAGAGAAGCAAGCAAGCAGGGCGGGGAAGAAGGAAGGGAAGCAGCGGGGCAGGAAGAAGGGAGGAAAGCAGGCAGGGTGGGGAAAAGGGAGGAAAGCAGGCATGCTGGGGGAGAAGGGAGGAAAACAGGGGGAGAAGGGAGGAAAGCAGGTGGAGCAGGGAGAAGGGAGGGAAGCCCTATTGCAGGAATCTTCCTGCAAGGGACATCTAATTATAATTGACTACATTCCCTACACTGTACTTTACATCTCCATGACTATTTTGTAACTGCTAATTTGTACTGCTCAATCATTATTCTAAATGAATGTACATATATACATATATGTGTATGTTAGCCACTCTTTATTATAGAGAAGCTCAGATATATAAAATTGTTTACTTAGAAACCTTATAGGAAAGCTTTGGAATATTCTTCTTCATGTATGAGGATGATTTCAAAATGAGAATGAGAATGGATTCCAAAGAGTCATGCTGGTATAAGAAAACAACATATTGTGTGAGAAACATCCCATACAGTCTGCTGGAATAGCAGTTACCAGTATGAACATGGGGCTTTAGAGGCATCTGTATTTGGCTTTTAATTGTGGCTCTGTCATGTCCTAGCTATTGATAAAGACTTTTAACCTCCCTAAACCTCAGTTTTTATACATTGGGGATAATAACAATACTCATTCTTAGGTTATTGAGAGAGTTAAATAAAATAATATATGTGAGGAGCACTTAGGTAGCACTGATTCTTACATAAAAATTGTTATCAGTATTCTCATAATTAGAGACTTAAGGAGTTTTACCAAAGTATAGCATATCTCAGAGATCCATTTACCTGATACCAGAGGCATGGTCCTAAAATATATTTCAGATAGCTACTGAAAAAATGTGAATAACCAGGACAGTGACAGATTTAAAAATACTGGAAAGACAATGACCATTTTGAGGATCGCAAGTCAAGACCCATGATTTAAAACAAGAAAAAGGAAAGTACCATTTTTTTCTAAAGAAGTAGTGGCATAAAAAGCTGTGCCATGAGCCTGAACACCTGAACAAGGGTGTCCTTGACTGAGGGTGGGATGTTAGCTGAAGTTATAGCACTTAATCATGGGCTTATTTCTCCCATCCCAAGGGACATGTTTTCTTATGATGCCACTGTTATAAAGATTAAATGACTTTCTATTAGCCAGACTGTTTAGTATCTTAATTATTTTAAATGTTATACATTGTTTTCTTAAGTTCATTTTCTATTATAAATGTAATAATGTCTGCTTACTCTGATGTATGCTGAACATTATGAAGACAAATGATCTATAACTTAATCTTAATTCTTCACTTTTTTATAAGCACTATCTCTTGGAGAATGATAAACAGGCTTTTCTATTGCTCTAAGATCAATAGTGCTGGTTCATAATTAAAAACCCATAATGAAGCAAAGATTATTTGTTGACATCATGTGTAACATGACAGAACATAATGTAGTAATGCATCATTTACAATTTTTAATCTAAACATCAAAACTCTTTAAAGGAATAAATTGGGAACTTCAGAAGAATAATCCATACCTCAGGCTGACCCAGGACAAGAAATAAAGCTCGGATTTCCTTGAGTATTAAAACGGACAGTTTGCGTGTGGCAACCTGAAAACTGCAGAGTAAAACCAGAGCAAAGCCTTCCACAGCATGGAGGACACTGCAGTGGGGACCTCGTTCCGACTGCATTCGGTGGCTGGAGCCATTCGCAATAAACTGTGATACAATAAGAACAACATCTATATCAGAAAAATAACAGGGGAAGAAGAAACTAATCTTTTATGTACATCTTTGGGCACATTTAACCTTGTGATACTAAAATAGGTCATAATGGCTTAGGTCCAGACATGTCTATAAATTCATTGTTATTCATGAAATATCATTGGTCCCTTTTTGTTTTTAGATCCATTGTTACTTTGGGATACTATAAACTATCTGTTATCTAAGAGAAGAAATAACTTTCAAAGGTTATTAACATTAATAAAAACAAAATTGCTTACATCCATATCATATATTACTCTAGGTATTCAATCAAAGTGGCCTAATTTATTTTTTATATAAGTCCTCAATAAACTTTTTAGACACTATTAAATTGCATCTTCAAAGATTCACTTTCTAATTAGACTTGTTTTTGCATTATATTCTAATCTAGGTTTTGGGTGTTTATGAGATGGATTCTGAATGTTCCCAAACCTCAACCAAATGAATGTAAAATGCCAGCCAGACAACAGGGCAGAGTCTGCCTTCGTTTCAGTATTCCTCCTACAAGCATATGTAATCCTTTTTTTATTTTTTATTTTGTATCTATCATCTTTTTGCACGTATAGAACACAGGGAAGGAGAATGACCTGGACCTCATCACTGAAGTCAGCCAATCTAGGATTTCAGCCGATCGCTAAATACAATTATACATCCCTGAACACCCACGTTCCTCAGATGCTCAGGTATGTTCTTCTCCAGCTAGATTCCTTTCTCTGTCTGCTCTTTGCTAATGCCATGCCACCCTTGCCCTAGTTCTCCTCTGACAACTCTGCTTCTTGATGAGCTCTTCAAAGTGTTATAATGAAGTTTTACCATTTAGAACTGAGGCATGAAAGAATAAAGAAACTACAAGACTGCACTTTCTTCTCTGTAGATATGGATAACACAACCATTATGCTGCCACTATGAAAAAACCTGGAGGGCAGCGAACTTTTATATTCACATCCATATCCATATCTATTTCCATATCCAAAATTCAGCTCTATCTCCCTGGCCTATTGTCATTGCTCTTATAAATACACTTATAATCATAATTCTCTGAAAAAAATTCAACTCCCTAAATAGCCTTGTTAATGTTAACAAATCTAACCTGATATCTAATAAATCTAACTAATCACCCCCTGAGTTTCTTAGTCACAATTTAGGCAGATGGGAAAAGTAAGGCCACCATTTGGGAGCAAGTTCTGAGGTAGCCAAGAGTAAGAACTCCAAGGTTCCTGGGCTCCAACTTATTTACATCCATGGGACCAATGGGAAGAATGTGAACATCACCTCTGAATTTCTGATTTTGTTGGCTTGCTCATAGATTTTTCCTTGAGTTTGTATGACCAGTTTCCATTGGGTGAGCAGCTGGAGCAGTAATTTCAGGGAGGAGTCCAGGAGGCTGTGATGCATGTCATTTACTTCACGGAGCAGAAAGGTGGTGAAGCCAAACAGGACATCTTCCCTCCAATCTGGGAAGTCAACCAGCAAACCCTGAAGAGAATTTTGTGCAATATGGCGCAGTTCATCATCCATATGAATGGAAAGCCTGTGCAATGAATAAAAGACAAAAACATACTTCTTTAGCTTTTCCTCTAGATCTATGAAGGAATATCTATAGGTCTCTGCTTTTTACTTATGTCTAAAAAATGGTCACCCTCTCCTAATATATTATTATATTCTTCACTCAGCAACCCTAACATTAACATCTTATATAACCATGGTACTAATCAAAACTAAGAAATTAATATTGGTACAACACTACAGGATTTATTCATATTTTTAACAGTTTTCCACCAATGTTTTTTCTTCTTCTGTTTCATAATGCAGTATAAGATACCACATGACATTTAGCTGTATATGGAGACTTTTGATACACTACCGACTAGAAGAATAAATTATTATCAAATCCTACCACTTTTAAAGATTAGAAACCTGAGAACTAGAGAAAGTAAGGGACTCAGTGAAAATGAGCAATTAAAAGTTAGTTCAGGTGTCCTTAATTAGTTCGGTTTCCAAAGGGATGTTTGGTTGTCAGAGGAGACACTGTGGTGATCACATGTTGGAGAGTACTGCTGGCATCTCTCTAACAGGTAGAGGACAGGGATTCTGATAAACCTCTATAGTGCTCAGGACAATGTCCTATGACAAAGAATAACCTGGCTCCAAATGTTGGTAGTGCCAAGGCTGGGCTAGTCAACTAAAACATATCAGTGTATTTCTGGTTTAACCTGTATTAAATTTCAACTTTGGTATGGGGCATTATAGTTAACATATACTTTATAAATTCTTTCATTCATTTACTCAATAAAAAAAATATTGTCCAGGCACTATACCCATTGCATACAGGCTTAGGGTTCCGGTAGGTAGTTCAGTGTGACTGTGTCTATTGGGTAGCGTGTTGTGTAGAACAATTCCAGAGAAGGAGCAGGGGCAACTCAGGGAAGGTCTGTGGACCACCCTGGGAAGCAGTACGGCAGAAAAGGGGTTAAGTGTGCATGCTCTGAAATTAGAGCCTAAACCAATATCTTGCTTCTATAACTCATTAGTCATGTGACATATGTTACTTACCTAATCCCACCTAGCCTCAGAGCCTCATTTGGAAAGTGGAGACAATAACTGTCCCTGCATCTCATAACCATGCTGTGAGGTTCATTGAGAGGGTCTGTGTAGTGTTTAGCTCCACAGATAGCATGAGGTAAGCACTTAATAAATGTTGGTTGTTTTGATTAGAAGAAAATGAATGCATTCTGTAAATTATGGAAGTAACATGATTAATTCACATCTGAAAAGATAAATAGACAGAAATATAGAGGATGCCTTCAAGAAGCAACAAGACTGAGGGAAAAGGCCAGTCATGAGGGCATTACAGTGAGTTAGATAACAAGTGTTGGGGGTGTTCTGACCTGAGACAAAGAAGTAACAAAGAAGGGAGAGATACAGACAAAGATGTTTAGGAGAGAGAATTTCCAGGCCTCAGAAGCCTGGAAATGTTCAATGTCAGAGAAGAAGGTAGCCAGTCCATGGGGGCCTCCCACAAACAGGGTAGACATTATCTCCAAGAAATAGAAGAGGAAATTGTGACCCGGAGAAATTAAGGAACTTTCTTAAAATCCAGGGTTCTGATCCCGGACTTCTAAATTTTTATCTAAAGTTTTTTCCTAAAACAAGTGTGATCCAGTTATATAGTTTTGAATGAATAGTATTTTAAAAACTTGATAAACAAATACTGTTCTTATTGCCTAAAAAACACTAACTGGTCCAAATATCCAGCAAAAGCTCATAAGTAAGCAGATATGTATAAAGTCAGGGAAGATCTATTTCCTGCTCCCAAAATAAGTTCCACAAAGTTGTAGAGAAGGAAGATGGAAGGAAATTCTTGAGCAAGACCCAATTAAGTCCACAGTTTTTAAGGAGATCACAGCTGCTGAAAGAAAACTGAGACCCCTATTAAAGCCTAACTTCCAATTAAGAACTGTCTGAGACAGGAATTTATAAACTTTGTATTTCAATCAGCACCTCTATTAATTCTTTCATGTAGAACTCTAATATATAATACATAAAATCTGAGCTGCTCTGGTTAAGGCTGGAGTAAAGGGAGTTCCCTCGCCCTTGAAGTCCACCCATTTGGGAAGAAATATTCCTTTACTGTGCAAGAAGCTTTAAGTCATGTTTGCAGCTCAGAGTGTGAAAACACTAGCTTATGAAAAAATGCTTGATTTCCTCACCTTTTAGTTATTACTCGTGTTTACTGAATTTTACCTGCCTATGGTCCTGAATAGAGAATAAGCTTCGGCAGGTTACAAGCTACCTTTTAAAGACAGGAACACCAGGCACTCAGTAAATGTTAACTAATGATAATGGCCACTGTTATGGACTGAATTGTGTTTTCCCCAAATTCATGGCTAAAATTTAAACCACCAGGACCTCAGAATGGGACATTATTTGGAACTAGGGTCATGCGGGAACAAAGTAAGCCCTGATCTATGATGATCTCATAAAAAAAGGGAAAATGTGAAGACAGATATGTACACAGGAAGATCATCCTGTGAAGATGGAGGCAGAGAATGGGGTGATGCTTCTTTTCCAAGGAATACCAAAGGCGGCCAGAAAATGCCAGAAGCCAGGAGAGAGGCCTAGACCAGATACTTTCTCCCAGACTTTGGAAGGAACCAACCCTGCTGGCTCTTTGATGTTGGACTTCTAGCCTCCAGAACTGTGAGACAACAGATTTCTGTGTTTAAGGCACCTGGTTTGTGGTACTTTATTATGGCAACCTGAGCAAACCAATACAGTCCTGAAGCCAGTCAGCATGTCTTCAGAGTCAAACTGAAGGCCATGTCACAGTATTTAGATGGAATTTTTAAGTAAGGGCCCATGCTCTCAGCTTTCCAAATGAGATTAATTCTGTTTTTCATTTAACTTTGCTCTCATTCATAATTTGCAATTTAGCATCTGCTTTATCTTTAAAAACACAATGTAGGACCATTTTAAGGATTGTGAGAGCCCCAAGGTTGTATAGTTCTTCATATTTGGGGGAGGAGGAAGGGGAAAAGCACTCCTCTTAAAATGATAGCTTTCACATTTGACCAGTGTAAATGCTCAAAAATATCACTGGAGTATAAAGAGCCAGTACTTTATGTACATTTGTGAGAATGTACATAAAGAGGTGGGGGCTGGGAAGGAGGAGCTTTGGGAATAGAAGACCCAATAGAAGATAAAAGTGGTTTTGAAGAAGAAAAAGGTCCAGACTGTCGTGGAACTGAGACTGAGTGAAAAGAATGCATCGAGATAAGTCTGGGTTGCAGCAGGTAAGGGAGAAGGGGACAAAGCTGGAAGAAGGGCAGCATGGGTCTCTATATTTGTTCCTTGAAGAATAGGAATAGACAGCTGCCAATCAGATATAGTTGCTATTTCTTCCACCCAGATCTTTCTCACTTTTATTTTTATTAGATTTTATCAGAAAATCACAGATCATCTTGTGACAAACATAAAACTTACTATTGTAAAGCAGGAAACAGGAAAACAACAACCATCTAACAAGAAAGAGAAGACTTAGAATTAAATGAGAAATGTGTCCAGCCATTCTAACTGTTCAGGGTGTGTAGGAAAGCCGTGTAGCGCTGGCCTCCAGACTGGCAGGTGCTCTCACATCTCCTTGTCTAGTGAGCTAGGAGTAGGGCTGAGGAGAGGCCAGTTCCCCAGACTACTGCTAGGCCATCACACAGATAAACTCAAACAGAATAAAAGGACAAGTCCTTCACTTAAAAATAATCTACAATTATAGTAAAAAATTGTGTTAGGAGAGAATTTTGTGTCAGTGATTTCAAGAACAGAGAGACTAGAAGAAAAGGCAGCTCATGCAGAAGTCCAACCAGCAGGACAAAGCCTAAAATGGAATCAAAGATAAATGGTTATACACAAAGAAAACCATTAAGGAGGCTTGAAAGGATTCCACAATGACAGCCATAAACACAGAACACCAGAAGCCACTATTGCCAACATCGTTGCAGCTGTCTTTTCCAGGCAGCTGCCATGCGTGGCACTGACCAGTCGTCTAGATTCAACATGCAACAACATTCTGCTCAGGCTGGGCCAGGGTAAACACTTGGCAGAACCTAGAGCTGGTGATTGCACCCTTCACTCCTCGCTCCCTAAAGGACTTTTCATGGAAAACATTTTCATAAAGGTGAGCCTTGCGTTTTAAAAGAATCAGCATAGCAACTTGGAATAATTTTGTTGTACAGAGCTGCATGAATTAAAAGTAATTTCAAATTCACAAGTCATATCCAGAAGAAAAGAGCCATTAGGAGAAAAGGCCTCCTCCGAATGGTTGCAGTATAAACAAAAGGTCATTAGGAAGAGGAGAGGGACCAGCACCCCATCATGTCACCAAGGGCAGCAGAGGAAATGGCATTAAAGTGAAGCCCAGGAGACAAGGGATTCTAAGAGAAGGGACCTGCTGACAGGTAGACTGCTAACCTTGGGATCATTTACCAAAAGTGTTGGAAATTTCTTTTCATTAAAGAATAAACTCCCACCATTTACAGCACTTTGGACTGCTTTATTGAGGTGATATATGCAACTGAGACCAGAGTTCTCACTAAGCTACTCAAACCAATGAGCCACCTTCCTAGACAGTCCTATACTGGAAAGCAGATAATAAATGATAAATGATAAATATTGTTCAGAAACCATAGATCACTGACATATGTATATAAATTTCCACAGATTATTAGGAAACACTGCAAAAATGTTTTTACCTGTCAGTTTACATAAAACCATTGGCATTTGTCAGTTCCATTTGGCTTCAAAAAATTCTGTAAATCTGAGCAAATTCTGTAAATGTTCTTCTATTTAATCTCCTTGTCAGAAAATAGAAATTGATAGGTGGCCAGCTTTCTTAACATGCATACAAACGTGCATTGTACATCATGGCATAATATGTTCTTCAATTGTAAGGATACCTAAAAATAACTAATATTTGCTGAGTTCTTAAATGTATTGTAGGCACTATGCTAAGCAATTCATTTGCATTATCACAACCATATGATAAATTCTTAAAGAGGAGCAAACTTTTAGTTTTTATAAAATGATGCAAGAAGTGACAGAGGACAACAGCCTGGAGACTGTTGAAGGAAAATGTTCTTTTTATGGTCAAGGTACAGAGCAGGAGACATCTGGGGCTGGTGAAGAGTGAGAAAGACGGTGACTGCCATGGAGAGAAGTAGCCCTCCACCATGTAAAGAATTCTTAGGGGACCCACATGGCTGAGAAGCGCAGACTCTGCTGACTGCAGGAAGGAAGTGCTCGCCAGGATTCCCATCACAATGTCAGGAAGGCCTGAGTAGCTTCTATGGAGTTTAAGTGGACAGATTCCTCCCATTCAACCATAACAGTGGGCTGAACAATACATATATTATCAGGAATTCTGTAGCATGGAGAAAGGGGTTTGCCTATTTCATCCCATACACCACTGTCATGACAAACATACTCACAGAAGTCTGAGGTTAGACATTACCTAAAACGTGGGAAGGGGACCCTAGGAGCAGTTGTGTGGGGCACACCGAGAAACTTCTTATCCAGGGAACTGAGCTGGGAGGGACAGGAAGCTGGCACAAATACTGGTCTTATTTTGCTAATTATGATGAAATCCAAGTTTTTCTCCAGTGAAATTGTACCATGAATGTGACTGTGAAGAGTCTGAAATAAAAGGTCTCACGCCTCTCTGACAAGACCGTATATTGTCTCAACAGTCCATTTAACCCAAATGTGATTGAACTATAGGGAATAAAATGATGACTTGAAAACCACATTTATTACTACTGCATTTCTTCACTTTTGTCCTCCTCCCCTCTCAGGGAGATATGAAGGGGCCTGTTTTCTCACAGCTTTCCCCTGAGGAGAAAAGTCTCTGGCTTCTTTTGAAGCTTATGAAAAAGGCCTCTTCACTGGCTTCCCATGTAAGTCCAGTCATTTTTAAAAATTTGTCCTAAGATGTGAACTCTCAAGAGTATTTACTTGTTCTCTCCTCTCATAAGAACAGTACCCATTGCTTTGGGTTTTGTGAGAATGTACATAATATCAAACATGAGGCACTATAAATAGCACTGACATTTTAACCATATCCAACAGAAATCCCTCCTGACATGCCTAGCTCCATGGTCCAAGATTCAGGCACCACTGAACAGGCTATCAAGGTGATTCCAGAGGTAAGAGTGTCCCACATAGATTTACAGCACAACGGTATTAGAGACTTTACTGCATGACATTTTAAAAATTTTGTATTTCAAAGGCTTTAGTGTATGTCATCACCACCAATCAGAACTTCATTGATGTGAGTGAATTTTCCTTCTATTCCAATTTAATGATAACTGTCTTCTCCCTCCTGCCACATTTTTCCCTGAATTAATCAAAGTGTATATATTTTATATAATTTAGTCCTCAAAAACAGTCTTATGATATAGGCAGTATTATTTCAATTTTACCAAAGGAAAACTGATAGGCTGAGGTTAAAAGTTGTCCAGATCACATGGCTAAGCAGGCATGCAGATACAGGATATCCAAATGATTCTGTTTTATTCTCATTGTCTGGTACTATCTAAAATCTCTCAGATGGTGACCTCTCACTCTCTGGTGGTTAACAGGCCATGGAGAGGGGTTTCTTTCCTACATTTGTCACCACGGTCACATCCAGCCTTTTCATTCAGCAGCTCTTCCTTTACATCACACTACCTTCTCCACTTTTGTCCTTGGCAAACAGACAGTCTGCCCTTAATATTTCTGGGTAATTTGGGTACCACTCTATTCATTCAAAGTCTACCATCACTATAGGAGACACACTATTAGTATGGATTATACCCCAGATTATTTTAGTCTCTTTCTTCCTCATTTCTCTCCACCTCCCAATCACCATGTTTTTTGTTTTGTTTTTAAAATGCAGATTCCAATGTAGCCTGGCTAGAGTGAGGCCTGAGATTCTGAATTTAAAAAATATATATATTTTTTATTGATTTCAGAAAAGGAAGAGAGAGAAAAAAAAACCATCAATGATGAGAGAGAATCATTGATTGGCTGCCTCCTGCATGCCCCCTATTGGGGACTGAGCCAGCAACCCAGGCATATGCCTTGACTGGGAATCAAATTGTGACCTCCTGGTTCATAAGTCGATGTTCAACCACTGAGCAACACTGCCTGGACCCAATCACCACATTTATTAACTCTTTTTTTCCTCCTTAGATCTTCTCACATGGGATTTAAAGCCCATTTTTTAATTCAGGGTTTTTCCCTCTCTTCCCCACCCTGCTCTGCTTCCTGGGATTATGCTCAAGGCACATTCCAGTTGCTAGGCCTCAGCAAAAAGCCTAGGCTGTAATTTTTCTTTTTATATTATATGTGTTATTTACTGTTCTTACAATAAAATAAACTAGTAAAAAGAAAATAATAAGATGTATAACCCATGGACAGCCAATAGTGCAGTGAAGGCCTGGCTGGGGCGAGGGAGGGAGCAGGGCAGAAGAGGTCTATGGAGGTAAAAAGGGGACATCTATAATACTTTCAACAATAAAGACACATTTTTAAAAAAATAAAAGAACACAGGGGTAAATGCTAGAAAAAAAGAAAATCATAAGGCATATAAAATAAATTTACAATACTGAATGTATTTATTGAAAAAAATTCCTATAGAAGTGGATCCATGCAGTTCAAACTCATGGTGTTCAAGGGTCAACTGTATGTTGGATGGGCTGTAATTTTTTTGACTTTATATTCTTCTTAAAGTATGTCCTAAACATGGAGTGGAAGAGAGAAGAAGGAAACAAGGCCTGGAGATCACCGGTTATAGAAAAGTACAAGTTACTTTGTCTGGTGACAAAGCTAGCTAGAATGGTAGTAGGTTTTGGTCAGAGGTACCAAGGCCCGAAATGGTGATCTTCAAAGAAATGAATCTTCAGTAAACCCCACAAACCAGCATCATCTTTGTGCTAGTGGTGACTGGATGTAGGAAAGGAGTGGTTGTGTCACATTTGGAATGAAGAGCAATGGGGAAGAACAGTAGGCTACAGAAGTCATTGATTGATAGCAGGAAGTGGTCAACAGAGGAAATCACGCTGGCTGTGCAGAGTGACCACAATGGCCAGAAGACACGATACTCCATGGCTATATCCAGAAGCCAGGGGAGGCCACTAGGTGACCTGCAGACATGTGAGATGAGAGCTTGGGTTTTTGTTTGGGTATTGATGGAAGGGTGCTCTCTAAGGCTAGAGAATGTGGGTGAACAAGATCATTTATACATAATGCAACTTTTATTCAGTATGCACTAATATTTGCTACTCTTTATTCCACTGTTATCAGATTAACCTGCCTAAAATGAAAAATTTTTATCATGTTATTCTTCTGTTTAAAATTACATCAGTCTGAATGTCTCAGCTAATATTAAAGATGAGCTGAAAATCGACCTCTCATGTCTTATTTCTATTTATTTTTATCATTGAGTTTTTATATTCCTTTTTCTTTTATTTTTTTTTCAAATCAAGATAACTTTTGTTCTCCCCTTCCCTTTCCTCCATGCACCCTGTGGTTCTTATGATGTTGCCTTCTAAATGGCATTTAGATCATTAGCCACTTTTGATTTATGAATTGATAGGCATAATTGTAAATGAGAACCTGAGATCAACATGAGAAAGTTAAGCTTACTTAACAAAAACGATACAATCTCACTCAAAGCAAATTAACTTAAGGTTCTAGTTGGACTGTGGTTCTTGTGTGGGATGGGGAGGATGATAAACATATATTTGGGACAGCTTTCTAAAGTACTAAACTAGCTGAGGATCCCTGTTACCCACCTTCTTGCTCCCGCCATACCCCAGGGGAGTTTTCTGTGGGCTTCAGATTGAAATCGGACCTAGAATGAACCTTTTCCCAGTCAGACTCATCTACTCACATTCCAGCCCCACAGCTGTGACAGCTCACACCAACCCCTTAGCCTTTCTGAATTTCATCTTTCCTTCGAAGGGCAGCTCCAGCTCTACCTTCTCCTGGGAATTATATGTCAATTTTCCCAGGCCACAGTAATCCTCCAGGCACTGAACTTTGTGACATTTTGTGCTGTTAATTGCATAGTTCCAGGCCTGGGATTGTTAGTTACCTTATGTATTTGTTTCTACTTCAGATTTTTAATTTTTTGAAACTCTTGAACTCCACAAAAATTTTCTTTATTCCTCCTTGACTACACACAGTACCTAGAATAATGCCTCATTTGGTAAATCTTTGTTAGTTTTTAACAATCATTCTCTTTTTGGGTAAATCATGACAAAGGATTAAAATCAATTTAATCAAAGAGTGTCCACAACCATTCTCACCTACCTAGCCAGCAAGTCAATGAGTTCAAGCTTTGACATCCCATCAGGAAGCAGCCGAGGAATAGCAGCAACACATGTCCTGAAAAGGTCTATTTTGGGCTTTCTCTCACCCCTAAAATGTGAAAACAAAGTTTAAACATAGTCAATGGTTATGATAAATTTTAAAAAGTCAGTCAACTCTGTGAACAAAGACTAGAACTCATGCTTTCTGAATCACTGTCTGCTATTTGCTCCATATTATTCTCAAATGTTTATGCTCTTTATAGCTTTGCCAGCTCTGATAAAATTAATAAAGATTTAAATGTTAGTCAGAGTTATATATCTGAAAAGAAAAATACTGATACCAATAGCATTCCACCATGCCACTTGCCATTCAATAGGGACTGCATTAAAAACACTGAATTTATTGAAATTCCTAAATGCATTAGCATGTAAGAAATATACAGTAGTTAACCTATATCTAGAACTTAAAAGTGGGACTTTATACAAGAATACTATCTCTAACAAGCATGGCATCTGGAAGCTTCTCTTCATGATAAGTTGTGCTTCTCCTCTAGAGCTTCCACCCCATTTTTTAAATGAAGTGCTTAAAAAATGTCTTATTTAATGTCAACTAAAATACTGCAATGCATATTTCTGATTTTAAAAATTATTCCATGGGCCTGACATCTACAGAGATTCCTTCTTTCTTTTTACTTTCTTGAGAATAAATGTCAACAAGTAATTAATGCCTTCTGTACTGTTGTAAAATCTGAGAGAAAAACATAAATTCTATAATAAATTGCTTAAATTTTTAGTTGTTTAAATAACTACCTTCTTAACCACATATTTTACCAATAACCTTTATAGAAAAGCTTAACTACCCATCAAATTTTTCAAATAATCCAAGTGACAGCATATTTCAATTCTGATGATTTAGTCTTCTGAGAATAAACATAAAATTGTCACCAAACTAATATAATTATTGAACACAAATATAATAATGAAAATGCAAAGTAGCATGGTAGTAATTCCTTCTTAGAAAAGTAACTGTGGTCTTAATAGAAATGCAATATGGAGAATTCTCTACATTCTAAAGATGATAACATTACTTTCTAGCATGCTTTTGTAAGTTTGTTAAGAATGAATACAAAGCTGTTTATGTGAAAAATAAAATACTTCTATGTTAATTTCTAAAATACTTTGCTTCTGTAGAAAGTCATGAGACTATTTTCTCTCCTTTTTTTCATGGTCCTGCATGGTGTGCATGAGAACTGTGGAGAGAAAATTATTGTGTCATTCAACTGGCTAAAAAAGGGACCTACAAATAATTTCTTCAGTACCTGTACAGAGGTAGAGCTCAAGGGCCTCTTCCAACTGTTCACATTCAACTCTGCGAGTCACTTAAGTAGTCCTCATAACTTGCTCACTAGATATTTTAAACAGCTGGGATTATTGGCCATATCTGTCAGAAAGCGAATGACCTTGCCTAGCCTGAAGTCCAAGGCTAGTTCTTGCAGGCTTCCAAGCCTAGATTAGAGTTCTAATTGGTGTAGGATTTCCTTTTACCACTGCAGCCCTTGCTCACTGAGCTTTTACAGGAAGCATGTGAGCCCCCAGAATATAATTTTCACTAACGTATTATTATTATTATCTGCTAGCATGAATCATAAAAGGGATGGGAAATGGAAAGGGCATGACACAGAATGCTTAGTGTTTAAGTTCAAACCTTAAGCAGGGCCTGGGAAAGTGGTGGACCAACCTTGAATATTAACTCCAATAATCATTCCCATTAGTGTGGTGTGGACCTCAACACTCTTCTCCTAAATGTGGCAATGAGTTACTCTCCACTCAGGAATCTGCCTTAGAACCTAGCATGAAAAATACTCCTCATCCTATTTGGGAGTCTCAAGATGGTTCAATAGAAAAAAGTACAGCATCATCTTGGAAAAAGTTTAAGGGATTGGCTAAAATACAAATGAAAAGTTTACATGTACATTTAAATCTGTACCTGTTTATGGTTTTGAATATATTGTTTTGGTCCTTACTCTGTTTTGTGATCTCTTGATTATTAACAAAGTCTTCCTGTAAAGACCTTTCATTTCTTTACTGTTTTAAAATAGGCAAGAACTCTAAGCCAGAAGTTTGAAAAGAATTTTGTATATCTTCTATATTATAAATTTAAAATTGCTTTAATATATTAAAAAAAGTATGTACTAATGATGTTAAAGATTTATGGACAATCTGGTAATTATAAGTAAGAGCTAGAGCTACAGACAATATATTTAACGTTATTATCCTTGGTCAGTTTCAACTCTGCTGTCACTTTGGTTGAAAAGTCTTTATATGATTTTTATCTCATTATACAATAGCATGCATTGTATAGCCCATATTTTTGTTAAAAATGAATTTATATATAGTTTTGCTGACACAGGGAAAGATCTTGGAAGAATCACACCGAGCCAAGGAATGGTGACAGATTTCAAGTGGAGCTCTGATGAAAAGGCTTTCATTTTAACTTTATATGATGCTAAATATTATTTACTAATAAAATAATTCTGTGATTTTTACTCTTCATACTCTTCATTTTGTCATTCTTTGTTTTCAACATGCCACCCTTGTAAAATACACACCCACAATATAAACTTCCCTATATAGGTAGCAACTTAAAAAATATATATATATTTTATTGATTTTTTACAGAGTGGAAGAGAGAGGGATAGAGAGTTAGAAACATCGATGAGAGAAAAACATCAATCAGCTGCCTCTTGCACACCCCCTACTGGAGAAGTACCCACAACTAAGGTACATGCCCTTAATCGGAATTGAACCCGGGACCTTTTAGTACCCTCCCTCCACTGAGCCAAACCAGTTTCGGCAGGTAGCAACCTTTTAACTAACTGTGGTATTTGGAACTGAATATGCTGAGTGACAAAGAAAATTTTCCTAACTATATATTTTTGGAAATTTATGCCACAGGTGCCAAATATAATTCAATTCACAGTCCAACAACAAAATAGAAACTTTATTAAGATCTCAAGTTAATGCCCTGGACAGTTTTTTCTCAGTAGTTAGAGCTTCAGTGTTCAGACTGAAGAGTTGTGGGTTTGATTCCCGGTCAAGGGCATGTACCTCAGTTGCAGGTTTGATCCCCAGGCCTGGTTGGGCACATGCAGGAGGCAATCAATGGATGTGTCTCTCTCACATTAAGCTTTCTCTCTCTGTGTATCTCTCTCTTTCCCTCTGTCTCTTTCTCCCTTTCTCTCTCCCTCTCTTCCCTCCCTTCCACTCTACCTAAAAAAATAAATAGAAAGATATCATTGGGTGAGGATTTAAAAAAAAAAGTTAAGTTAAAACCCCATCTTAGTTTCTGCCATAATTAATCAAATATAACAAATATAAGTTGCATGAATTTCTTCTGTAGAACTCTGATTACAAATCTAGATCTTAGATTTTGGCTAAGAACATTTCATTTCTATATAACATTCAAAGTTATGAATGCTTTCTTAAAATCCAACATTTCTATGACATGGTTGCATAGAGACTATTCAGCAAGTGAACTTGACATTTATTAAGATGTAATGTCTGTAAACTGGTGATCAAGCTTGGGAACAAAACATCACTTCTGAAAAAATGAACTATAGCACTGTGATCAAGCTTGAGAGCAAAATACCATGTCAGAAAAATGTGAACCAATGAATTTGAGTCTTGAGCCCATTTTCTAACTTACTGGCCTGATACTTCCATACAACCAAAATAGATCAATATCAGGCTTAATTTTCAGAGTTAGTAAAATATTATGAAAGTATGTTTTTACAACCTTAACACTTCTTAAAAATCTGATTCTACAAAGGAAAGAACAAAATACAGTTGATTCTTGAACAACATGTGTTCTTCAACTGCATGAGTCTACTTACACAGATTTTTTTCAATAAATATGAACAGTACTGTAAATGTATTTGATCTTCCTTATGATTTTCTTAATAACTTTTTCTTTTCCCTAGCTCACTTTATTGGGAGAATAAAGTATATAATAAATACAGCATACAAATATAAGTTAATCAGTTGTTTACGTTATCAGTGAGATATCTGATCAAGAGTAGACTATAAATAATTAAGTTTTGGGGAGAAAAAGTTACCCACAGATTTTCAACTGTGCAGGGGTCAGTGCCTCTATTCCCCACATTGTTCAAGGGTCAGCTACACAGAATAAATGAGAAGAATCTCTGCTGGTGTCTTCTGGCTATTCAACCTTTTGTTGAGACTTAGTCCTCACTGTACTCACGTGATCATGTCCTCAGGTTCTTTGTTTAACATCTGGACGTTAGTTAGCATCATACACCTTCCTACTTCTTTATCAAGGTGCCTTAAAATGCTGTCCACAGCTTTTCGTACTTGAGAATAATATAATGACATGCCTGAAAAAAAATGCATTATATTTACATCTTTGATTAAATTTATCAAAGAATGAAATATTAGTGTATTTAGCCTCTGCATCATTTTTTACTGAAGATTTATTATGGGTGATGGCTTCTTTGAACAAAGTCTAATTCATCTCTTATCTGCAGGATTGTTAGCACAGTGCCCTGCACTTAGTGGGTATTCATCAAATACCTGTTTAAATTAAGAATAAGTAGGAATTCTAATACTTCAATAGGAAATATTTTTTAGAATAGTTAAACAAGGAAATAGAAAGTTCTACTTTAGAATTTTTATATTTCTAAATTAGTACAAGAAAATTCACCAACATTAATGAAGAAAATTCTCACTTTGAATGAGGATATACTCTGAAATATATGTGTGAATTTTAAAAAATAAAATAAAATAAATGACTTCACATCATAAATTTTAAAATAAAAGAAAATGTACTTTAGCTATATTACTTTACTGGTTTCATTAAATACAGAGTCAGTGTCCTACAGGGAAAGACACATGTACAGCATATGTATTTCAAATATACATTTTATATGTTTATGTGTATAATACAAATTGCATTGCATTTATAATGTATACTTTAATAAAATAATTATTAATGGTTATTTCTCATGCATTAAATCTTTTTGAACTCCTTTAAGCATTGCAGAAAAGATAAATACAAGGTGTCCCAAAAAATGTAAACACACTTTAAAAGCTGATGGCACAATTTTGAAAATGAAATGTATTCTAATAAACACTGCTTTTATAATTATTCAAAAATACGTGTATACTTTTTTTTGGAACACTCTATATTTAAAGCAAAAGATATCCCCATGTATTTTTATTAGGCCTTCAAATTCTAATTACTATCTTAACAAATTTTATAGTAGGTTTATAAATTCAGGTACTCAGAAAGAAGTAAACACAAAAAACCATATTTTAGGATTAAGATTGCTAAATTACAATGAAACTCTCATATAGGCTAAATCCATAATATAACCTAGTATGTGTGGTAAAACACAGATTAAACTAATTTTACTGAAAAAAAAGAAGAAAAAAAACTATAAAAATAAACAATTAAATGGATGAATAAATAAATGTATATGTGGTTGCTTTATAAACAAGATTATTTACCAAAGGACACAGATATCTTAGAAATCTAATAAAAATGATAGATAATCAACATTAGAAGTTTGAAAAGACCACAGAAGAGTCTAACATTAACATGGCAAAATGTTTACCAGAAAGTTTCAAAAAAGTTTAAAGGGCAGCACAGCTACTTTCATCTTTTGCCCTGGCCAGATGGCTCAGTTGGTTGGAGCATCCTCCCATGCACCAAAAGGTTGTGGGTTCCATGCCTGGTCAGGCAACATGCCTAGGTTGTGTGTTCAATTCCCAGTCAGAGTACATACAGGAGGAAACCAGTGAATGTTTCTCTCCCATATGGATATTTCTCTATATACCTTTGTCTCCCCCTTCCTTTCTCTATAAAAAAAAATAAACATATCCTCAGGTGAGGAAATATTTTTTTTTCAAAGTGTGTCACTAAAGGTAAATACTTTGGATCATTTTTAAGACTTAATAAGTCCATTATCTAGCACATCTTTGAAACCCACCTATCATCTTGGCCTCCTCTTCAGTGAGTGTTTTACTCAAATATGTTTTCTTCACTCTCAATGTGTTTCCTGATGGGAGGACAGCGCCTGTAACGGGCATGGGTGGTTCACCGTCTTTCTGCTGTAAGCTATCAGCTATGACCAAGAAGGCCCTTAAACCGATGTTCATTCTCTGTAAGAGAGAGTGGATTTATGATACAAAGAAATACCCAATTATTGTGGTAAAATTAAGCCATTTTTAAGGTAGTTAAGTATGGCTTGCCATCTAGATTAGTATGGGAAAACAATTTTAAAGGTACAAGAATTTTATGCCAAACCTATGAAAATAAAATACAGTTTCTGATACTATTTGTTATAACATCACAAGAAAACAAACAGGAACTTTTTCAAGTCTTGGAGGGCATATTTGAGATGGTCATAATTATTCTGCTTGGGGGACCCTGGGTATACCTCACAGAGGTGAGCAGTCATCCTCCGAACCAACTGCAACTAAGGTAAACTAAGGCAAACTGAAGGCTCTATGTCTCCTTGAAGGAGAGATGCAACATGTGTGAATTCACAAAGACCAAGTAGAAGAGAATTTCCACTTGAGGAAGACAAAACAAAAATCACCAGCTTGGAATTGCAGGTGGTTGACTTTTGATTCAAAAGGCTGAAAAGTAGGAAAATAAATTTTAAAAACTCAACACCACAGAACCTATTACTGATAAAAACACATGAAATTATAAGAAGAAACACCAATTCCATTTCTAGGAATTTATCTGAAGAAACCAGAAACATCAATTTGAAAGAATATATGCACCCCTCTGTTTATTGCAGCTTTATTTACAATAGCCAAAATTTGGAAGAGCCCAAGTGTCTGGTAGATGAGAGGACAAAAAAGCTGTGGTATATACATGGAATACTATTCAGTTGCAAAAAAGAAAGACATTTTACCCATTTTAACAGCATGGATGGCACTGGAGAGCATTATGCTAAGTGAAATGAGCCAGTCAGAGAAAGACAAGTACCATGTTATTTCACTCATATGTGGAATCTAATGAACAAAATGTACTAATATGGATTGGTAGAATCAACATCATTAAAATGTCCATACTAAAAAAAAAAAAAAAAAAAAAAAGTCTATACTACCCAAAGCAATTTATAGATTCAATGTACTCCCTATTAAAATACCAACAGCATATTTTATAGATCGAGAACAAATACATTAAAATTTTTTATGGAATCTAAAAAGACCCTGGATAGTTGTGGCAATCTTGAGAAAGAAGAAAAAAGTTGGAGGAATCACAATACCAGATTTAAAGTTATATTACAAAACCACCATAATCAAAACAACCTGGTACTGGCACAAGAACAGGCATATAGATCAATGGAACAGAACAGAGACCCCCAAAATCATCCCAAGCCATTACGATCAATTAATATTTGATAAAGGGACAAGAGCATACTAGTATAGTGGAGTCAAGATAGTCTCTTCAATAAATGTTATTGGGAAAATTGTACAGATACATACAAAAAATTGAAACTAGACCACCAACTTTACACCATACACAAGAATAAACTCAAAATGGATAAAATACTTAAATGTAAGTTTTTTATGAAAATCCTAAAAGAAACCATAGGCAGCAAAATCTCACACATCTCTCGCAGCAGTATGTTTATGGATACATTGTCTAGGACAGTGGTCGACAAACTCATTAGTCAACATAGCCAAATATCAACAGTACAATGATTGAAATTTCTTTTGAGAGCCAAATTTTTAAAATTTAAACTTCTTCTAATGCTACTTCTTCAAAATAGATTCGCCAGGCCATAGTATTTTGTGGAAGAGCCACATTCAAAAGGTCAAAGAGCCTCATGTGGCTCGCGAGCTGCAGTTTGCTGACCATGGTCCTAGGGCAAAGAAAACTAAGGTGAAAATAAACAAATGAGACTGTATATCAAAATTGAAAAACTCCTGCATAGCAAAAGAAACCATAAACAAAATGAAAAGGGAGAATATATTTGGCAATGATACAGCTGATAAAGGGTTAATACCCCAACTATATAAGGAACTCATACAACTTAACAGAAGAAAGAGAAACAATCCAATTGAAAAATAGGCAAAGGACCTAAATAGACACTTCCTCAAAGAGGACATACAGATGGCCAAGAGACATATAAAAAAATGCTCAAAGTCACTGATCATTAGAGAGATGCAAATTAAAATGACAATGAGGTATCACCTCACACCTGTCAGAATAGCTAGCACCAACAAATCAATAAATGATAAGTATTGTTACTGGCGAGGATGTGGAACAAAGGGAACCCAAGTACACTGCTGGTGGGAATGCAGACTGGTGCAGCCTTATGGAAAACGATATGGAGTTTCCTCAAAAAATTAAATATGGTACTTCCATTTGATCCAGTGATCCCACTTCTAGGAATATATTCTAAAAAATATGAAATACCAATCAGAAAGAATGTGTGCACCCCTGTGTTCATAGTATCATAATTTACAATAGCTAAGATCTGGAAACAGCCCAAGTGCCCATCAGTAGATGAGTGGATAAAAAAAGCTGTGGCACATTTATACCAGGGAATATTATGCAGTAGGAAGAAGAAGAAGAAGAAGAAGAAGAAGAAGAAGAAGAAGGAGGAGGAGGAGGAGGAGGAGGAGGAGGAGGAGGAGGAGGAGGAGGAGGAGGAGGAGGAGGAGGAGTAGAAGAAGAATCTCTAACCCATTGAGACAGCATGGAGGGACCTGGAGATTATCATGCTAAGTGAAATAAGTCAATCAGATAACGATAAATATCACATGATCTCACTCATATGTGGAATCTAAGTAACAAAATAAATTGATGAACAGAATGGATCCAGAGACATGGAAGCATAAAATAGAGTGCGGAATCTCAGAGAGAAGGTAGGGGAGGTTGGTGGATAGGAGGTAATCAACCACGAACCTTGTATGCATATGTGCATGGCCATGGACACAGATAATGGGGTAGTGAGATCCTGGGATGCGGGTGGGGGTGGGCTGGAGGGGGCCAATGGGGGGAAAAAGATGACATATATAATACTTTCAACAATAAAGAATTATTATTATTTTTTTAAAAGAACAACAGCAAAAAACACACAAAATGAACTAACAAGCAAAACAGAGACATACAGATAGAGAGCAGGCTGCCAGCTGTTGGGGGAGTGGCTAGATGTGTGTGTGTGTGTGTGTGTGTGGAGGGATTGAGCAAAAAAAAAAAAGGAGTACAACTTATGGATAGGGTGATGCTTGATGAGCTTGATTCATCAAATGGTGATGGAAGGAGGCCTGACTTGGAGTGGTAAACACACAATACAATGTACAGGTGATGTGTTGTAGAACTGTGCACCTGAAACCTGAATATGTTTTTTAACCAGGGTCACCCTAATAAATTCAATAAAAAAGAATTAAAAAAAAAAGGAAGGCCATTCTGAGTCAGAGTGTTATCTCCCTTGGGCTCAGGTAAGACATAATAACAGCTCTGGAAGATCAGTCAGTAAGACACTCCCAGTACAATAACCTTAAAAGGTCAGAAGGTACCAGAACATCTGTACTTTCACAAACATGACAATAACACTGAAGACTCAACTATACCACAAGAACCCAAATATCCCAAGTAGGGGCCATCCCTAGAATACCCAACTGAGCAGACCAGAGAGACTGCACCACTGGGCTCACAAAACGTCTACTATTTTTAAAGACACACTTTAAAAATCTGGGTGGCATAGCAGTTTGATCTAATATGTAGAAAAAATCACAAAGGAACAGGAAAAATGGGGAGACAAAGAAACAACCCCATATGAAAGAAAAGGAGGAATCACCAGAAGAGGGGAAAGAATGAAATGGAGGCAAGCAATTTTTTCAGAGAAAGAATTCAGAACAATGGTTTTAAGGATGTTTTAAAGGATGGAAGAAATATTAAAAAACGTGTAAGAATCAAGAGGAAATGAAGAATGACATAACTGCAATAATGAACACATTGGAAAGTCTCAATAGTAGACCAGAAGAAACTGAAGTTTGCGTCAGCGAGTTAAAAGATAAGTAGAAAAAAATCACACAAGAAGAGGAGCAACTGGAAAAAAAACACAAAACTTAAAAAGCAAGAGAAGAGCCTAAAGAAGCTTTGAGACAATAGGAAACAAGACGATATGTGCATAATAGGGGTGCCAGAAGGAAAGGATGCTGAGCAAGGAATAGAAACCCTGTTTGAAGAAATAATGACAGAAAATCTCCCTGATTTTGGGAAGAAAATAACACCAGTCCAAGAAGCACACAAAATCCCAAACAAGATGAACCCCAAAAGACAGATACCAAGATACATTGTAATCAAATTGGCAAAAATCAACCACAAAGTAAGAATCTTAAAGGCTTCCAGAGAGAGTCAGAAAGGTACTTACAAGGGATCTCTGATTAAACTATCAACTGATTTCTCAACAGAAACATATTAGGCCTGAAGGGAATGGAATTGAATATACAAAGTGATGTAAAGCAAGGGACTGAATTTAAGAATACTCTATCCAGCAAGGCTATCATTCAAAATTTAAGGGGAAATCAGGAGCTTTGCAGACAAATAAAGGCCAATATAGTTTATTACCACCAAGCTACCAATGTAAAATATGCTAAAGGGACTGATGTAAAAAGAAGTAATAGAAAGGGAAGAAGGAACACAGGCATAATGAATAAAAATGGCAACAAACAAGTACCTATCAATAATAACCTTAAATGTAATAGATTAAATGCTCCAATAAAAAAACATAAGGTAGATGAATGGATAATAAAACATGGCCCATATATGTGCTGTCTACAAGAGACCCACCTCAGAATAAAGGACTCACACCGACTATAGTGAAAGGATGGAAAAATTTTTTCAGGCGAATGGAAATGAAGAAAAAGCTATGGTAGCAATATTTATATCTGACAAAATAGACCTCAAAGTGAAGGCCATAACAAGAAATAAGGAGGACCACTTCATAATACTAAAGGAAGCAATTCAACAAAAGATATAACTCTGGTAAACATATATGAACCCAGTACAGGAGCACACAAATACATACAAAACTTCTGGAAGATATCAAGGGGGAGATTGACAGCAATACGATCCCCATTGACACCATTGGATGAATTCTCTAAACAAAAAAAATCAGCAAAGAAACAGCAATCCTAAATGACTCACTAGATCACATGAACCTACCATATTTTTCCATGTATAAGACGCTATTGTTTTCTAAAATTGTTAGACTGAAAATCGAGGGGCATCTTATACAGCCGAATTGGGAGTCACACAAGTGTGAAGCTGCACATACCTTGTCAATCTTTAACTGATTGTTAAAGATGCAAGAACCATGACTCCTAAAGGTGAAAAATGTTTTTGAGAACCTTCCTTCAAGAGAAGACTCTTTACTAATTGTGGCCTGAGCTCAAGCCAACCCAAATGCCATGGATTTTTACTGGCTTTGTCCCTTTCCCATTGGCCCATGAACCCTGGTAGCAGCCATTTCAGAAGCCTTTAACAGACACCAGAAAGAAACTCCTTTGGGGATTTCTACAGCTGTCCCTATATGTATCTGTGGTGACCTTATCACCAAGAAGAGAATCCAGGGTGTGGAGGGAAGAAGCATGAAGACAGCAGAAGACTTAGGCTCCCTTTGCTACTAAAAAGCTGCTTATTTGGAGTGTCTGGATCTCCTTTTTCACTGATAGAATGAAAGATCTAGACAATGTCACAGTTATGATAGGAATAATCTTTTAAAAAGAACTGTATGGTGTGCAACTTCTTCCTTCTCTCCTTTTTTACTTCCCTTCTTTCAAATTTGTAGTATCATAATATCATAATTCTGTGACCTAAGAAAGTATTTTGTCCATTGTACTTATGGATGAACTAAAGTACAGAGTGGTAAATGTCACATAGTTGGTAAAAGTGGTAGCTTCAATGGCAAGTAGCAAATCCAGCTCTGTGACTGCCAGTCCAGTACTCTTTATACAGACTGATAGAAAAAGGGCTATACAGAGGTGGTTTGTCAGGCATATTTCCATTGGCCAATGTGTTTTAAAAAGTTTAAAGCAAAATGCGTTTTTCATTTGCACAGACCTATTGCTCCACATGCCCACTATATCCTCATTTCCATTACTGCCTAGCCCTGAGTTGTCATGCTGCTACAGAAACAAATATTCATACATCATTTATTTAATCTCATTAGATTTTAGTACTTTATTAGATGTTTATTTTTTCTGCTTTATCAGTTCTTAATTAATGTTCAGCTAGTTAATCTGCATCAAAATAATTACAAATAAATGCACTGACTTAAAAATAAAATAAAACAACTGACCGAGACCGGTTTGGCTCAATGGATAAAGCATCGGCTTGGGGACTGAAGGTTCCCGAGTTCGATTCCGGTCAAGGGCATGTACCTTGGTTGTGAGCATATCCCCAATGGGGGGTGTGCAAGAGGCAGCTGATCGATGACTCTCTCTCATCGATGTTTCTAACTCTCTATCTCTCTCCCTTCCTTTCTGTACAAAATCAATAAAATATATTTTAAAAAATAAAATAAAAAATAAAACAACTGGTCTTATAGTGAGAGATTATCTTTGGGGGCATAGTGTAAGCTATTATAAATGATCAGAATCTGGTAGCATATCAACCTTTCATCATTCTAAGTCTATTCATCTAAAATCTTACTTCTCAAATGCCATCATTTGTACTATTTAGCCAAATAACATGGACAGAAACACATAGAAGACTTTTAGAGAAGATGTTTTTCATCCATTCTCCAGAATTACAAAGGTGTGGCTCTATCAATGCCCATGGGAACAGAAAACAATCACTCATACCTCTGGGTTGAGACTGAAAGCTTTTGCGGGTTTTCCCACACAAAGAAAATCAAAGATGATTTCTTTCATTGCAAAATCTAAACGTTCCTGTAGTGAAAAAGAGAAAACAAAACAAATGAAAAAGTGTTAAGATACAAATTAAACATGAAATACTACTTTCATCATCTGTACCAAGCAGGTGGCTACTAAGAGTAGAAATCCTACTCAGTGTCACAGATCATGAGGACTCCCCAAGGAAGAGCATGCCCATTGAATCTTTGGTGCAGCTGCTTCTGTTTTTGTGTAATGCACAGGGATGCTCTCAGTGTAATGCAATTATGTGCAATTATATGTAATACTAGTGGCCCGGTGCACAAAATTCATGCACGGGGGGTGGTGCCCCTCAGCCTGGCTTGCACCTTTTCCAATCTGGGATCCGTCTTGCAATCTGGGACTGCTGGCTCCTAACCGCTCACCTGCCTGCCTGCCTGATTGCCCCTAACCACTCTGACTACCAGCCTGCTTTCCCCCAACTGCCTCCCTCCCCAATCAGCCTGCTTGCCCCAAACTTCCCCTCCCTGCCAGCCTGCTTGCCCCCAACTGCCCTCCCCTCCTGGCCTGATCGCCCCTAACTGCCTCTGCCTTGGTCTTGCCACCATGGCTTTGTCTGGAAGGTCTCCTGGTCTAATTAACATATTACCCTTTTATTAGTATAGCTATGCAATTATTCTCCCAAGCACAGAATGACTAATAACCCAAAAACAACAAAGGAAAAATAAAAAGACTTGAAGTCTCTGGGCTTATATTCAGGCTCAACTTTTCCTGCTTGTCTTGCAAATGCTGACACCCTCTTGAAATTAAGTTTACAATGTATTATTTAAAAGCCACTGCAAAATTATAATTTTCTTCTATTCTCTAGCATTTCAAATTCTTTGGCTCATATTACAACAAATGATTTTACAAGTGAAGCCGAAGCCGGTTTGGCTCAGCGGTAGAGCGTTGGTCTGCGGACTGAAAGGTCCCGGGTTTGATTCCGGTCAAGGGCATGTACATTGGTTGCAGGCACATCCCCAGTAAGGGGTGTGCAGGAGGCAGCTGGTCAATGTTTCTCTCTCATCGACATTTCTAGCTCTCTATCCCTCTCCCTTCCTCTCTGTAAAAAAATCAATAAAATATATTAAAAAAATAAATAAACTAGAAGCCTAATGAATAAAATTCATGCAAAAGTAGGTCTTCTTCCCCCAACTGCTTGCACCAGCTTCCCTCTGGCACCCGGGATCCAGGCTGGCTTCCCTCTGGCCACCTGCAGGACCCTGAGACCCAGGCCGGCTTCCCTCCAGACCCAGTTTTGTCCAGTCTAATTAGCATATTACCCTTTTATTATTATAGATAGTAACAATTAAACTTATGTCTTTTATCAATGTCAATTGTGTTTCAACAGTATTTTCATAACTATTATTTCCCTTTATTCACTCAACATTCTGTTGTAGGTATAATGGGCAAGCATTTTCGCTCACATTTTACAGATAAAGAAACTGAGAAAAAAGATGTTCTGACTTGTTCACGGGTATAGAGCTGGCTCAAGGCACAGACTGAGCTGGAATAATTTTCTTTTCATATTTCTTTGTAAATCACAAAGTTGGAGTAAAACCATTTACTCACAAAGTAAATTATAAAGCAAAAATCTAAGGTCTAAATAGTAAATTAAACACTAAAAACTATATTATTTGTCCCAGTTTTTAAGTAATTTAATACTATTCTTAGCAAAGAATGCTTGATAAATGCTAATATTCCTATTACATTCTTCTTTTTCATAGAATGAAAGTTTTAGCATTATTCTTTACTCATCAAATTTCACTAAATTATCTTTTGGTTTCCTTCAAACATCAGTCTCTTCTCTTCCCTCCTGATTTGCATAATCCAGAGCAGAGAATCATGGGGGGGGGAGAGGAGAGGAGGAAGCCAGAGACTATGATTCCGGTCATGAGTTATGAGTTTCAGAGACACCTTTAGTAATATGCTCTAGGACCTTAGGTGAATCACTTAAACTCTGTCTCTGTTCCTTCATTTGTCACATGCTGAAAGCACTCTATGTTCCCTTGTCACAATTTGTTTTGAAGCAAAAGTCACTAGCTATGTGTGAAAACACTTATAAACCCATCCTGAAAAGTCAATACACATAAGATATTTTAGATACCTTATCTGTTAGTACATCCCAAGAAGGAGACTGGCTACTTAAAGATAACTAGAAGACTCACGCCAGGAGCTTGTCCATTACCTGGGCAATGAATTGAATGATTTTCACAAAGATGTTCAGAGGCATATCCCTTGGTACCACACCACGGGACCCTTTGGGGAAAAGTGTTGTGATGATGGTTATAAGACGGCTGAAAGATAATGGAAAAAAGAAAACAAGCAAGATTGGCTGAGCGCCAGTTCGTCAAGGGAAAATAGCAGATGTTTCACCTTATCTTAGTATCAGACAAAATTCAGAAAAAGAAAACAAACCACTTTATCCCTTCCTATTAGCATAATTGCTCTCTGAAAAGTGTTCCAACTACAGACAGTTGGAAAATTGTAGTCATTTCTTTTTTAATGTGACAAATGTATCCCTGGACATGGAACTTGGTAGTCCCAGTTGAGGCTGGAGTTTCTGTCACGGCTGCTGAGCCAAGGACTTAGATCTTACAGGAACCGTCAGCTTCTAATTGGGTTAGTGTAGGTAGTAATAAAACAAAGAATCATCTCACTGGCTGAGCAATGTGGCTACATGAACTCAGTGATGTGATTACCGTTACCCCAGGCCAGTGCCTTACCTCTGAGTAGCTGTGTTGCTTTCACATTTGATTCGAATCATGTAAACCCAAAGTAATCTGTACAGAGATTCCAGTGCAACTCGAGCCATCTTGGGGTCTTTATTCTACAACAGAAACCAAGATGTAAGATTGCAGAGTAAATGGTAACATATGATTATTCTTTTCTCAGTGCCTGGGAATGAAGGGCCCCTACAAGGGACACCATATAATCAGGGACCTGTGAGGTCTTTGCCTCTTGGTGTCCATTGGGTAAATCATCTATCAGGAGGATTCAAATAGCCTAGAGGATAGGACAGAGTAGTTCTGGGGGGAGGCATGTCATTCTCTCCTTTGCAAAGTGAAAACTTGAGATTGCCTTTTTTTTCTCTCCAGTACCAGGGAGCTCATTCTTTTAGCACCAAGAGGAGAACCAATCTATTCTTTCTATTGCAGTTATATTCTTGTCAACATTATTATTGCTTTGATTCCTCAAGCTCCACTCCCATCTAATTACTCTTAAACATTTATTGAAGCTAATATACAGTAAGGCACTGTGCTAGAACCTGGGAGATAGATATAAAAGATAATCCTTTTCCTGAGGTATTCCCAAACTATAGGAGCTGGGAGACAGATAATAAAGCAATCAAGATCTAAGACAGTGTGAAAAACTGGTAGGGATAGAGTTAGAGGACGAGAAGGGGAACCTGTGGTAAACTCAAGGAACAAGGTCAGGTCATTTGTGGCCTGAAACTCAAGTGAACTTTAATCAATTCATCTACTCTGGGCCAGGTACTGTGCTTGGCACTAGAAATCTTGAATGCTATAAATAATAATGGGAGCCTGGCCAGCATGGCTCAGTGGTCAGGAGGTCACAGTTCAATTCCTGGTCTGTGTTGCCGCTTGATCCCCATGAGGGAGGGGAACGTGCAGGAGGCAGCCAATCAATAATTCTTTCTCATCATTGATGTTACTATCTCTCCTCCTCCCTTCCTCTATGAAATTAATAAAAATATATTTTAAAAAATAATGGAAAGGGAGAATACTTTAGGCAGAGGCAACAGCACATAGCTCTAGGAGAGCTATGCCAGTGTGTGGGAACAAGTGAGGGAGCGGTGGTCAGTGAGGCTCAAGAGGAAGGCAGGAGTCACATGAGGGTGCTCCTACATGCCTCATTGAGTAAGAGAGCAGAATTCTCATAATGATAACAGGAAGCCACTATGATCGAGGAGATATGTAAGAAACCCTGTCTTAGGAAACAGAAACAAGGCAGGAAAACCAGCTATAGCACAGCTACCAGCTTTCAGGCAATAACACATCACCCAGAGGAGGAAACAGCCTCTGTGCTCTCCTATCTAATTATATTCTTTTCTATTTAAAAACCATGGGTTGAGTGGCTCCCAATGCCTATGGTATCAAGTTAACATTTTTTTTGACATGGCATAACTGAACAGCCAATACGTGGCTCTAACCTACCTTTCCTACCTCCCATCCTGTATCTCCCACAAGCTCCCTAAACCTTAGGTAGGCAATATTCATCCATTTCCATGTCAGGAGATGACTTCCCTACCCCCACCCCTGAGTCCTTCCTTTCTATCAGATGAACCCTACCCCTGTATAGTCTACTTGTGCAGGCCTTTCTGTTTTTTCTCAGTGTCCTGAAACCCATCCCATTAAAAGTGTTCCCTCCTGAGTGTCTCCTGATGAACAAACCTCTAATAGAGCTCTTCAACTTCATGTTTAGACATCTTGAAAAAGGGGGCATTTTTACCCTGGACATCTATTGGAATTCCTGCCTTTTTCAGTGGATTGATACTTCCAGTACCTTCCCTAGCCCGTATCCAATGGGCACTTCATAAGTACCTTGTGAATTGAACTAAATTCTAGAATCTGGTTCAGTCTCTATACTATTGACTCTGTGTTCTCACTGCCTTTCTCTTTTACAAATCTCAATGCTTGAAGTGTTTGCATGGAGAAACTCTTCTCTCTAGGGCTGTTTATAACCTTACTAGAGGCCTGGCATATGAAATTCATGCACAGGTGGGGTCCCTAGGCCTGGCCAGCAACCAGAACTAACCGAGCCTATTGGGGCCTTCCTGCTGTGGCTGCCAAAGGGAGCCTTCCACACCACCCCCTGGTGGTCAGTGCATGTCATAGTGAGTGATCCAACTCAAGGTCCCAGTTGAACTCCCGAGGGGGACACTTTGCATATATATATATATATATATATATATATATATATATATATATATATATATATATATATATATATAGATAGATTAGTAAGACTTTTGGGTGGGTTTTGACTAGCACTCCAAACAATAATTTTAAAGCAGTTAAGTTCCAAACTAAGATTAGCCTACTTCAAAAGCAACTTTGGACAAAGGATTTTGGTATTTGTGGCCACAGCAATAAATTGCCATGCAAAATATAATTTTAATTCTAACTAAAATTAATCTAAAACACATCTAGCATATATATAAATGCACTGTGGACATTTGTAATAATTTCTCTTTTTGTTTTGAACAATAATGACCACTTTCTATCTGTATGAAATGTAATACACAAAAGTTTAACTAGAATCAATTACTGAATAGCTGAAAAGTTTTTACAAAAAAATGACATTGGATAAATCCCTAAATAAAATATCTGAAAGTGGCCATTATATCATAGTTGATAACCCGGAAAGTTTTTGTTTTTCAGAATACTTAAAAGCTTAATTATATATCCATTGCTATTATAATTCACTGCCAATTTGAAGAAAATGAATAGTTCCAGTCTTGGAATTTATAATCAGCTTTTAGAGTCAGTACATAGCTGTTGCTTAAAACAGCTCTGAAACAGATTATTGTGTAATTATGATAAATGCCAAAATAATATAATTAATCTTAACCCCTTCATCAAATTAGAGTATCTTATAGCAAAAAAGGCAACATGTATAATAAACACATACAGGATTTTATAGCTGAGTATATTTCTCAAAAACTCTTAAGAAGCAAATATCAAACTTATAAACAAATTTAATATCTTTGGACACAATGGCATAATTGTGAAAAATACATTCTATATTAGGGATGGTTTTCATTTAGTTGTTTTTTTTATCAATAGGTCACTAAAACTTAAAATGAATTTACCACTTGCAAATTTTAAAGCCAATTTTAAAGCTAATCAACATAGTTGTTTTCTTTATAGTTTTCACAGTTTTGGGGTCCATGACTTTATTTCTCATGTCACCAGACCCTCATGCTGCCTCCCTGAAGAGATCTGGTCAATGAAGGCGTGGGCCTGACAGACTGGCATGTGGCTCAAAGAGAATACCTTAAAAAAAGTAATCACAAATAACAGCGACAAGAAATAAGTGCTCTCTATTACCAAATCAGTCATCCCACAGAATGGAACTTCTTTCTCAAATATGTTCCTAGACTCAAATATATTCCTAAAGGCAATACAGGAGCTTCTGAAATCAATTCACATGCTCTGCCAATGAAGTGTGACTTCCTTTTTAAAAAATAATTTACATAAAATGTGACAAGAGGCATATGAGAGGAAGGAATTTAATTTTACTTTTAAAGTGATTCAGAAAAGATATCTGAAGTGATTTCTCTTACCCCTAAGTTATCTTCTTAAATTGACTATATATGATAAGGAGAGCCCTTAATAATATTTTTTAATTTTCTATATTCCAACAGGACATGATAATTCCCCTGCAAATATCAGAAATCACTCTCAAAAGCACATATACCAGATTAAGAATCATATATATTTTTATGAAAGACTTTTTGAGCCAACAATACTAACCTTAAGGTTGGATAAGCAGTTGTTGAGGAAAATGTGCCACCTGTTCAGGAACAGCTGCTTCTGACTGACACAGAGCAGACAGGTGACCAGTGGGTACAAGGCCTGAGGAAAAGAAGACAACATCCAGAGGATTATAGTCCAACAAACCAGTTAACACAAGTTCTCTGAAACCTCCTTATGTGGCCTGAATGGGCCAGAATAAACAGGGTCCTTATAACACAGAGGTGGATATTTCACAAAGGCTTTTTGATGACAATGGGGATGAATAGAGTTATATATTGTGTACAACTTTCATGTTCAATAAGTAAAATCTGATTCATTAATTTAGTCTTCACTTCTGAATGTTAAACACAAACTCATTTTTTGGCTTGTGTTTTTTGTTTAATCCTCACTTGAGCTTATTTTTTTCCCCGTTGAGTTTTAGAGACAGTGGAAGGGAGGGGAGAAGAGAAAGAGAGATTGGTTGTCTCCTGCATGCACCCAAACCAGCAACCTGCAACCCAAAAATGTGCCCTAGACTAGGAATCAAACTTGGGACCCCTCAATCCACTCTAACCACTGAGGAAATCTGTGCAGGATCAAACTTTCTCTCTCTCTTTTTAATCACTCTCAATCCTAAGAGGGAAAGGAGGAAGGCACACTAATTTTGAAAATGTTACTGGCTTTTTTGCTTATAAAGCATCTACTAGTTTGTCCCTGACTTAGAGGTAGGTGTATATATTTCTTTTTTGCATGTTATCTTTCTGTAATTAAACAAGATTCCTAAAAGAAATGTTATTGCATTGGTAAACTCCACCAAGACAAATGTAACCACAGAAGGAATTCTTATGACTGAATAAACAGAGGTGCTTCTGCACTTTTCCAGCCTAAATGGGCTAGTTGCCTGCAGCAGCTGGAGAACACAGAAAAGCAAATGGGCAGCCACCCAAGAAATGTACATGCAGACCTGACGCCACTTTGCTGAGCCAGAGGCCATATACCTTTATGGCTCCCCCCAAAATTAAGGCTAGTGAAGATTTTAAAAAATATTACTGGCTTGTCCATTAATTTGAATTAGCAAAAAAGCAATTGCCACAATGAGAGTCAGTACTTAGCAATTCATTGACTTGTTTTTAATTTACTTTATTTTTTCTTATTAAAACAATCACTTTTTTTTTCATTCCAACAATTTATTAAAAGTATGTGCAGACAATACATGTTTATGCACATGGCTTAAATATAAAATCATTGTGGGATGTGAATTGGTAGGGGAATAATACTAGATTTCAATTTAAGATTTAACAAACTCAGAAGTAGTTGATTTTAGATTGTAATTCTAGGTTCCATTAAGTTTCTGCTACCTCAATATTTCTTTTTAAAAAAATATTTAAACCACTTTTTGTTTTTCAATTACAGTTGTCATATATTATATTAGTTTCAGGTGTACACTCAGTGATTAGACATTATATAACTTACTAAGTGACCAACCTGATAAATCTCGTACCTATCGGATATCATACATAGTTATTAGAATATTATTGACTATATTCCCTATTTGCATCCTCATGACTCTTCTGTAACTACCAATTTGTACTTCTTAATCCCTTCACCTTTTTCATCCATGCCCCCAACACCCTTCCCATCCAACAACCATCAAAATGTTCTCTATTACCTATAAAGTCTGTTTCTGTTCTATAAAGTCTGTTTCTGTTCTATAAGTTTATTTTGTCTTATTTTTCTAAGTAATTTAAAAAATGTTTATTGTTGAGAGTATTACAGATACCTGCTCTTTCCCCCCGCTGTCCCTTCCAACCAGTCCCTGCCCCACCCCAGGCCTTCACCACCCTACTGTCTGTGCCATAGGTAAGATCTTTGGTTAATATCTTCTCATCTCTCCCTCCTCCCTTCCTTCTGAGATTCATCAGTCTGTTCCATGCTTTCATGCTTGGATTCTGTTTTGTTCACCAGTTTATTTTGTTCATTAGATTTCTTGTTCATTTATCTTGATTTTTAGATTTGATTGCTGATAGGTATGTATTATTGTTCATATATATTTTTATCTCTTCTTCCTCTTAAATACTACCCTCCAACATTTCATATAATATTGGTTTGGTGGTGATGAACTCCTTTAACTTTTTCTTGTTTGTGCAGCTCTTTATATGACCCTCAATTCTAAATGAGAACTTTGCTGGGTAGAGTAATCTTTGTTGTAGGTCCTTACTATTCATCACTTTCAATATTTCTTGCCACTCCCTTCTGGCCTGCAAAATTTCTGTTAAGAAATCAGCTGACAGCCGAAACCTGTTTGGCTCAGTGGATAAGAGCATTGGCTTGCGGACTGAAAGGTCCCAGATTCGATTCTGGTTAAGGGAATGTTCCTTGGTTACGGGCACATGCCCAGTGGGGGGTGTGCAGGAGGCAGCTGATCAATGATTCTCTCTCATCGATGTTTCTAACTCTCTATCCCTCTCCCTTCCTCTCTGTAAAAAATCAATAAAATATATATTTAAAGATCAGCTGACAGATCTATGGTCACTCCCTTGTAGGTAACTAACTGCTTTTCTCTTGCTGCTCTTAAGATTCTCGCTTTGTCTTTAACCCCTGGCATTTTAATTATGATGTGTCTTGGTGTGAGCCACTCTGGGTTCCTCTGTGCTTCCTGGACTTATAAGTCTATTTCTTTCACCAAGTAAGGGAAATTTTCTGTCATCATTTCTTCAGGTAGATTTTCAATATCTTCTTATCTCTCTTTTTTCTTCTGGTACTTCCATAATGCAAATGTTGATATGCTTGAAGTACCAGAGGCTCCTTATACTATTTTTATATTTTTGGATTCTTTTTTCTTTTTGCTCTTCTGATTGGGTATTTTTTGCTTACTCATATTCCAAATTGTTATTTGATTCTCAGAATCTTCTACTGTACTGTTAAATCCATGTAAATTGCTCTTTATTTCAGTTAGTGTGTGCTTAATTTCTGACTGGTCCTTTCTCATGTCTTTGACATTCTCACTAAGATTCTTGAAAGTTTCATGAAGATCCTTGAGTAACCTTATAACCATGATTTTAAACTCTGTATCCAGTAGTTTGCTTGCTTCCACTTCTTTCATTTGTGACATGCTTCTTTGTCTCTGCATTTTAGCTGCTTCTATGTGTTTATTTCTCTATATTAGGCAGAGCTGCTATGTCTTCTGGAATTGGTACAGTGGTCTTGTATAGTAGGTGCTTTAGGGCCCAGTAGCTCAGCCTCCCCAGTCACTTGAACTGAGCACTCTAGGTGTGTTCTTGTGTGGGTTGTGTGTACAGTCTTATAGTTGACGTTTAATTGCTGTTGGAATCTCTGGGAAGAGCTGACGTCCAAAACAATTGGCTATGAGGACCAGCTACAACTACAGTGAGAGAACTGCTGTTCAGGAGGTAAGGTACAGCTGTGAAGCAAGGTAAGCTGGTGCTAGAGTCAGGACTCTATTGGGCCTTTTATTGATAAGTTTGGGGTACATTGTCACCAGCTGCAGCTTGTTTAAGATATTTTAGCAAATTCTGAACTCTGATCCAGGACAGCCATTCATATGAAAAAGCTGCTGCAAACAGCTTGGGTAGAGCTGCAAATTTGACGGGGTGGGGTCAACTTTAGGCAGTTCTGAATGATGGTTATTCTATATTTTAGTTGTAATTTTGATGTGGTTGTGAGAGGATTCAAGTACAGGTGTTTATCTATGCTACCATCTTGGTTCTCTTTAGATATACATTTATTGCCATGTTTTTCTTCTTCTTCTTCTTAAAGAAGACCCTTTAACATTTCATGTAATACTGGTTTTGTAGTGATGAACTTAAGTTTTCTCTTGTTTGGGAAGCTTTTTATGTGACCTTAGATTCTAAATGATAGCTTTGAGGTAACTCCATAATGCTCTCCTCAGTGGCTGCACCAGTATGCATTCCCACAAACAGTGCAAGAGAGTTCTCTTTTGTCCTCATCTTACCCAGTGTCAACACTTGCTGTTTGTGGATTTATTTATAATAGCAATTCTGATAGGTATGAGGTGATATCTCATTGTGGCTTTAATTTGCATCTCCCTGATGATTAATGAAGTTGAAGTTTTCTTCATATGTCTATTGATCATCTGTATGTTCTCTTTAGAGAAGTGTCTATTCAGGCCATTGGTACATTTTTTAATTGGATTGTTGTTGTTTTTTGGTGTTTATTTTTTATAAGTTCTTTATACATTTTGGATATTAACCCTTTATCACATATACCATTGGCAGATATGGTGGGTTGTCTTTTCATTTTGTTGATAAAAAGTTGTGCAAAAACTTTTTAGTTTGATGTAGTCCCATTTGCTTATATTTTCCCTTTCATTTTCCTTTCCCAAGGAGATATGTATGTAAGCAATAATATTGCTATGAGAAATGTCCTAGATTTTACTGCCTGTTTTCTTCTAGGATTTTTATTGTTTCAAGACTGACAAGTACCATATGATTTACTTATACATGGGATCTAATGAATAAAATTAACTAACAAACAAAATAGAAACAGACCCATAGATACAGAGAACAGACTGACAGCTGTCAGAGGGAAAGGGGCAGGTGGCTAGATGAAAAAGGTAAAGAGATTAAGCAAAAAAGAAACCTCAGAGACACAGACAACAGTGTGGTGTAGGGCAGGAGCATAGACTGAAATATGCATATAAAATTTATTTGCACAGCCTGAGCAGGGTGGCTTAGTGAATGAGTGTTGACCTATGAACCAGGAGGTCAGGGTTGGATTCCAGGTCAGGGCTTTATCCCCAAGGAGGGGCATGCAGGAGGCAGCCAACCAAATTATTCTGTCTCTTCATTCATGTTTCTATCTCTCTCCCTCTCCCTTCCTTGCTGATATATATATATATATATATATATGAACATTTTCACAAATTTAAGTAAATACATATTAATTCTACCACACACTACCACATATTCCATAATCTATAAAAAAAAAACACACCCACATTTACCTATGTTGCCATCATAACCAAAAGGCTAATTTTATTTTATAATCAACTAAACTTTAAACTGATTTTTGAACTACTACTGCCATTGAGTGCAACTCTAATTCAGGCCAGGAATCTAAAACAAAATCACACAACCAAGCATCAGTCACAATGACCACAGAATGTAGACAAAAGAGCAAATTTGGCATCAATACCAGGAAAGCAACTCTGAGTATCTGCTTAAATAATGGTGGAATGTTCACACTTTGAAGGCTAGCATCAACCATGCCAGTAACCAGTGACCTAAGCAAACTGCTCCTTCACCCACACTGTGGCAATTACAGCAAGTAAAACACTGACCAATTCATAAATCAGAGCTTTATTTACCACCGAGAGCAAAAGGTTGGAATTCAAAAGACCTTTATATGTTGCTCTTAGTGTAAAAACTTTTCTAGAAATTGTTTTCTCAGCCTTCTGAGAACTTTTCTTATGGGGAATTATCTGTGTCCCAACTCTCCCTCCTGTCTGGTTACACTTTGGTTCTCAATATGGTTCAGGAATTAGCCAGAGAAGAATCTTGAGGACTGAAAAGAGAAATTGTGACTGTAAACTGTAGCCTTCATGAAAAAATTCCTAAAAATTAAAACAAAAATTAGTTAAGGAAATTTCAAAAACAAACAACACAATTCTTAGGACTAGAAGGGTCATCCAAGGTGACATGGCCTAATTTCCTTATATTACCATGATTTAATCATGGTCAATATTGAGTGCAAGCTCCAAATTTTGAAATGCTACCTTTCTTTGAGGTAGTTGTAGATAATTCTCTTATCAATGGAATGCTTGTGATTCCGGAATAGATTCCAGCCTGGGAATTTAGTCTCTGCAGTTTTGTGGTTTGGGTTTTCTCATAGTTACTAACCAAGGAATGCTTCTTTCGAGAAGAAAGTTCCAGCGTGGTATCATACAGACTTTCGACAAAGTTTCTAAGGCAGGGGACATTGACTTCATTTTTAACAGCCTGTAACAGAGATGCATGTTAATACTATATTAATTAAATTGTTTGTTATCTAATCCAATTTGACGAAGTTCTTAGACATGAAAATTTAACAACTTACAGCAGCAACTGGGACAAGAACTTCAACAAAAAGCCCAGCCAGGGCATGCTTGATGTCTTTGTCTTTGACCTCTAGGAAATAATGTGCACATTCCTGGGAAGCAGAAAAAGAATGAAGGGCAGGGACATAAACTGAGATATGCATATAAAATGTATTTACAGAACAACCAAAACTCTGGGGAGGGAGGGTATGTATGGAAGGGGGGGGGGCAATGTTAAAATATGTACACAGATAATAATTTAATAAAAAATAAAAAAATAAAAGTAAATACCTCTTACGTAATTCCACCATCCATACTAACATTGCATATTCCATAATTATAAAAAAATAAACAAACCCATGAATTTTGCATTTATATTAAAATTAACAATGGCCCCAATGACATTTTCCAAGGCTGGTTTTCTCACTCCCCTCCTACTTCCATCTCAAATCACTAAGTTGAAAGGACAAAGTACTACAACCAGCAAGCAGGCATCAAGCAGACTTTCTGGTTGATTTGATCAGTCATTCATTTCCAACAAACTTCAATTGACTATTTACTGTGTGTGATGCCCTGGGCCCTGGATTGACTCAGAAACAGAGACCCCACAGAGAAAGTAAACATGGAAAGAGAGGAAGAGGAAATTATATTTATTTGAGGCTCTGATATCCCTGGGCACAAAGCTGTTTACTTGCTAGGCCTGAATTTTAAGTGTGTTTATTATTCCGACAGTTTCACAAGCAAGTCTGAATGCATTCCCTACCTTAGACAAGGAAACCTTAGCAATAATTTTCTTAAGCAAGGATTTCTTTGCCTGTGGACTGTTGTCAATGAAAGGATATTTTGGGTTGCCCATCTAGTAGAAGTTGGCCTGTCCAGAATTCTGCCAGCCCCTTTCTCCTTCCTGGCCTTGGTAGAAACTTACCGTGGTCTTTATTAGGTATAGTTTTAGTGGAAGAGTCAAAGGCAATATGTATTTGAGGTGACATGTTAATATCGATATTAGCTACTACCACTTTTTTTCAGTCAACATTGGGATTATTACCAATAATAGTTACTGAAGTCCCAAGTTTATCTTTATCATACTAAGACCTCAGCCCAAGATAGTCACTGCCAGCATGGAAAGCCACTGACAACAGAGTGGAGCTTTATGGTTGTCAGTGTATTATTGGTTTGTATCTACTTTTTTGCTGTTATGTATAGTGCTTCAATGAACATTTATTTGCATTCATGTTTTTGTGTGCACATGTATTTTCATTTCTCTTGGGTATACACCTAAAAGTGGAATTGCTAGATCATATAGCACCGTATTTTTCAGACCATAAGACGCTCCGGACCATAAGACGCACCAGTTTTTAGAGAAGGGAAATGAAGAAAAAAAGATTCTGAAACAAATAGTGTCCTAAAATATTTTATGTGCATTAAAACCCAACATCACAGTCATAAACACATGTAATCAACCCTGTAAAGTAAACAGCAGCATTTAGAACCATTTTAGAGCCGGGCAAGCACACAGAGACCACACAGAGCCGGGCAAGTAAAAAAACTTTTTTTAAAAAGTATATGTGTAGGCTATATTTGGACCATAAGACGCAGGGACTTTTTTCCCCCCCACTTCTGGGGGGAAAAAAGTGCGTCTTATGGTCCAAAAAATACGGTAATTATAGATTTAACCATGTGAGGAACTTTCAAAATATTTTCTAAAGGTACTGTCACCAGCAGTGTATGAGGGTCCCAATTTTTCTATATTTTCTTGCTAATACTGTATTCTTTAAAATATATTTTTCATTGATTTCAGAAGTGAATAAAAAGGGAGAGAGATAGAAACATCAATGCTGAGAGAGAATCATTGATCAGCTGCCTCTTGCACACCCCACATTGGGGATTGAGCCTGCCATGTACTCTAACTAGGAATCCAACCATGATCTCTTGGTTCATAGGTTAATGCTCAACCACTGAGCCACATTAGCTGGGCAACACTGTCTTTTTTATTCTAGGTGGTTTAATGGAAATGAAGTGGTACAGGCTATATTTATAGCCCCTATATCTTAGCTCTTTATTAAGATTTCACTAAGTCTCATTCAGAGCAGCATTAAAAATATCCTTTCAGATACTAAAGTTTTGCAAACTTAATAGCTGTATATTCTGTGGAATCCTCATTAACAACAATTCCTTTGTTAGCACATAACAGTAAACACTGTGTAATTGACACCTAAACCTGTATGATTTGGTTAATTTTCTAAATTCCTTCTGATAATATGAATAAAAAGATCTCTTCATTATTTAAAGTTCTGATGCCTATGAATTAGCATAGCCAACTAATGCTATTAACTTTAAACAGTAAAAAATCAGCTATATTTTATTTACAGAACAATATGTAGCCAATGGATTAGAGAGAAAGAGGAGAGAGAGAGAGGAAGAGAGTGAAAAGGTTAATGAATAAGAGATTTCTCTGGACATACTGCTCCAAAGGTGATGTGAAGTTTAAAAATAAAATTACATGCCTGCAACTCTATTATTTGGTTACAAAACGCTTTCTGAATTATTAAGAAAAATGTAGGATTTTTTTTTTTTTGCCATCTTGACAAGTGACTGGGTTTTCACATTCCAGGTGAGTGACTTTGAGGAACGGAGGCACTCAAACTGATAGCCCTTGGTCTTTCAGCTGAAGATATTACCTGCATAAACTGAAGAGAGGCCTCAAAGTCCTCCACTGGGTACATCTTAATCCGAAAGAATTTCATTCCCATTATCAAGCTGATGATGCTTTGAACAACATATGGGCTCTGCTCCTTGTGCCGTAATTCTTTGAGCTCTGCCATAAATTTCTTCTTCACAGCATGGAATCTAAGAAGAAAATATGAGTGATTTATCAAATAATGGGTAGGAAATAAACTGTAATGGAGGCCTCCAGAATCTCAGGGTGACAGGGAACAGGGATGGGGGTCCTACAAATCAAAGTACAGTGGCTGCAATTTTGAAAGGAGTCTGTATTGGGGATTTGGAAGAGTCCTATCGTCTCCCTTTTTATTATGTAAATACTCAACATCTCCTTCAGGCTAGAGATAAGATCCAAGGTTATATAAATTTTTCTCAAAATAGTACAGCTCTTAAACCGAACTCCATTTCTTCAGGCTTAGCAATTTCCAACACACTTGCAGACCCCCAAGGTCTGAAGCATCAATGGTGAGCATATGAGCAATAGCATGTCAGGCTTGCTAGTTCTGACAGTGACAGAAAATAATGCCCAGGAAAATGCCCAAATCCACTTCCAAAGTTTTAAGTTGTTGTTTTATTTATAGTTTTAAGTTTATGATTATGGAAGAAAATATTTTTAGTTTAAAAGAAAATCTAGTAATGGGAAAATATAAATCAACTACAAGATAAGTAAGTTCTCTACTACATATATGAGAAAAGATCCAGCCCCCAAGGAACTTAAGGCATTTGTATTGTTTGAAAATAAAATAATATTAATAACATTAATTATAACATCATTATATAGGATTAAAAAAAAGAATGGATCTTAAGATGCAAGGTGGTAGCAAATTTTCAAAGTACCTGAGGGTGAGGGAATATAAACACAGAAGTTATCCAACCTATTTCTGAGACCGTTTCAGAGTTAGTTAAAAAAAGAAAACTCAAGGAAATTGTTCTAAGAGTCATGATACTGCTTTTGTTTTCCTGAGACCATCAGCCTGAGGTTCTGCGTAAGTTAAAAGGGATAATTAGTAAGACGTGATTGGAGAGGGTAATTATGATGATAGAAGTTAAAGGCCATCCAGTAGAGCCTCAGAAGTATGGATCAGCAACTCTTGATGCCCCAAAGTAGAAATTTTAGGACAAATTAAGAGGGTGGTAAAATACAGAGACTGTTTCACTAAAAGGCAACGGCAGGGGTGTGTGACTGGGAGGTTGGGTATAAGGGTCTTCTGATAGCTGGCAATTTTCTAGTTCTCAGCTTGGGTGGAGGAAGTGACGTGGTATTCATTTATAGCATTTGGTTAAAATTGTTTGTCTTATTCTAAACAATGTATGGATTTTTTTTCTTTAGGTTTGCTACATATATATTTCACAATGAAAAAAATTTTAAGACAATGAAGCAGAAAATATAAATTCCAAACTCCAATGTCATCATTCTTTTCTACTTCTTAGAGTAAAAGAATAAAATTGCTGATGTGACCACAGAGCTTACAATATGCTAGGCAAAGTTCAGTGAACTTCACATAGGCTAACTCATTTAACTCTCACAAACACTCTAGTGGGATACTATTATTATGCCCCTTTTACAGAAGAAACACTTGTGGCAGAGGTTTTGTAATAAAGTCACATAGCTGGCAGAGCCAGACTTTTAAGAAAAAATGTATTTAAGCTATAGTATCGATATGTCCAGACCACTGGCTCTCAAAGTGTGGTTCCCAGGTCAGCATCACCTGGGAACTTGTGACAAACACATTCTCTGCCCCACTCCAGACTTCCAGAACGAGAAACTCTGGGGGTGAGTCCAGTCATCCTATTTAACAAGCCCTCTAGGTGAAGCTGATGTGCTAACGTTTCTAAGGTATTGGTATGAATCAGGAATAACAATCAGGTACATTTGTAAGATGGTGTATATCTGATGTACCTTACATACACTCTTACATTTTTATCTTCACAACAATCCACTGAGTCAGGCAGTGAATGCATTTCCATTTTACAAATGAAGAAAAAGATCTGAAAACTAGTGACAAAGACAAAACTCAAACTCAGGTTTTTCTGATCCAAATTCTAGGAATTTCCACAATAATATAGCTGCATGGTTCATGACAATCATGAACTACGATATGTAGCTCTTGCTCTATCTAGAGCAGTGTACAGTTTAATTGGAAAGATAAAATAATGTATCTTTGACAATGAGCCTTGTGAATTAATAATAATAATAATAATAATAATAATAATAATAATAATGAGGTGTGTTAGCATGTGTCTGGCACTTTGCCTGGATCTCTCTGACTTTTCAGGGAGGTTGAATGCCCCAGGCCAAATCACTTTCTCATATCTCCCGTTGTCTTTTATGTGAATAATATACGTAAAAGCAGGTAGAGGGCATTGGAGACTCTTTTCAGCTGGATATTTAGAGATTTCAGAGAGGATCTGAGTATCTAGAAGGGCAAGCAGAGGACCTTTGGCAGAGATGGAGAGAGGCAGGGAGAAGAAATAGCATGAAAGCCATGAAAATGACTTTCAATCAAGATTATAAAAGTTAACTCTGGCTGGTTTGGCTTAATGGATAGAGTGTCTGCCTTGGGACTGAAAGGTCCCAGGTTCAATTCCGGTCAAGGGCATGTATATTGGTTGCAGGCACACCCTCAGTGGAGAGTGTGCAGGAGGCAGCTGATCAGTGTTTCTATCTCTCTATCCCTCTCCCTTCCTCTCTATAAAAAAAATCAATAAAATATATATTTTAAAAAAGATTATAAAAATTAATAATGAAATATGAGTTTAAAAATTTAATTAATCTTAAAGGTTATATTGTTTTAATGACCACATGATACCTAGGAATGTTTTTCATTTCTTTTTCATAATTGAAACAAGGAGAGGTAGGAAAAGGCAGGTTATTTGTATAACCCACTATTTCAATATTCTCATGAGCTAGTAGTAAAAAGTCTATTTCTAATGTGAAAATAAATATGGCTATCTTTTACATAAAAAAAAATTCCAAAATGACATAAGCATGTTATTTTAACATAAAAATAATCCTAAAATCTATTTGTACTAAAATCATTTTTTCCTTAAGATAATTTCAAGGAAAAATAAACTTCTCTTCAATGACTGTGCCTTTAGTATTTAATATTATCTTTAGTAAAAACATTAGCTAAATGACATTCACATACAAATAAATTCTGCTTTAAAATGAATGTACAGCCAAAACCGGTTTGGCTCCGTGGATAGAGCGTCTGCCTGCGGACTGAAAGGTCCTAGGTTCGATTCAGGTTAAGGGCATGTACCTTGGTTGTGGGCACATCCCCAGTAGGAGGTGTGCAAGAGGCAGCTGGTCGATGTTTCTCTCTCATCGACACTTCTAACTCTCTATCCCTCTCAATTCCTCTCTATGTAAAATCAATAAAATATATATATATTTTTAAAAAATGAATGTACATATTATAAAAGTGAGAGTAAGAATATATACATTAAGATTTTATCACACAAGGAGAAAGTAGTTTTGAAATCTATGAATCTTAGAAGCAATCATCAGTAATTAAATATGTCACATTTTAACAAGAAAAAAACTCCCTACCTTAAAGTACCTAATTTTAACTTAATTGACTTGGACAAGTTAACACTATATGTGAATACTACTTCATAGCAAAAATGTTTTCTCTTAAGGACAATAATTAAGCACATCATCACTATTAAGATTAAAAATAGTCATTCTGTTAAGACTAAAGTAATATTAAAAACTAAAGTTATAATGAAGAAAATATTTCATATGCATTATTAGGAATAGATACAAATCTTAAATTAGAATTGTTATATTACCCAAGTTTATTTTAAAAGAGATAACCACCTGTACCTGATAAGCAAACACCCTTTTTCCCCAAGGACAAAGAAAGCATTAATTCCTAAGGCAGTGATAGAGTGATGGTCCTGGTGCACTTATGAGGAGAAAGTAATGTGATAATTCGTAGTATGACAACAGTTCAAGATTGTACTGTCTAAAGGTTAACTATCCATTGATTGTGATGACCATAACTACAAGAACCCACTGGCCAAGTAGTTCTCCTGTGACAACAAAGTATTGGAGTTTTGTCCAAATAGAGACATTTCTTACCCTCCACTATTGCAGAATTGGGACAAATATTGGAATCATAAAAATAGAAAAAGTCACTGTTGGCAAGAAAAATTGGCTTGGTGTATCATACATCTAACCAAACATAGCAATTCCTACAACTTTAGAGTATTGTTTAGTTATCATATTAGTTCTCAATTCATTCAGAACTAACCCTAAATTGAAGTAGCTAAGAAAGGTTGTTCTAGAAGTAATTAATATTGTTATGCATAATTCACAAAATCTAAGAAAAACACTGGCATATTAAACTTCATACGGACTGATGAACCATAATGATTACAGTGGGCTATATTAAATGAAGTACGATGTAGTCTCCTGCACAATGGCCTGGATAACTCTGCTGTTTAACTCTAATTCAAGTTTTAGCCAGTGTTTTCTTTCCTCTGTTGCTGTCAGTCTTTGAGCTAGTGAGAACTGAGAGTGTACCTACCTCTCTTCCATCTAATACTCATGTTTTATGTGTTAGAAAAAATGGGTAGTTCAGATAAACAGATAAACTGTTTAACTGTTATCTGTCAGATTAAGTCATGCCATGGAGTTTTTTGAGTCTATTCAGAGTTCTTATCTATGTTTTGGCAAGGTAAGATTGCTGAATAAGAACTTCAATTGAAAAAAATAATAAATTGGGTATTTCCATGATACTAAGTTAGGAAATTCCATCTTTAAAGATAAAAATCTCTTTCACAAGGATCAGGGCATCACTGCTGCTTTCAGCTGGCGTCTCATCTTAGGTTCCCATTAGGTCCATAGCTCATTTCGCCTAACTAGGCATTCAGGATCTTGCCCAATCTGCCTGAGAGTGGAATAAGATGAAGGTGGGAAAATAGGGTATAACATCACTTTTGGAAGAAGTATATTATTGCTTATAACCTAACACCACTTTGTTCTAGCCTGCTAAGTAGTGTTATGGGGCCAGATAAATATAGCAATGACAAGTTTCCTCTGACTTGTTTCCATGACAGAGTATAGGACATTTTTAGCTCAGCTGAATTAAGTAAGCTCGATAGTAAAGGGACATTCTAGAATGGAATTTTCCCACTCATAGATGATATCGTAATCACCCACTTGTGGAATATAGAAAACAAAACATTTTAGTATATGTTCTGCTGGAGCATAACAAAACTGATTAACTTCTTTGGAATATTTGGACAAAGATAAAAATAATTTGATTAGACCATTTCTTTATTTGATGCAGTCAAATGGAACTCATGAACTCTTGGTAAGATCTGACCCAACTGTCAAGTGAAAAAAAATAACAGGGCAAACAAATTGGAAAAAGACTTGTATTTGCCTTGGGGATGCTTTTAGTCAATTTCAGAGCAGGGCACACACAGCAAAAAACCCCTAGCTTCCTGTAAGCTCTCTCATATCTCCGTCCTGAGAGTAAGGTGGAGGAGTGGGATGAGTCGACAGAGACACCTGTTCTTGTGGTAAAGGGTTCTGACTGACATTTACTTACTTAGCTTGTGCCAGCACTCCAATGACTTCTGCATACAGGTCTGCCACAATGTGCATATTACCAGTGTTGGGACCAAGGTACCTAAATAAGATATAATTAGACACATTAGGGGTCCCTGGTCATCTAAAACTTGATTTAGTTTTAGCACCCAACCTTGTCAAAATTCTAAAGTGAGAAATTACTTTACCCTTCTTTGTATTTAAAGTGCTTGAAAGCCAAGTTAATAACATCATGTATTAAACTGTCTAATACAGGATGAAGTGGAATCTGGAGAAAGAAAGAAAAAAAAAAAGAGATGGCTTTTAATTTGAAGGAAATATTAAAGATCAAATCAATTAGAGCACTTCCAATAATTATATATGGACTTAAGCAATCAACAAATATAATTCATATGACCCAGTACTTGAAATTAAAAAATAATTTAAAAACAAGTAGTTTTCAGATAAATAAATCATATATAAAAGTAACATTAAATTACTGACCTGTTTTAAAACTTCTATTAATACTAAAGAAAAAATAAAATCAATGGCGAGGTCCCGTCTTTCCATTAAATAATCTCGCTGCTGTTCATCACTGTAAAATTTTAAAAAGTCACATTAATTGGCATTAAAGATACTGTGAGTGATATAATTCATTAAAAACTGAGGACTCATTTCAATGAACTGCAAGCCATTTTTGGTATTACAAGATTGCAGTGGTAAATACAGCATTTGCTGAAGGTAACCCTAATACTTGTGTGGTACAGTTGACAAACACTGAATCAGAATATTTGACTGCAAATTTTACATTTTCAATCATGCAAACTTGAGTAGCTATTTGTGAATCTATAACCCCATCTTGTCAGCTTTTCTAAGGTATGTTTCAACCCAGGAATTCTATCATCTGTAAAGTGGATACAAACACAAGACAGGGTTACAATATTAGAGGTGTACAGTGAAAATACCTTGTGAAAGGAACTAAATAATGTAAGGACAAAACATGGTTACCTATTGGAAGAGAACTATAGGGGTGAAGAAAGGATCAGAATTGCTCCCCCCCACCCTCCCCCCCCGGTCCCATTCCTCTTGACCTTTACCTTGATATTTCTGAAAGGAGGAAAGAAGAAGTGACAGGATATTAGGAGAGAGAGACTGAAAACCAGTTGGAAGAGAGGTAAAAGCAGCAAAGTGGAGTCATTTGAATTCATTCAAAAGTTGGGGAGCAAAGTTAGCACTGCCAGAAGGATGGAAATGTAAGTCCATAACCCTTCCCCTCCATCTTATGCTTATTTAACATACTGACTGAGGGCTAATTTCAGTTGAATAAAGAAAGAAAAATAAAATGAATGCTGAGTTCTCCAGCAGAGAAGCAAGAATAGTGGCTAAGAGCATTGTCTTTGGTATGAATCAGTTCTGGGTTAAAATTATACCTCTTCTACTTATCAGCAATGTCCCTATCTATGAATGGAAATAATAATAGCAATTATATAAAGGTTTACTTGAGTACTAAATAAGATAAAGCAGTTGACTCTCTCAAACACACACCTGCTCAATACTTGTATCTATATATAAACTGACTGGCCAGATTATTATGATCTCTGAACACATAATAATCCGGCCACTCTGTGTATAAAAAGCTAAGTAAATGGCCAACTGGCCGACTGGCCAGTAGGTATGATGTACACTGACCACCAGGGGCAGATGCTCAACACAGGAACTGCAGAGCAACAGCTACTTTGCAGAGTGCCCTCTTGCACTCCAGGATCATTTGGGAGATGTCGGACTGCTGGTTTCAGCATGATCCTTGCATGCCAGGCTGAGGGACCTCACCTGCTGGAAGGCCCCTGTTCACTCTGTAGACACTCTTTGAGCCCTGATGCCACCCCAGGTGTGGCCACCCAGGGAGGGACCACAGGAGGTCAGCTCCAGGGCATATCTGGCTCATCTCTCCCAGTCCCACCCCGAGGGCCACTTTCTAATTAATTTCCTTTCAATGTGCATGAATCTGTGCACAGGGCCTCTAGTAGTAAATAAAGCAATGAGAAAGAATGGCAGGATTTGGACTTGTCAGGCAAATATTTTCAAAACAAGTCAAGAATATTTTAAATATGATTTTTTTGTCTTTAATTCAAAGGGAATGAGCAGAAAGGAACATGATATTTAAGCTATAAAAATAACTTCTGGAAGAGTTCTGTAACCATCAACAAGTTAAGGCTGATGGATGACAGGATGGGTTAACAAGGGAATTTGCAGCTTTGACTTTCAAGGGGAAATGTAATGACAGGGTCAAAACTCTTTCATTCAGGATCATTTATGAACAGTCCTACCAGAAGGAGGAACAGTGGACTGAATAGAACCATCTAACAAGCCCTTCAAAACCCACCAGAACAAGAAAGTGCTATTGCCAGTTGGGAAAGAAGAAAACTTGTAGAAATACATTTAAAAAGGTGGCATTCACACATCTAACCTAGAGATTGTATCATGGAATATGGAAACAAGAAGCTTGATGACTAAATGGAAGGAGAACTTTGTAAGATGGCCAGCCGCAGTAGAGAGAAAATGTGTTGGATGGCTCATCAGGGTCTTCAAAAGGGGCCAGAAGACCTTGAGAAAGTAGCAGTTCTTAATAGAAAAATATTTTAAACCCTAAGTCTGTCTTATTTATTAAGCTCATGATGCTTTCAATTAAAGTAAGACATACTTTTCCAATAATGAATTCAACTTTATTGCTTGTTTGAGGTCTAACTTCCAGGAGCCAGAGGCATTTGACATTTATTTGGCAGTCAAAATGTTGATATTATACTAATCCTAGAAAAGATAACCCAAACACACTAGTCACATTTGACTGTTTTCAGTTGTTCATGCTTCTCCTGAAAGCTCTTCTTTTCTCTTCCTTCCTTCCTTTTTTTTTTTTTTTTTTTTTTTTTGTAACAGAAATTCACATTATTGCTTACATTATGCTTTGGAGACCCTGATTCTGTTGGCTTTCTCCAAAACACACACACACACACACACACACACACACACACACACACACACACGTTTAAACTTTAAAATGAAGTATTACTGAGTTGAATTTTGCTGTCCTGATTCTGTATTTGATCCCAAAAATTACTTTGAGCTCCTAAAAATAATCAGTAAAATGTTTAAAAAACTATTATTTTCAATCCATAAAGCAATCAATTAATGAAAAATCTAGTTTTAGTAACTAAATTCTGACAAAACCAAGGAATAAAACTAAAACTCACTTAAGTCAACTCAACAAAATCATCCCACTTCCTACCCCCAGGAAAGTTTTAATAATGTCTGTTCATAATCTAACAGGTAATGTGAGAAATATAATAAAATGACTCCATTAATTTAATAACCACACAGTCTCAATTTTCAGACACAAGAATTGAATTTATACCTATGAAATTTGATACATTTAAAAAGTATTTATGAAGACAGATTGCTAATTGGTATGGAGTTCCTTTATGAACCAGTGAAAATATTCTGGAATTAGACAGTGGTGATGGTTTCATGACCTCATGGATGTACCAAAAACACAGAATTATACACTTTAAAAGGGTAAATTTTACTGTTTGTGAATTATATCTCAATAAAAACTCCCTCTTTAACTAAAAATTTTTCTCCCCCAAACAAAATGATAAATAAATGATTGAATATTGCATAAAGTCACATACATTTTGAAATGAAATTACAAGTCTGGATGAATTGTAAATTGGTAAAATTCCAGTTTCCTATTAAAAGAGATGTCTATATTTTAAATATATTAGAAGTGTCAAGAAAAATGAAAGGGATAAGTTATTTATAAGTAGTAATTAATATCCGATTTTCTGAGTGATTTCAGTTCACTGTCTTTAAATACATAAAAACATGCATAACCAATTCATGTGGAGAAATCTAGTTTCTTTTGAAATAATATTTTTAAAAAAGATAAATGCATTATATGAAAATGTGCTCAAAGTCACTGATCATCAGAGAGATGCAAATCAAAACGATAATGCAGTACCATCTCACATCTGTCAGAATGGCTATCATCAACAAATCAACAAATGACAAGTGCTGATGAGGATGTGGAGAAAAAGGAATCCTCCTGCACTGCTGGTGGAAATGCATACTGGTGCAGCACTGTGGAGAACAGTATGAAGTTTCCTTAAAATTAAAAATGGAACTCCCATTTGACCCAGTAATCCCACTTCTAGGAATATATCCAAAAAAACCAGAAACACCAATCAGAAAGGACATAGCAGCACAATTTACAATAGCTAAAATTTGGAAATAGCCAAAGTGCCCATCAGTGATAAGTGGATTAAAAGCCTGTAGTACAGCTGAAACCGGTTAGGCTCAGCGTTAGAGCGTCGGTCTGTGAACTGAAGGGTCCCAGGTTCAATTCCGGTCAAGAGCATGTACATTGGTTGTGGGCACATCCCTGGTAGGGGGTGTGAAGAGGCAGCTGGTTGATGTTTCTCTCTCATAGACGTTTCTAGCTCTCTCTCTCTCTCCCTTCCTCTCTGTAAGAAAAATCAATAAAAACAAAAAAACACCTGTGGTACATCTATGTAATGGAATACTATGCTGCTGTAAAATAGAAGGCAATCTTACCATTCACAACAGCATGGACGGACATAAAGAGCATTATGCTAAGCGAAATAAGCCGGTCAGAGAAAGGTGAATATCACATGATCTCACTCATTTGTGGAATATAATAATATAAACTGATGAACAAAACCAGATCCAGAGACAGAGAAGCATCGAACAGACCGCCAAACCTCAGAGGGAAGGCAGGGGGGGCGGTAAGAGATCAACCGAAGGACTTGTATGTCTAACCAATGGACACAGACAGGAGGGCATGAGGGCATGTGCTGGGGGGGGGGGGGGGGGAGTGGTGGGAGTGGCCAGGGAGAGGTCAATGGGGGAAAAAGGAGACAAATGTAATACTTTAATCAATAAAGAATAAAAAAAGATAAATGTATTAAAGAAGGTTTATTTAAAACATATAAAATTACATTTATTTACCTAAAATTTGGAGAAATGTATATTCATTGGACAGTAGGAGAATTTTAAGTTTTGTGACTGTCAAGTGCTCATGCAGCAGCAGTTCTACTTTCCAAATACACATAACAAATAAACAAAATTCTTTGCTGGAACATAAATTAGAGATGCTATAATGTAGACTGGAGGTGAGAGGGCACAGGAAAGGTATGAGGGTAACCTTGGCCCCTAACACCTTGCCCCACCGATGTCGAAATAAGGCCCTGAATGAATTTTCAACCTATGACAGCTGCCAGTGACTAGTTTTGCAAATGTGCCACCTGCCAAATAAGGAGCTCTGCACCTGCTGGGTATCTGTGCGAAGAGGCAGGGATACCTAGGTGCCTCTTAACTCCCATTTTCATTTACAAAGTGAAAAAAGAAGGAAGGAAAGGAGGAAAGGGAGGGAGCAAGGAAGGAAAAAGAAAAGAAAGATAAGTAAAAAGAAACCATAATTCTCAAAATGCTTACACAAAAGAAATGTACCTTTTTGATTTATTGCTTGTCCTTGGTCTGTACTCATGTGACTCATCCTCAATATCATTTTGCCTCTTATACCAGTCAAACAATGTGCGCAGAATGGAAGGCAGGCAGTACTCCGAAAGAGAGCTCATTGAGGTGATGACCTATAGAGAAAAGCAGGTGATTAAAACAGTGATTTCTAAGTTTTTTTCATTTTAGGGCATATATAAACTAATTATTAAAATTCTCCAAACACCAACAATATATATTTTTTGCTGATCTGGCAAAACAATAGGTATAATTTTGATTAATTCACATAGGATGACTATTGTGTTGGCTGTTGTTATTTTTTTATTTGACAATCTAAAGGAAAAAAGGTCAGTGTCCCTGACCAACTAGTTAGGTATTGTATGTTTTAAAAATTCTTGAGGACACTGGTTGAAAATTGCTGAATTAAAGGCTTGGTGGCACTGTCAATTACTGAGAAACTTTTTATTTCACAAATAACTCCAAGACAGTCACAACAAAGTTTTCTTATTTATCACAGTCTTTCCTTTAATAAGGACAGTGCCATGTCCTTACTAGGTCCTCAAAAATACTGTTCTAAAAATAAATATATTAATTAATGCAATTACATTAATAGTTGAGATGAAATAAGCAAACCCATTTCTCCTAAAAAATAACCTAAGTGGTAATAAAATGTGTGGTTTTCTGCCAATAATCATTCATCCACTAACTTGGTATATATGCCAAATTAGACTCCAGATACAAATCAGTAGCAATAATTTACCCATATTACATTAAAGGCAAACTTCTCTCTTCTCTTTAAACAACACACCATCAATTAAGAGTCCTGCTCTTTTATTAATTATTACAAAAAATGAACTTCTATCTATATCTTATATTATATGCAAAAATCAACTTAAAGTGGATCATAGACCCAAGTATAAAACTTAAAACTCTAAATCTTCTGAAAAACCCCCAAAAAACCATAGGAGAAGTTCTTTGTGACTTTTGGTTAGGCAAGGATTTCTTTGGTATGATACCAAAATCAAAGTCCATGGAATCTGATATGCTGGAAGTCATCAAAATGAAAAGCTTCTATTTTTAGAAAGATATTGTTCATAAAGTGAAGAAAAACCCAGGTCACAGGTGGGGAGAAAATATTCTTAAAACATATCTGATAAAGGCCTTATAACAAATGTATGTAAAACTGTAATAAGTTTTAATGATCTAATTAACAGACAGTATAAGCAAATTATAAACTCTAGTGCTGACGCAGTAGATAAAATGAATATGTTCATATGTTGCTGATTGAAGAAAAAATTAGCAAAATGTATCTGGAAGATAAATTGGAAATAATAATCAAGAACCCAGTAAAGCATTATGCTAAGTGAAATAAGCCAGGCAGAGAAAGATAAATATCACATGATCTCACTCATTTATGGAATATAATGAACAACATAAGCTGATGAACAAAAACAGATCCAGAGACAGAGAAATATCGATCAGACCGTCAAACCTCAGGGAAGGTAGGGGAGGGTGGGGGTACAGGGGACAGATGAACCAAAGGACTTGTATGCATGCATTATTAGCCTAACCAATGGACACAGACACCAGGGGGGTGAGGGCATGAATGGGGGAGTTGGGAAGGTTAATCGGGCAATAAGACACATATGTAATACCTTAATTAATAAAAAAAATTTAAAAAAGAACCTATATTAAAAAATATCCTCAATAAGCCCACTTTTAGGAATTTATCTCAAATATATGTGAGATGAGTAAGAATGTTCAGATAGCATTGCTTATTAAAGGGGGGGGGAAAAAAAGGCCCTAGCTGATTTGGCTCAGTGCATAGAGTGTCAGCCTGCAGACTGAAGGGTCCCAGGTTCAATTCCAGTCAAGGGCACATGCTGGGTTATGGGCTCAATCCCCATAGGGGGTATGCAAGAGGCAGCCAATCAATGATTCTTTCTCACTGTTGATGTTTCTATCTCTCTCTCCCTCACCCTTCCTCTCTGAAATAAATAAAAATATCTTTTAAAAAAAGAAAACAAAGGAGAGAACCTGTATGTCCAACTGTATGTAAATGACTTAATACAATGTGGAATTTGATGTAGATTATCTATGAAGCCATGACAAATCACATTCCAAAAGTATTTAATGACATAAAAATGTTTATTATATATTAAGTGAAAGAAGAATGAAAAAATAATTTAATTGGTGTGATCCCAATTTGATACAGACACTATATCAGCATATCAATAGTGCACATTTAGACCAGGAGTTCTCAGGAGGGACACATCACTAGAGGGAGAGGACAGTTGGGAGTTAAGGATTTTACCTGGGCCACTTTTAGAAAGGGTAGAAATTTGAGATAAAAGTCAAGAAAGAAACTTAGCAGACACTAGGCAAGAAAGCTCCTGGTAATGAAGTTGCAAAATAATTATTTGTTGATAATAATTATAATAATAAATTTAATAAAAATTTTTAGTGAACTGAAAGAACATATATCTGTCTGGTGAAGCAACTTTGGTATGCCTGAGTGGAGGGAAAAAATGTTGAAAATTTTAAGTTGAAACAAAATTATAGAAGGTATTTAATACCAGTTTGAAAAATTTCAATTTTCTTCTTTAGAAAATGGGAGGTCCCTTCATATTTTTTCAAATGGGGAAATCCATCCATAAAAATTGTTTTGGTGGAGGTTAATCTAGTAGTAATGTGTAGGCTAGACCAAAGGGGTGTGTTAATAAAGGCAGTTAGGAGAATATACACACACATGCTTAATAAATTGAGGTCACTGCAACAGTTCCAGGCATAAGAAATGGAAAATCTTAGTTAACTTAAAATATTTCTGGAGCTAAGCAGGCTACTTTTAACTTCCATTTATAAAGCAGGAAACCAGCATGATGGGAGCTGAAGTGTTTCATGTCAATAGGACTTTCTACTGTCACATTTAAAAGAATCTCTAAGATTGAACAAAATTATTAATGTATCCCTTAAATTCTCTATCTTGACAGCCTTATTTTATGTTCTATGTCTTATAAATTATGATTATATGTTCCTAATTGTCCCTGATCTTTGGTTATGAGTTAATATAATTTAAAAATAAATAAGCTATGGCATTCAGCCTGCCTTATGAACTTAGTCACCCTTAGATTTGCCTTTAAATTTTGAAAAATCTGATTATTAGGAAAAGAGCCCCCTTTCCTTCATAGCCGCATATTTTCCTGTTGTTCCTGTGGGTAGAACAGCAGTACATTTTTAGAGGAAACAAATCATGGTGCGTGAAGGGAGTAATTTACCAGTTGTATTTAAAAATAACCCAGAACAAGAAAGTTACCATCATCTAAAACAGTGGTTCTCAACCTTTCTAATATCGAGACCCTTTAATACATACACTTCCTCATGTTGTGGTGACCCCCAACTATAAAATTATTTTTGTTGCTACTTCATAACTGTAATTTTGCTACAGTTATGAATCGTAATATAAATATCTGTGTTTTCCGATGGTCTTAGGCGACCCTGCTAGTGGTTCTCAACCTGTGGGTCGCATAGGGGAGGGATTGGGCGGGGGGCGGGATACTAGGATCGGTCCCTGCGGTGTGTGCCCCCCAGGCTGAGCTGAGTGATGGCCCCTCTCGAAGCAGACGGGATCCTGCCCTTGGCAGTCGCCCTGGCCACAGTGGCCTTGGTGTCCTGGGCGAGAGGGCCGCCTGACGCGCTCCAGCTGGGGCAGGGCTGCTTTGTGCTGGGCTGCTGCGGCCCTGGCCATGACCCGGCCTACACACATGCGGTCCCCATGCTGCTTCTGTGACCAGGCGTGCGGTGCGGTGCGGTGCAGTGCGGGGCTCTGTGTGACTACTCACAGGCGCACCCGGGAGCACTCCGCACCGGCAGAGCGCCTGGTGCTTGGAGGGGGCTTGAGGATGGGAGGCTCATGAAGAGTGTGCTGGCCAGGACAAAGGTCTGAGAAGGACACTGAACGGAAATAGGCGAGTTGGGGGCGTGGAGGGATGCAAGGTGGGAGAGGTGCTGGGATTGGGGTAGGGTGCCAGATTTAGCAAATGAAAATACAAGAGGCCCAGTTAAACTTGAATTTCGGATAAACAACCAATAAGTTTTTTTTGTTTGTTGGTTTGTTTGTTTGTTTTTGTTTAGTATAAGCACATCCTATATATCGCACAGGCCACACTTCTTTTAAAAACCATTGATATATTTTTCTGAAATTCAAAACCAACTGGGTGTACGGTGTTTTACCTGGCAACCCTAACAGGGTCAGGGGGTAGGGAGCAAGAGACGTAGGGCATGGAGGGGTGCAAGGGAGGATTGAGTGCATGAGCTGCACTGCAGGCATGGGGGGGCATGTCACAGGGCAAATGGAGAGGGTGTTGAAAAGGCCTAGAGCTGGGTGAATCCAGAGGGGTGGGAAAACTGGGATTGGGTGGAGGGGAGGAGCAGGCTAAAACTTGGTTAGGCCAGCAGAGGTGAATGTAATGCCTCTCCATGGTCCTGGTGCTGGGAGTGACCAAAGAACCAGGGTCTAAGCATCCTATATAATAAAGAGGTAATATGCGAATTGACTGTCACACTCTCACACAAGATGGCCACCCCCATGTGGTCAAAGATGGCCAGCAATGGAGAGTAGTTGTGGGCCATTAGGCCAGCAGGAGAGGACAGTTAGGTGCAATTGGGCCGGCAGTGAAGGGCAGTTGGAGGTTACTGGGCCAACAGTGGAGGGCAGTTGGGGGTGACCATACCTGCAGGGGAGGGCAGTTAGGGGCAATCTGGCTGACAAAGGAGGGCAGTTGGTGGCTATCAAGCTGGCAGGGGAGCAGTTAGGCATTGATAAGGCTGGCAGGGGAGTGGTTAGGGGGTGATCAGGCTGTCAGGCAGAAGCAGTTAGGGGCAGTCAGTCAGGCAGGCAGGTGAGTGGTTGGGAGCCAGCAGTCTGGATTGTGAGAGCGATGTCCAACTGCTGATGTAGAGATCGGTTCTAAACTGGCAGTCTGATATCCCCCAAGGTGTCCCAGATTGGAGAGGGTGCAGGCTGGGCTGAAGGAAACCCTCCCCTACCCAGTGCACTGGGCCTCTAGTCCTATATAATAAAGAGGTAGTATGCAAATTGACCATCACTCCAACACACAAGATGGCTGCCCTTATG